TGTGGCAATAACAACTTAAGAGATATAAAGTAACCTAAGGCTACTGAGAACGACCAACTTAGAGAAAAACTGTTTCACCAGTTCAAAGACTCCTCCAGTCACTTTTGTACTCAATAACACCATGACAATGTACTCCAGCTCACACACAGGCTGGCAGGTCGCGTGAAGGTTACATGAGGGTAGGGGAAAAGAACAGTTAATTAAGCTTTTATTAAATCCTGCAATCAGAAGACTTGTAAGAGAAATGCAGATGTTAAGGATGGACCGAGTGGTCTTGAACTGTCAATACAGGAGGGGATGGATTAACTATATATTCATTGTCTATTAGGAGAATCTTAGGTTCAAAAACTCAACTGCTTACACAGACAGTGAGAGAACAGTTCACATAAAAAGGATCTCAGAGTTTTGGGTACTGAAAGCTCAATACAGGTCAACAGTGTGAGGCTTCAGTAGACCTCTTACCAGTGTGGTAATAGTACATTACCAACTGTGAGTACGCAAAAAGTGGCATAAATACATTTTTAAGGATGTGCAGGAAAGGATTAAAGAGGTGGATTGGTCATGAGGCAGTGAAGAATAGCTGATAAGAGTGCTGGACTTGGAATCCAGAAAGACCTGAGTTTAAATCCCTCAGACACTTAGTAGCTTTGTGATCCTGGGCTAGTCATTTCAACTCTCTGTGCCTCAGTTTCCTCTTCTGCAAAATAAAGAGGCTGCACTTGATGGTCTCTAAGTTCCTGCCCAGCTCTAACTCTATGATCCTATGTGGCAAGAACAAAGCATAAAGTATGGACAGATAAGGTGGGGAGCTGGGACCCATGAAGTACTAACAGCCAGAAAGCGGGCTTCCAGATCACTAAGTACATAGAGCCTTTGCTGAAGATATATGAAGTGGTGTGTGGACAAAAAATCACACAGGCAAGTTTGGGTAGGAATCTGCATTGGTGGAGTACTCACCACCACCAATGAAACCCTGACCCGCTGAAGTACTTTGGCAAGTATGACCTGGCAGCCAAAAACACTAGACTGCATAAATGAAACGTGAGTGTGCCCAATAAGAGAGATCACAGTCCCATTTGACTTTGCCCTATCAGACTATATGGAATAATATACTCAATCCTGGGCACTGATTTTAGGAAGAACATTGGAAAGTTGGTGGACATCCAGAAGTGGGTCATCAAGAGGATGAAGGAACTCACAGCCATCTCAACTGAAGGAACTGGGAATGTTTACTCTGGAGAAGAGAAGACTCAGGGAGGGTATGACAGCTGTTTTCAAGTACTTGAAGGGCCAACTGTGTGGAAAAGGGATTTTGTGTGCTTGGCCCCAGAGTGCTGAACAAATACCAGTGGGTGAAAGTTGTAGAAAGGCAAATTTTGGCTTCATGTAAGGAAGAATTTCCTAACAATCTTTTCCAGAAGTGGAATGGGATGTTTCAAGAGGTAGTGGGTTTCTCATTCTTGGAGGGCTTCAAATAGAGTTGTCTCCAAATGACAACTTGTCTAGGATGTCATTCTGCTTCTGCTATAGGTATAGGATTCTATAATCTTTGCTCTACACAGAGGAAGATCAGAAGTTTCCTAAAGCCTAAGTATTCTTTAAGGAAACCTCCAAAGCTATCTGAATAAAATTTTCTTTAATTTCATTTAAAGTGCATAGATTTAAAAGCAGAGTAAGGTGAGGCTGTGTTTGTCAATCAAAAAAGGTTTGTAGTGGAACAGGTTTTTTTCTGTAATGCTGTCTGATCCCTTAGGATAAGTGATTACATGGAATCTGGACCACATCTTTTCATAGGCTCCCAATTATAATCACTAACATACTTTCAACTACTAACATCTAGCAAATCCCAAGATGCTACCTAATTCCCCATGAATCCATTATACGGTAAACTGTCATGTACATAAGCATGCTCCCAGCAATAAATATCCCTCCTTTTAATTCAACAATCTACTTTGGCTCCCTGAGATGGATTCAGAGGCCATAGTACAGAAGGCTCAAAAGCTGAGAAAGCTTCTACCATGACCATGTTCTAAACTAATCTCAGTGTGACACCTTTAACAGTTTGAGCCACCAGCCTCTTGTAGGACAATTATACTAAATGGACTTTGTTTCTTTAATGAGAAAGAGGTAGACTAAAAAAAATTGATGTTTTATTACATGCCCTTAAATCAGGTCTTGTTGTGGGCCCCAAGATTTAAATTCCATTGAATTAGGTTACTGTGATACTGAACTATTCCATCTCACCCCACCGTGTCACAGCTTTCAGGTGAGGTGTTAGCATATATCAGTAGAATGAGAGAAATGATATATTTCCTAAAATGAGGAAAATGATATATTACCCTGAAGAGACATGAAAAGTGGCTATCTGAATCAGGGGTATGTGATTAAGTTCACCCTGCGGCCTCTGTGCAGGCTGATTGAGGGGTTGCATGGAAACCCTTCTTGATACAGGTATCTCAGAGAATGGTTTTGGACACTGGGATGGAGCCAGGCATTCTTTCCAAAAGGAGCCTGTTTTCTGACTCTCACCTGAATCAGTGGATTTCAGGTGACCTGACTTCTTCAAAGGCTGTCTATGGCTCTATTAGTGGGGTTTAGTGTTGAAGAATTTCACCAAATCAACATGAACACCAAAAATAGCTCCAGGTTTTCTTTGCCTTCTTTGAAGATGAACACTTCTGTGCTACAAGCAACTAAACTTGCATTGCTGCCATAGAGGGGATCAATTCCTAGCCTTGGGAAGGCTTATTGCCACCTAGAGTTCAACAGAATGACTCACCTGAAAAAGAGTCACAGAAATCTAGGTGGCATCCTAATTTTTGCAAAAAAGTATTTGTATATATGCTTTGGAATGCCTGAAACTGGAGCTCTAAGGGCAGTAGCCTGGTATATGCTTAAATTCCTCAATGTGATGAAGAAATGAAAAACCAGTTTGGTAATCACTGGCTTTCTTATGTGAGGGCTACAAGGCAGCTAGGTTTCTCAAGCTTGCTTTGCCAAAGTATCCAACCACTACCACTTCAAGTCATACGCAACAATGGATCATACTCAGCACGGCTGAGTTCTGAGCTCCTTTCAAGACCTCAGCTGCTCCAGTCTAAAAGGGTGCCTTTGTGAAGGAAGGAGAGGGGCGGGGGTACACAGGCAGGCAGTGTACTCAGAGACCTAAAGGAGGTTCCAAAATCTTTCCTAAATGCTACCACCAGAATTCTTCTAGTTGGTGATTAGAGGATATTGTTTTTGAATTAGCTAGTTATTAATAATAACAACTTAAAAACTGACCTTCTGTCTTGACAATGAAGTTGACTATGCTGCTTTAAGAATTATTTCCCAAGATTCAGTCTCATCATGGGTAAATCCCATCTCTCTGGAGTGGCACCCATTTAGATGTTCCTAAGTGTGTGTGGGAGGCTGCTTGGGATAAGTCACTGGTCCATCATAAGTAAGTGAATTCAGCCCATTCACTGAAATTACATAAAAGGTCAAAAGAACAGCTGTCAGATGAACAAGAAAGTTAAGGGTGGAAAATGAGAAAGCAAAAAGAAGGAAAAAATAATGACTTGAAAGATAAAGTAAGGAAAGAACAAGTTTACAAAATTATTTTGGAAGACCAAATATACAAATGAGATTAAAATTAGGGTTTTTAAACCTTAAAGGTTAAAAATTTGTGATTAAAGAAAGTTACTGGGGCAGCTAGGTGGCACCGTGGATAGAGCACCAGCCCTGGATTCAGCAGGACCTGAGTTCAAATCCGGCCTCAGACACATAACACTTACTAGCTGTGTGACCCTAGGCAAGTCACTTAACTCCACTGCTTAGCCAAAAAAGCAAGCAAACAAGCAAGCAAGCAAGCAAGAAAGAAAGAGAGAAAGAAAGAAAGAGAGAGAGAAAAAGAGAGAGAGAAAGAAAGAAAGCTATTATACTTGGTGATTAGTTTTCTTTTGAAGGGAAGCCCCAAAGAAGTATAGATTTTAGTTATCAAATGGTTTTGTCTAACCTAATTTCTTTAAGAAGGATAAAAACCTAGGTAACCCTGAAATGCAACACCGCATAAGCTCCCTTCCTATGTAAGTATAATTGCTCTTACACCAGAGTAGATTCCACAGTGACTTAGTTTGAATAAATATTCTGGAATCTTGTACACAAATGCCTATTCAATAGGGTAGGATTAAGAGTGTTTACGGGTTATACAGAACAGGCCCACAAATCTCTATCCTGGTAGAAGGCATTCTCAAGAAAAAATGCTAGATCAAGATATGAAGTATACAAAACTAGGGGTCTTGGCTATTATTTTGAGCTAAACCTGCTAAATTCACAAAGTGAGTAACAAACACATAAGAACATATCAGTATAGCTTAGAGAATCTTGCCCATATACATTCCTTTAACTCAAGACTCTACATATAACCTTGAAGGATGGACAGGAAAGCTTTCCCCACCAAGGATTTCTATTTCTCATAATATTCTATTTCCAATATCTTTCCATGTCCAAGTGCAGCCACTCCTAGTGTACACAAGCTACCAGAACACTGAGAACCACTATTCACAATGAAACAGATGACGGACAAACATACATTCAGGAAAGAAATAAATTACAAGACAGTAACTTGTTCACAGTTGGAAGGAGGGTGATTCTAAGAGAAACTTAAAATTCAAAAATCCTTAACAAGAAGTATTTAAACATACACTCACACACACACATTCTCACACATACAGAATTATGAAGAAACCTGGCTTACCTTTCAGTTATTTCAATTGAAACAGACTATGTTTATTTGGGGAAAATGCTAATACCAAAGAAAGGGAATGGTGGCCTTTGAAAAAAAAAGTACTTAGTATTACAGTCCAAATACACTTCTCCAGCACGACTGACTCTACTGTCTGCTTCTAGTAAATTCCCAAGAACTTTAGGTACATAATCTCACAAAAGCAATAAGGGTGTGTGTGTGTGTGTGTGTGTGTGTGTGTGTGTGTGTGTGTGTGTGCATGTGTGTGTATACGTACATATACACACATATACAAGCATACACCTTTCTACTTTTGTGGTTATTTTTAAAAGGTTTTAAGGCTTACCTTTACCTTATATTATATGGAAACTATTTTAAGAGAGCCATGTTATCATGCCTGTTACTAATCAATGAATTACCATAACTTCAAGAGAGAGGCAATCATGAGGTTCAATTCTGTGGGGTTTCCCTCCACTAAAGCCCTCAGTATCTAGGGGAAGCAGTACAAAAGAGGTCAAGAGAAAAAGGAGTCTGTAAGAGAGACCAAGAGAAAAAAAAACCTTTTAAAGGAACTGGTGATTTATTGCTGTGCAACTCAAACTCTCCAACCTATATTTTACAGAGACAAAATAGCAGCAATGGTAAATCTTGAGAGAATTCTTTCAAACCAAACCATAGCTCCAGGGGAAGTACTTTGCTAATGGTTTTGCCTTCATCACTTCCCTGACTCAGTCATTGATTAAAATGTCGCTGTTTTTCCAAATGCAGAATGCCCCAGGAAAATATATCTTTCAGCACTTTTCACTCTCTTCCAATCTTTGAAGTGGTAGAGGCTAGTCTTTTTACAATTTGGTGCACAAATAAATGCATTTTATGACTGTAAAAGATTCAACTCAGCTGAAAGGATTTGGTAATTAGGTTCCATTGAAGGTGATGTGATGGTTACTGCATGTTAAGATGCTGGGCTATTCATCTTGCATACCTCATAAATTCTTTTCAAGCCAAGCCTCCTTTTCCCACCTATGCATTTCTTAAATAACATCTTCAAACTTGTTGCCTAATCAAATGTGGCCTTTATACTATGATGAGAAAGGAGCAGAATTCTTAATCAAAGTTGCTATAGCCAGAGACTGAAGCTTTCAACAGTTACACAACTTTATTACCACATTATTCTCCCTTCTATCACAGCACTAACAACCAATGCATTCTAGTTTTCAACTGCTGCCATAAAGAGAAAATGTTTAGTTTTACTGCAAATACCATCTTTGGAAAACCCCATTTCACAAAAGCAGGGAAGATACTAGTAATCAAAACAAAATTAAAAATAAACAAAAAAGCCTTCCTCCATCTACCTCCTTTTCTCTCCAATTCTCTCCTTCTAGTTTCTCCTAGAAGATTAAGAGACATAACTCACCCCTTTGATGAGTTGGTCTTGGAAGTTTTATGATGTACACGATATGAAACTCAAGACATGATAAATTCAACTGAGGTCAGAGGTAAATATTGATTCTGAGTAAAGAAAAACAAAACATTAGAGTCTTTTGAGTAGAGAGAGAATAAAGCATTAGTCTTTGTGCCCAATTATAATATAACTGTACACACAGATAGTAAATTTATACTTTCATTCAGGTGGTGGGTAAGAGTTCAGTAGAATGAAAGTTCCATCTCAGAATATAAAGTGATGACAGTTGTCATCTTTTCTTTTCTTGCTGAGAACAGAGGCAGCTTCTTTGCTAAAGTACCACTTACTGACCACGAAATGAGATCATACCTAGTGCCCATCATTTTGTACAAATTGACAAAGTTACACTAGTATCAGCTACATGATCTTTTAAAAAAAATTTAGCCCTTAGTGCCAACCCAGTTTCATGTTCCCAGGGGACACATTCGGAGGTTCGAATTTGGCTGTCAGTGGTTCAGTTCAAATTGAGTCAAATAAAGAGTCCATTTTGGACATATTTAACAGGCATTCTTCACACACACACACACACACACACACACGCAGCAACTGTAGAAAGAATATTACTAATCCCTATTCTAATGACCTTACAGTGACTTTAACTATGAACTAGGGCAATGTCACAGTGAGACCTGAATAAGAATTTTGGAAGTTATATAAAGAGTAAATCTTTTCTAAGGAAAGGTTAAAAAAAAAAGCCTGCTCTCCTAAGTCTTATTTTGCTTTAAAACTAGCTTAGGCAAGGATTTCATGAGTGTTATGGTTCTGGCTACACCAATTAAGAGGAAAGAACCAGCAGTGAGAATTGTGCTGAAGGTCCTGGATAATTGGGATTTTCCTCTATTCATAGTATCAACACAGTAAAAACCTGTGAAAAGTCAAATAAAGGAAAAAAGAGACTAAACCTCACCACACACTCATGGTCTTCCTATATGAATAATGTTGTCCATACTTCAATGGAGCTTTTTGTTGCTATACCTGCATGGAATTAATGACATTGGCTAGGAGAACTTTTTCTTTTATAGCAGTTACTTAACTTCATCTTTAGAGTTTGGTAATGGTATAAAAGCTATACTTTCTCATTTAAAATTGTCTAAGTAACTAACAAAGCAACAAAGTATTTCCTGGCACACTCTCTCTTATGAGCAGAATAGATTTAAATTTTCTTCTTCCTTTTTTGGTAGGTTTAAAAGCTATGTCTAAAGCAGCATCTTTTGGACTTCTCCCCCCTTTCCCTCCCACTCAAATATGGCAAAATCTGTCCAAATACTTCTTATTATCAATCGGTGACCGATGAAAAACTCTTCTAAGGGTCCCAGTCTAACCGGAACTCCCTGGTGGCTTGGCCATGCAACACCAATAGCCCTCAGATGGCCACTGAAGAGAAGTCTTGCCATTTTACATTGCTGCCCCATTCAGCAGTGGATGCCACAGTCCATGTTCAAAAAACAAAACACAGCTCCTGAAAAGGAACAACGTGCTCCTGAGCAATCTCTGAAGCAGGTTCTCCCCTTTGGGGGCAGGTTCTCATCACATGACAGCATCATGCCACTTGAAGAAACTGTGCCTTCCTGGGCCCCTCCAAAAAATGCAATGATCTCTCTTTGAGGAGGGAATACAGTAGGGCACTCGTAGTTTAATGAACAAATAATACACTTAATTTGCTTTTTAATAGCCACCCTTTGCACTCCAACTTGTTTTCAGAAAAATATCCTTCTTCTCTGCCTACTTTTCCATAGCTCACAAAATGTTCTCAGAAGGGGAGGAGGGCCTGACCAGTGTGCTCTTAGTCAGTTGACCTTTACTAGTATAACTGACACCCAGTAAGTCACTTTTTCACTTTCATGTACTTCTGCACCAAAGCAATCTCTTAAACCATTGCAGATTTTGAATACTTTAAAGCAAAACCCAACAAAAAACTAGTAATCTTTCCAACAATGTGGGAGGCCAGAGATTTTTCTCTTCTATTTGCACTTGGGTCTGAAAGCAGTTATTTGCTACTTACCTGCATGCCTTAGTATTCAAAACCCCCCCACTATAGGGACAAGCCTAATTCCTTCCCCTCCCCATCCAGGGCAGGGGATATGCAGGTCTGGTTAGCTCTCTCCATGATTTTTAACTTGAGAGAACCTCAATAATACCTAAAAATGCCAAAGAGGCCCAGTGAATATTGCTAAATCTTGAGAATGAACAACAGAACAAACATGATCAAAACTAACCCCTTGTTCATTTGCTGCAGCAAATGGGGCTTCATTTTGAACATTCATGATGATGCTCTATGGTAAATGCCCTGTTGTGTACTATTTAAAAAGCAACACTCTCAAACGAACACTAATTGGTTGAGGAGTGTTTGTGAATTGGCAGACTGGAGACACAGGAATTAGTGAGGTTCTTCAAATGAGCAGGAAATATAAGCTATTATATTTGTAGGAGGGAAATTGAATTATGGTTGCAATAGGAACAATAGCTTTATATTTCCTGAACCACAATGCTGTTGTAACACAAAAATTTTTTAAAACTTCATATAAAATTTACCAAACATGGAGATATATGGATTTAAAAACCCAGCATCATTTCACTGGGAAGTGACATTTGTGATGTACAATATTGCTGTTATGTAAGAACAGGAGCCAAAGAGACGTGACAAAACTTTGGTGGTCAGCCTCCAGCTCATTAATCCACTTGGGCCAGAGCCACTGCCTAGTGCTTAGGGATGTAAAAAGCACTGTCATGTGGCCCCCACCCCAGTTAACAAGTTGCAATGTGGTCCTGTGCTAGTCCACATTTACAGACACACAAAGTTTCTCCCTCCTCCCCATCTCCCTCACCACACACCTAATCCCCCAAATGCAGCACTGTCTAATGCAAACCTCACAGCTGCTAACTTAACTTTTGGTAGCCTATGGTGCTTACAGTTGTATTGCCTACTAGAATACTGCTGCAAGAGATTGCCTACATGAAGCAATCAGGCAAGAAGCCAGTTGCCTGGATGGGGCAAACAGAAAGCCCCCAATCACATTCTGCTGAAAAGAAACTTGAGAACAGTAAGGACCACCAGAACTATTCTTTTTCTTTGACTGTGGTAACAGTAATAACTGGCAGGGGAGGTAGAGGAGCAAGGCCCTGTCCTTACTACCTTCTCCTCCTCCTCTCCTGCAGCCGATCCAGATGACAGAGGCTGTGCTGGTTGAAGCTGGGACATTACAGCCACCAAGGTCAGTTACCTGGACCAATTCACAGAGTTGAAACCATGGTTGGTAACTAAACGACAGTTTATCCCGGATTTTCTTAAAAAATTTTTCTTAAAAAAATTAACAAACCAAAGCTGTTGATCCCTGAATCAGAAAGCTGTTTTGCTTAATTATTTTCTGAGGTGTGAAGTGGGGGAAGGGAAGGGAAGTGCCTTGAGTGTTTTTGTGCACTTTGTTAATCTTCTAGTTTGGCAACATCTTGGGAGCTCCTTCCTGTGTAGCGATGTGGCATTCTGTGAATCCAAGAACCGGCCCTTGGCCCAGATGCTGGCTGCTTATGGCCCAGAAGGGGGCAGGGGACCCTCCCCCTTTCCCCTGCCGTCTTTCAATCTGGCCCAGTGGTGGATACAGATCCCTGGGCAGTCTCCCCTGTGGCAACTGTCTCTTCCTGTGGGGGTGATTCTTCCTCAGCCTGTCCCCGTGATGTGACTGTTGTCTCAGGGGAGATGCTATGAGGCCCCTCCAGAGGCATGCAGCCTGGGTGATTCTTGCGAAAGTGCTGGTTCAGGATGGCCTGGAAGGGGAAGCTTTTGCCACAAACGTGACAGTGGAAGGGTTTGTTGCCTGTGTGCTTGCGGATGTGATATTCCAGCTGATCTTTGCGGGTATACTTCTTGCCACACATACGGCAGACAAAAGGTGTGATCCCCATGTGCAGGCGCATATGGCGATCCAGGCTGCCTTTCTGGTTGAAGGATTTGGCGCAGTAGATGCAGGTGAGACGGGGATTGTATCGGAACCACCGCTCCGATACTTCTTGTTCACGAAGATATTCTACATAACCACTTACTCCGATCATTGCTGACTCTTCAACCTGTACCAAGAGCGGAAAATACACAAGCACATAAAATATCAAATACAAATAAATCTAAGTATGTTATTTAAAAAATCTATTATGTGCCTATGTGGTCTCAGGCAATTCAACCTCTCTGGGCCTCAACTTTATCATCTATAACACTAGTACACTACCTAACATTTGTATTCTGCCTAAAGGACTTGCTGGAAGATCAAATTAAACATCTGGGGGTGAGGAATGAGGTTAAGAACCAAATGACTGCTAGAGTTATTAGAAATAAGGAAAAATTTTTAACAGACACCTGCAGTTTTTAAACACAGAAATAAAATGAAAAATATTGGCAGTATTCTGTTTTATAATGTTCCCATTAATGCATTATTACAGTGTGGAGTTCTTAAATCTCTGACAGATCCTACATTGAATGTCTGAATAGTTGTTTTTCATTTTTGAAGAGGACCAACGACATCATGGGTGATGTCTTGACTTACATGTGAAATGGATTTAGGCAAGACACACTTGCACAAAGTCTTACTTAGCCTCACTCTCTCTTCCAGGGTCACTGAAGTCCAGTGGCCAGACCGAAGTCAAGATGACTGGCAATCGCCTGGGATGCAGTGAACGACTTTGATGTCTTCGATGTCTGATCAAGCTCTGAGCACTCCACAGTGCCTGCTTCAGTTGCCTTTATGGTCACTGGAACAAATTGTTTTCATCTGCCCATTCTAACAGGGGTGGGCTGGGGGAAAAGGGCTGAGCGAAGTCTTCACGTGCTTGGGGTGGACAGCCCCCTTAACCTTCTGGGTTTGTGGCCCATGGGGTATCCTAAGCTTAGTTTAGCCCGTCTGCCAAGATGGGGTGTGTGGATGTTCAAGGACTGGCACCTCTGGTGTGAGGGCTTGCTGAGCTCTTTTCAGGATCGCTCATCCACCTTGGGCGTCCACCTATTGCCCAACATTCACCTGTGGCTCCAAGAAGCTGTAGCATGCACAGTGGCCACACCTGGTAAGCTGTACTGGCGGACAGGCTGAAACCAGGTTGACATCAAATGTTTGAGCATGGGCCTGGTAAAGGACAAATGTCATCCAAGAACCAGCCTCAGAAAGGACTGATACCAGGTTGGCTACAGGGAGATGAATTTTTCAAACATAGCAGCTCCTAAAGATGGTCAACTAAACTACAGAGGAAAAGCCCACACTAATGAAATCACAGATCCTCTGAAGTATTCTGTTCCATTGTCACATAGAAGCAAGAAAGTTAGAAGTGACTTTCTGGCTGACAGACTAACTGGATGCTTCCAAAGCACCTTGTGGATAGATTACCTCGCAACAGTAAAACAACAGGAGGACCAACGAAATCAACCTCTTATTCACCATTCTTAAAAGCAGTGTTGAACTGGTGAGGTCCTTCTGATCCATCTACATATATCAAATACCCAAACAACAAACTCTGTGAACACACGGTAAGTAGTCATTTAAAAACAAAAAAGACACAAAATAGAATTAATCTTGAGGACACAAAAGGAATTAGATTTATCTTGTACAGTTCACACAATCACAGATTTGGAGCCAGAAGGGACCTTAGTGGCCAATGAATCTAACACTCTTATTTTCCAGATGAGGAAACTGAGGCTCAGAGAGGTTAAATGACTTTCCGGAGTCACACAGCTAGTGTCTAAGCTCTTATTTAAACTTAGGTCTTCTTGATTCCAAGTCCATTGTCCTATCCACTATGCCATGCTTCTTCTCAGAAGACAAAACTAGTGCCAATAAGTAGAAGCTAAAAGGAGGCATATTTCAGCTCAATTTAAGTTAAGTTGGATTAGATGATTGCCAAGGTGTTTTCCAACTTGAAGCCTCTATAAAAGCATAAGTTGCAGGCAGTAACTTTTTCTCTAAAACATTCTTAGTGACTTTTCAATATACTATCAACATTTTATACATATCTCACAGACAGGGGGCTCATTCAACACCTAAGAGCAAACTAGCAGAAAATCTAGAAAGAGAACCTAGACTGAATTATGAATCTAGTGTGCTACACACTTATTAATTTTGTGAAAAGTTCATTGGAAGTAATCAATATATAAGATTTATTGAGTTCTCATAATTCACTTAGTATAGTTCTTGGCAGCATGTTGTAATAGAAGGAATACTGGCTTTGGATTCCTAAGTCCTAACTCTGACACTCAATATACGTATGACCCCAGACTAGCCAGTTTTTCCAGGCCTCAATTTTATTATCTGTAAAACAGAGACAATAACACACCACCTCTCTAACAGCTGGTAGAAGAGCAAATGAGATGATGTATGTGGAAGTACTTTCTAACTATAAAAGCTATGTAATATAAAGTACTATAATTAATTGAGGAATAATGTGGCACAGGCTGGAAAGCCAGGCTACACATGCTGACTACATGACTGGGAATTCCCTTAACCTTTTGGTGCCTTCAGGTACTCTAACACTAAGCTGCAGAACAGGCTCTGATCTGCATTGGTAAAGAGAGTTTGCTTACAAGTTCCCTATATCAATGAAGTCATAGGTCTGGACCAAAAAAAAAATAATAATTTTTTTTTTTACTAACTATTAAGACATGGTTCTTGCTCTTGAAATGCTTAGAAAACAGCAAATACCTAAAAGCAGAAAAGATGTATATTTTTAATTCACGGTGACAACTAACTCTTCATATTGTCCACCTCAAGACAACTGGTCTTTTGGAATTCTGTGTGCAAACAACCATTTTCATCATTTAATTTGTATGTGTTATACATAGCAGCTTTAAACTAATTTAAGCAGCTGAAAGTAATCTATAAGTTATATGACATGGTTAATATTTTTCCAATTTCCCTCAGATGCTAAAGTAATTTTCTTTTGGGTAAATTTATTTTACAATGGTGAGGGACCAAATTTACAATAAGAAAATTTTGGAAGTAATTATGATGTAAGTAGCATTTAAACTCTTTTGTTGCTAATTAGATGATGAGCTCTTGGAGTTATTATAAAATAAATATCTTCTTTTTTTTTGCTAATTACATAAGAATATAATATGTAGGCAATGAAAAATCAAGTTTAATTTCAAGAGAAGGATGAATTGAGGAACAGTTCTAAAAGCAGATTTCAAGGACATGGAGAAAACTTGATTTTTATCTCTCTTTTTTAAAATTTTTATCTCTTTGTCAAGGTCAAATAGTATCTTAATTTTTTTTTTTGCCTACCTTGAACATTTAGTATCTAAATAATGAAGCCATCTAATATATCGAATAGATATAAACATCAGTTCTTCTCTACTGAAAGGAAACTATAAGATGAGGATTGAATATTTTATTTGAAAACTATAATACAATAATAATAATACCTCATATTTATAGAGTGCTTTCTTCCAAAGTGCTGCATTAAAATTTGATCATTCAGAAGGTTTTTACTAAGTTTCTCAACCCTACTGATTTCTGAGACAGAAATCAGGGTCCTCACATAAACAGAAAAAAACTTTTGTTTTCTAAATGTACAGAAAGGAACTATGTTAAGCAGAGATCAGAATAACTGGGGAAATACGGGGGAAGAGACCAAAGTTAATTTCAGATATTTGGAGGACTATTTATTTGTTAATCCTACATCCTTTTCTCTTATTTCTTCAAAAAAGTGTTGTCAAATGAGACAACTGCTCCAGCAGTTCTAACAGAGGGAGGTGGAAATGGATAGTGTGATGTTTAAAAAGTTTCAAGAAAAAGTTTCTGGGTAATTTAATCATTTTATTAATAAAGCCAGCAGGTTATTAATAAAAGGATGGTCATTTGGCCATCTCTCTTAGACCAAAAGCAATCATGGCAGTGGGGCTCACAGTTTATATACCCTTGTCAATGAGGGGCTGAAAGTGACCCCTGGACAGAGAAATTATTTCTACTCAGAACATTCCCAACCTTTGCTATCTAGACAAAAGGATCTGCCTCCACCCCAGCTTGAGTAGATCACAATGGACTTCCCTACCCTAGATTAAATTCCTGGTAAGTTTGAGTGGGGTCTGACCAAGATGAGAAGAATTAAAGCAATCTCATCAGTAATATCTTTCAGACTGAACTTTTAAAGGACTTTAGAAGAATGGGAGAGCTCTGACTCTCCCCCCAAATGATTAGGTATTGTTTCACTGATTATTTCACAGAAATTCACAGAAAAATTAAGATGAGGGAAGCCATTTATGAAATCAAGAGCTGAAGAGTGACTAAAGTTTTAGAACATCATTGTTTTGGTCTGCACAATTTAACAATGTGAATGCAAGATTACAACTTAGTTGGTCCCCAAGTCTCATTTCCCCAACATGATATATCAAATCTAACACTCTACACATGGTCTTCAAAGCCTTTCTCTATGTGGTATTAGCTGAATGAATCTTAGATTAAGAGTCATCTGGTCCAGTTTGTCAGTTTCATTTAAAGCACTGAGGATTTCATCATCAACCAAGAAGTATTTATTGAGCACCTATGACAGACTCAGCGCGCTACGGAAGTCACAAACGCGTCAAGAGGGCAGGATGGTATACTGGAAAGAGTGCTGGATTGGGAATGAATTGATCTGGATTCGCATTCTTGCATAACCTAAACTACTAGTGTATCTGGAATAGTCACATAACCTCTCTTGGGCCTCCCTTTCTTCAGGACAAGTTCCTCTCAGATCTCTTCCTGCTCTACAACTGTGATTCTTATTGGAGCGACAGGACTAACGCACATAAAGTAACAGCAAACAATACAATACAGAAGTACTAAATTGTGTGACAGAATCTATGCACAGTTAGGTATTCAGAGAAAGGGGGGGCTCAGGGATGGCTCACTTAATAACAACTCATATACAGATACATAGATGGAGATGCTATATATCTATATAGATATTTATCTCTCAATATATGTATCTGCATATGTAACTTCTCACAGTTTACAAGGCCTCTCTTCCTCACTGCCTCTGACACAGGTAGTACAAGGACGCTTATTCACCGGCAATCAAAGGCAAGTCTGACTGTGGAGTTCATTTTTTTTCCACTGTCATCCAGTCTCTACATTTAGGGAAGAATTAATGGAGAAAGTATGTCTTGAGCTGGGCATTAAAGAATGGGGACATATGGAGAAGGGCAAGAGAGAGTATTTTAGAGTTAGGAGCAAACAGAGTGTTTCTCAGAGAGTGAAAAGGTTAACCTATCTAAAATTGATGAGTAGAACTATAAAGAGAGGGTAGAACCAAATTATAGAGGACCCTGAAGCCAGAGAAATTTAAATTTGTTTTGGTACAAAATGGGGAGTTACTGAAGGTTTTTGAGTCAGTAGTGACCTAAGTATAGTTTGTTCTTGTATTCCATCACCCTTAGGGGCTCACTCTAAACCTAGATAAACTGTTTTGGGGGCTGCTAGGTAGCTCGGTGGATAGAGCACTGGGCCTGGAATCAGGAAGGCCTGAGTTCAAATCTGGCCTTGGACACTTACTAGCTATATGATCCTGGGCAACCTCTGCTGGTTGAGAAGGAGAAGGAAATGGCAAACCACTCCAGCATCTTTGCCAAGAGAATCTCATGGATAGTATATGCTTCATGAGTCAGACATGACTGAACAATAAACTCTCTTTTGGGCAGCTAGGTGGTGCAGTGGAGTGTGAGGTGGGAGTCAGGTAAACTTTTCCTAAATTCAAAACCGGTCTGACATTTACTAGTGGTATGAGCCTGGATAAGTCAAACCCCGTCTGATGTAAATTGAGCTGGAGAAGGAAATGGCAAACTACTCCAGTATCTTTGCCAAGAAAACCCCAAATACCATCATGGAGAGCTGGACATAACTGCAAAACAACTGAACAATAGTTCAGTTTTACTATAAACTTCTACCTACCTCTTTCTTTTAAAGTGTGGCTGAAACGCTTCCATGAAGTCTTTCTTAAGCAGATAAATTCACCCTATCTTTCCCCAGCCTTCTGGCTGTGTACATGCTGTTGTTCAGTTGTCTCAGTTGTATCCGATTCTTTGTGACCCCTTTTTGGGGTCTTCTTGGCTAGGATCCTAGAATGGTTCGCCATTTCCTTCTCCAGCTCATTTTACAGATGAGGAACTGAAGCAGAGTTAAGTGACTTGCCCAGGGTCACACAGCTAGTAATTGTCTGAGGCCAGATTTGAACTCTGGAAGATGCATGCTGGTGTGCAATTGAGTCTTTGGTCCTAATTAAGTACTCCAATAAATTAGTTATTGATAGTGCTCCTGTCTTCCAGCGAGATGCTAATTTTATCTGCTTATCACCATCTTTATTTGCAGGACAGTAATCTTTATACAGAAATTATATCCTTCTTTAGAGGCTGGAGGAAATAAAAAAGATGTCCAAATGTGACTATCACTTGAACAAAGCTTTTATTTTGTGCCTATAATTTCCTGCTTTTTTTTTCCAACTTCAGAAGAAAGAATTTCCCACAGTAATAGTGACAATTCCTTTTTCTGATACCATAAACATAATACAAATACTAATTCAAGTAATAGGTAGGCCCTCTCGGCACCTCTCCAAGACAGAAACTTGAAGGGCAGGTGCTGATCTGCATTGGTAGACATACTTCCTCACTGTGAGTTCTCCATAACAAAAGACAAGTCTAGTTAAAAAAAAAAAAGAGAGATTCTAGCAGCAACTACAGATTGAACAAAATATTACCAGTGTGCTACAAGCTGATGATAACTCCCATTTATTTGGAACATTAATGTTTCTGCAGCACTTTCCTCACACTTCTACAAGGCAGCTGTCGGTGCCAATGTACAAATAAAGGAGCTGAAGCCGACAGACAGGAATGGCTCGCTCAGGACCACACAGCTGCTACCTTCTGGGGTCCAACTGGAAACCAAGCGCAGCACTCTATCCACAAGGCCACACTGCCTCTCCTCTTTAAGTGGCAGCTAGGGCAGCTCTCACAGTATCTCACGTGAAATTATTTTTTAAAAACTTTTCATTGCTTCACTTTCTAAGTAACTGGCCAGAGAAAAATGATAGAACTGCTCAAAATTCACTGTATGTCCTTACTTGGCACGTGCTTTTTGAGGTCCTCAGTTGGCCTACCACGTGAGTATCATTCACACATAAGCAACAAGTCCAGCATTTATACAGTGCTCACTGGTCAAGAAACAGAACAATGCTCTGTGGATAATTACAAAGAAAACAGAAGTCACGGTCTCTGTTCTCTAGGACTTTACAATTTATTAGAGGAGATAAGTCTAATACAAATAAGAATATACAAGAATACACATTGCAAGTGCTTAACAAATGCCTTTTCATTCATTCATTTAAATGCATAACCTACTAGAAAGGCCACTAAGTCTGACTCTCCTTCCATGTACTTTGTCAGAAGTAGGTTTAATTTCTCCAAGGACACAAGTCGTCCCTGTATTCCAAAAGAAATGCCAAACTGTATTCCTACCGCTTCTTCTCAAACTTTAAAATTCATCAAGAGAACACTTTTTTGAGTGTTGTAGAACAAGTGTTTGGAAATAACGAGAAAACATTAAATATAATATTTAAGAACCCTTCTCTTTTCAACCTTTATTTTTCCATTAATTCAAAAACAATGGTAACCAAGGATTTCCCAAGGTGATCAAAAGGGGTACAACTTAAAAGGATTATACCGTACTTGTTGAAATGCGTTCGTTTTTTTTGATGAGGCAATTGGGGTTAAGTGACTTGCCCAGAGTCACACAGCTAGTGAGTGTCATGTGTCTGAGTCTGCATTTGAACTCGAGTCCTCCTAACTCCAGGGCTGACGCTCTATCCACTGCGCCACCTAGCTGCCCCAAAGTGCATTCTTAAATTTCAACAAAGTCATTCAGATCTGTCACTACATACCTGGGAGTTGGGTTGCTTAGGCTCATCCATTCTCCCAGGAGATTCACTTCGGGCTCGGTGTCGCTCAGTCAGGGTGACAACACTGCCAGAAGGGCTAAATCTGTCGGCAGAGGAGCATAAATGGGGTAACAGAACGGTAATGTTAAAGAACTTCTGAGTGATGAGGTCATTCCCTTAGTCTATGGACAATAAAGGGAAAGCATATGCAACAGTATGATGATTTTCAGCATGGTAACTGAGAAATGCTCACACTGGGTCGATTTTGACTTGGAGTTAAGAAATCACATTTGGTCTAATAAATTAAAGAAAAATTACTTTACAGAATGAGAGGTCAATGGCACATAATGACCTAATGACACTGAGGAACAACATGAAAGTAGAACGCTTATGTCACAACAGCAGTACTCGAAAAATACTAAGACATCTGTAAAATGACTCAAGGAACTAAAATTAAAGCTAGGTCTACAATTCTGGGCCTGTTACTTTGTCTGTGTGACCAATTACATTTTAAATTAGTAAGAGATCAATACCAACAAATTATATTTTAAAAAATCAGGTTAATGAATAAGTGATAGAAGCTAAATCAACTTCTGGGTCACTTGGATTAAAACTCCAGTTACTTTTCTCACTGGTCAAAGATTGGGGGACAGAAATAAGTATGGTCAATAAAGAGTGCTATTTATATAGCTATATATGCTCCATGAGTACAGGGCCAAAGGAGAGGAAACATCCAAAAGGTCTGCATTTCTGTGGCACTTATTGATCTTTTAGATCTGCTATTTATGCAGTCAAAATTTGTTTTTTATCAACAGGAGAAAAAAACAGGTTGCACTTAACCAATCTAAACTGTGAGGGAGGATGCTTAATGTACTTTCAACTTAATTTGATTATTAATACCTGTACTCATTCCCCCTTTAAGATATGTCCTTAGCTACTCATATAGAAGTATCAGAAAGAAAAAAGTGAGCAAACGAAGAGAAAAAATAATGAAATGGTTAGGCCCTTGGCAGCAATAGCCACTGATCAAGGCCAGGCAGAAAATATATTCAAATGGCAAGCTGAGAAAGAAATGAAAAAACAATCCCAAAGGAATCTCCTTGGCATCACACTATTACCCACTGAAAGCCAAAGAATCACCAGGACCATACCAATGCCTCCTCTGGAGGCGGTGGCTAAAGGAAAGTGAAGCAGGGCTACAAAGGAAAGTGAAACTCCCCCAAGCCACCTACCTGTGTGATAACATACCAAGGAAGGGAAAGGCCGCCTGGTTCCCAGCTGACGCTCAGCTCCCTGCCTCGAATCCGAGGAAGCCCTGGCAATTACTGACGCTAGTGTGGCTGCAGATGCTATTCTGATTCATGGAAGTGTCTAACTTTACCATAGTTCTCACAACACTGTGAATACTTCAGGACTAGGAGCTTCCTGCTTTAAAAAAATAAGAATGCAAGTCTTTTGGCACACCTCCAATTTCCCCAACAGAGTCAATTCTTATTTCATCTAAACAACAGGTAGGGAAGATGCTCTCTAAGCCAGAGAGATGGCCTGGATCAGTGGTACCTGAGTGACAGTCAGGAAAAGCGCAAAAGAAACCTTACCTGTCCATTTCACTGCTGGTTGGCCGAGTGGCCTTGGGTGCCGAAGACCCCAAGGCATAATTCTCTTGTCCTCCTGACCCATGGCCTGTTGTATCGATCACCATGGCGGCAACCTCCTCGGCACTGCTCCCATCTTCTCCAGAGGGCTGATTCTCTGTCCCAAGCCACTCCTCCAGATTCTCAGTTTTGATCCGAACTCCTCCAAGAACTCTCACCTCATCATCACTTCGACCTCCTCGGTCGGCCACCCCAGTCTCCACATACCACTGTCCTGCTCGGTTAATCCGAAGAATAGGCTCCCGGCTCTCCACATCAGAACTCTGTTCAATTATCTGAGGGCTGGTTGATTCTTCAGGGGGACTTAGCTCCCTGATGTCCAGCACCGTACTAACTTGGCCTCTTCGGCTCCCCTTTGGTGTATTGTGACGTGGGCTAAGGGGGCGGTTTAGATTTGGAGTAACCCTGTGGGATTCTGGGGGTCTCTCCTGGTGCTTTGTCCTTGTCTGGCCTAATTCTGCCTCAACTTCTGCTACATTAATCTTGAAATGTATACCCTCCAAGATCTGTGTACATTTATCTATGATGTGCTGCATCTGTAGGAAACTGGCAGCTGTTAGGTAGCTGATGATATCTGCCAGTTGTAGACATATCCGCCCAGTGTAACAAAATGAAAGGAGCTGCTCAAAAACAGTAGGATTCTTGATGACTGATATGGAGACAGTGCTCATCTCATTCAAGGACATATGGTCCCGGAAATAGGGAGAGCTGGCAGCCAACACAACTTTGTGAGCCCGAAAAGCCTGTCCTTGCACATTGACCACAATATCACAGAGACGACCCTGCATACGCAGCTGGTTGAGGTGGCTCAGGACTGAGTTGCTAAAGTCAGGGATCTCCAACTGTATGTTCCCACCTTTCTCCATGGTGTGCCTGATGGTACAGGCTTTCAGCCCTGCTGAAAGAGGAAATAGGAATAATGACTACCAACCACGACTACAATCCCAGGGTGCTTTACATCACACAAGTATTTGGAAATTTCACTTCAAAATGCCTTTAGAGAAGAAAGTTACTTTCTGTAGATCTAAATGTCAAAACAGCAGTTATCAAAAGGTTACATCTACTACTCCAGGGTTTGTGGTAAGTCACCATGAAACCTGGAAAGAAACTTTGGACTTTTATTACACTATCTTTAGGCTATTATTACACTATCTTTATTAATAGTTATGTAACTTCAACTTTGATGCAAGAGTTCAACTGAGAAGAGAAAGAATAAAGCATTTAAATGTTTGACTTTTTAAATGTATGCATTTCTAAGTTAATTTTTTCAAGATAGATGAAAAAAATGGAGAAAACTTTTTTGGGGGGATGAGATAATACAAATAAGCAAGGATACACAAAATGAGACAGATTCTGATTAACTAAGGTTTGTCAAGCACCTGTGAACATTTTATTGTGATCCTTAACCTATGTAAAATATTTTGTGGTATGACTAATAACCTATTTAAAGATATGCTAGTTTTCCCAAGTAAACCAGCCAGCTCCTGAAAAAGCTGGCTTAGGACACGAAGGAAAATCTTGTTTTAGGAAAAGTGCCATGGGTAACTGGAGTACACAGTGAAGATAAGGAGCAGTACTACTATCTCCATGAGCTCTGGAAGGGCTGGGCAGACTCACTCCTAGGAGAATTCAAACCTGGGATTTTTTTGTGATGGGTTTATATGATGATGAACCTGTGCCTAAACTACTTCAGAAAACTTCAAAGTTTAAGAAATTGTGTTCAAACTCACTGGAAACTAAGGCTGATAGTCAAAAATTGTTTCTCATGAGGTGAAGACGGGGTGCACTGGTCTGAACACAAGTGTGCAGCTACCTACCTACCTGTCTGTGTAGTATGTCTCTCACTTCACGTACTTAAGAAGTGGCCTCACCACCCTGCTTTACATTCCCAAGAAAGCTTGCTGCTGCGAAGGGGTGTATATACATACATACAGACTGATAGACATGTGGTTGCCACTTCTTAAGCTCACTGTTATCCAATTTGACCTCCCCCCTTTCCCCCCAGTCTATTTGTGTTTGTTTTGAAACATTTAATTCAAAGAGCCCGGCCGATGCCACAATGAATTCAGATGTGTTTATTTTGGTGCCTACACCAGCGCTTTTTTGTGTGGTGATGGTTGTTTCCTTTTTCCAGCATCTCCAAAGTGGGGAGAGAGAAATCCCCAAGAGAAAAGTCTCTCTGTCTGTCTGTCTCTCCCTTGCGTGGCTGGGGGTCCCGCGGGGCCGCGGAGTTGTGCTCAGTTTGCAGACGGGCAGAGTGGGCAAGGGGGCACTGGGGAGTGGGCAGCCCGGGGCGGTGGGCACAGGGGCGGGTCAGCAGAGGAGGGAGCAGGGGGCTGCCCCCGGGAGGGGGCGTTCCGCCCCGGAGCGGGTCCAGCGCGGGCGGGGTGGGGTGTGGCTGCAAGGGAGCGGTGCCCGCCGGCTGCCAGGGTGGGTGCGGGTCTCGGGGGTCTGGAGGGAGGGGCCCCGGGCGGGGGGGCGGGTCCGCTTGCTCACGGGGCGGAGAGGAGGGGGTGGGGTGGGGCGAGAAAGGTCGCCCAGAGCTCCAGGGTCGGGCCCCCCCCGGGTCGGGCTGGGGGGGGAGACAGGGCGGGGCGGACCCGAGCGGGCCGAGGGAGGGAGGGGGAGGCCGGGGTGGAGAGCGGGGCCCGGACTCCGCCGAAGAGCAGTACCTACCTCCGGGGGTGGAAATGGGCCGGAATGGGCCGGAACACCGTCCCGGAAGTGAAACCCCCCGCCCCCTTCCCCCGAGCGGGCGACGTGCCGGAAGGAAATCACTCACCCTTACACCACCCCCATCCTCCTCCTCCTCCTCCTCCTCCTCCTCCTCACTTGCCCCCTCCCCCATTCTACTCCTTCCCCCTCCCCCTTCCTCGGCTCCTCTCCGCTTCCCAGGCCACAGCCCTGCGTCACGTGCCCCCCGCGAGTCCCGCCCCCCGCCGCGGGCTGGAGGAGGGGCCAAGAACGCGAGGACAGGAGGAGGCGGGGGAGGGGTGGGGGGAGGAGCAGGTGGACATGGAAGGCGAAGACGAGCCCCGGCCTTCAGTTCCCGCTCTTTGGCGCGGGGCGGGGCGGACGTCGGCGGGGGGCGTCATGACGTCACGCCGCCTTTATATAAAGGGCCTCACTGCGGAGTCTCGCTCTTTCCGAAGCAGCAGCGCGTCCTTTCTTCAGGTAAGCTCTACGGTGTTTGGCGCGGCCCAAACTCTTGCGGGCCTTGACGGTTCTCTCGTGGGCTTAACGCCCACGTCCGCGCCCCAGGAAGCGAACTCATTCTTAACCGCGTCTTGAAGTCTTTGGATGGCTCCGGATTGGGTTCGGGGCCGTCCTGGGGAGCGAGGCTGAGGAGCCCAAAAAGCCTCCCCGGCTTAGGCCGGGGCCCAGAGGCCGCCATTAGGGGAGGGCGCCTCTGGCTTTCAGGCCTGCTCTATGTGATGAAAGCAACGTTGGTAGGGACATCTGAGACTGCTGATGAATGCCAACGTCTCTGATGCGGGGCCTGGGCCAAGCTAACGTGGGGGGGGGCTGCGGAGGCCCCGAGAGGGCTGCGAGGGCAGCATGGCGCCCTAGGGCCTGGGGACAGCGGGCCTCCCGGCCCGGCAGGGCGACCTTAAACTAGTGCGTATTTACTGTCTTAAGAGACCGCGCAGAATGAACTAGTGACTCCCTGCCCCGGGGCTGAATGCGACGGATCACGTGCTCGTAGGCGCGCGCGTGTGGGCGGGAAAACCCGGTGGCTGGAGCCGCGCTGGATCGGGACTCTTGGCCATTCGCCTTGCAGACAGTTTTTTCTCTTAAAAGTAGGGAGTTTAGGGGGGTTATGTAATTTAAGAGTCGATGTGTACATGGATTGGTTTCCCCAAAACCTTGTTTTTGTGTTATTTTTTTAGGCATGGAGTTCAGAAAAGCCGAAAGATTATGTCCCTTACTGTTAGGGATCTGTAGGACGTTGAGGCTCACAGGCTGTTCATGAGACTTCACTGATGGGCGGAGGGCCCCTCTCGGGTGTTAGTACATGAGCAGAATATCCTGGCTTGGTTCTCGGTCCACAGACCTGGCACCTCCCAGTCAGCAGAACTCTGATGGTAGGCAGACTCAACCACAAACAAATGTTGCCCGCTCAAGCACAAATATGTATCAAGTATTGGGACATTCCGGGAACAAGAAGTACATGGTGTTTTTACGGGAACAGCGCGGGAGAAGGACGCAGTCAGGATAAAGAAATGTACTGGTTGATACTTTGGTATTCGCGTGAGAAAAATTCTCGGTGTTGCCTATTGGTAAAGATGTGTAAACATCGTTGCTTTGTCTGCTGTTACACTGGGATATGTTCCCCTGAGTCAAAGATATAAAACGGTGTCCTGTGCCTTGAATAAACAGAACTTGACCATCTTGTCTCCCTGCCTCTTCACTGCTTCTCGTAGGTTATCAGAAACTAAGCTGGTCTTAGTATTCCTGGGGGAGAGTTTAAAGACTCGAGCTGCACCTTACAGACTTTAAAGGTAAGCTGTGTTGGAAAGACAAGCTGAGTTCTTGGAGTGCTTAGTGCAGTGCCTGGCGAAGAAGTAGTGCACTTTAGCTCTGATAATTATTGTTCCAGAATAGCATTTATGTAGTACTTTAAGGTTTTCCGGGCACTCAGCAAATATCTCAAGTGTTAGCTGTTACAGAGAACTCAAGCTGTGTTGTGTGATCAGTTGACCTAAATATTCTTAAAGCAGTAGTATTGGATAAACAGGTGTTGGAGATTCCCAAAGCTGTGAAGCCTATGATGGTTTAAGAGTAGTGGACAGAAATCATTTCTGACAATAACAGACTGAGGCTGTGATATTGAGGGATAGCGATTGCGTGCAACTTGGCTCTTTGGAAATGTTGAATCCTTTTTTTCCTGTGTATTGCAGTTATACATCATGGATGAAGCTGCTGCTGATGTAAGTGTTGAATACATTTGAGTGAAAATGTAGCTTTGGGAAATAGTACCTTGCCATTTAATGGCATTTGGCCTAACCTCAAAGCTTTCAGAAGCATTGAACAACTGTGCTTTAATGATGAGTTTTTATTTGCTACTCTTGATCATGAATATGATGAACAATTACCACCTTTTTCTCAACCTGAAGCACTCAAACAATACTTATTTGGAAATGTGAATACAAGGAAATAGTTACTTAATGCTATTTATTTCTATCCCTAGGCTCCCAAGTATTACAACCACAGGCAAACAGGTAATCACTAAGCTAAATTTTTTTTTGTATATTCCCTATATCTGGTGGAAATTACTGACCCTTCAATGATCAACAGTAAAACAGATACTATGATGGTTGCATAGTTCAGCAGATAGACTAATGAATACTTAACCTTATTTATCTGATGTGTCTGGCTTATAAGAAAACAATTTGCTAAAATTTCCACAATCAAAGGAATAACCCCCCCCCTTTTTTTTCTTCCCCACTTTTACCTCTAGGAACTTGACAACTGGAAACAGAAATGGTAAGGCCTAAATCCATTCAAAGTAGATCACAGAAAAACTGGGCTCAAGTGCCATAAATGAGTAAAAGCTATTTGAGGCCTATAATACTCAAAATTTTTAAGTTTGACAAAATTAACACTAGAAATACCAGGGATACCAGTTGATGAAACAGCTTATTGTTTTACTTTAAAGCAAAAATTTTAACTTTGCCTCTTTTATCCTTATGGATAAAAAAATTACTCAGCTTGCTCCTGTCCAAAACCTTTAAGTAAAGATACTAATGTGATAAGCCTGGGGTTGGTTGTGCCCTTGTTAGGTTTTTGTGTAATTGGATTTGTTAAAACACATAAAAAGTGATACTTTTGACCGTTGATTGGGAAATTTGTGTTCAAGGTTAGTTCACCAGTTTAGGGAGCAATGGTTTTGCTGGTATAGAATAAATTTTTAAAATGCTATTAACATTTAATTTCCTAGGAAAAAAATGATCTAGTTTCATAGCTGTTTCTGGGAAGTTGTCCAGTAGTTTCTCAAAGCCTGTATGATGATAAGCCAATAGACTGACTTTTACCATGGAGGTCTAATTAGCTCTAACTGATTTCAGGCATTGTTTTAAACTTTAAATGCTTCTTCCTATTTGACTGTTACTTAAGATAGGTTGATTTCTTTTAGGCATCAGCGAATCTTGAAGTTGCTACAGTTGTGTTTTGTAAGTGAATTTGTTTGAAGAGATCCATTAGACAGTTGAATTGACACCATTTACTCATGCAGGAAGAGTTGGTTTCAGATTCAATTTGATTAGTTGTGTAAAAGTCCATAAATTAGCCACAGTGGGATTTATTTGTAAAATGGGAATAATAATTTTGTAGGTAATACCCACCTTGTGAGGTTATATGGATCACTTGAAATTTAAAGGGCATTTTCCAAAATGTGTAGCAATATATTCAATTTGGATTTTGCAAGGATTTTTGGAAACTAAAAATTTTTTCTAAAGCTGCTTAACAGGGTTTATAATGATGTCTTCAAATGTCTGACCTGAAATCAGCATGTAGATAAATTGTAGCACTGAAGTGCCCTGTAACAAATTAAGCACAACTTTCATTTCTCTATGACAAAGTTACATTTAATGTGAACTTTTGATTTAGGCTTCCCTGGTCTGTCCAGTTGCTGTGATTATCACTTGAAATGGGTAAGGACACTAAATACTGGTAGTAACTAGATAGTTTTGGGGAAATGTATCCAGTGGTTGTTATCCAGATGTCTTCAAGGACTTTTGTTTCCTGGTTTAAAGAAAAAAACCAATTTAATATTTGCCATAATGCATGTGGGAGGGAGTGGAAGGAGCTTAGTACTTGGTTTGATTTAACTTTAACTTTGGTATGCCATCTGGGCTGTAGTTAACCCGTTTTACAAATGGGTATCCGTTTGTAAACCTTTAAAGGAAGTCCTAGTGTATAAGTGATTTTTGGAAAAGCAGATACTAAAGGTTTTTTTTTTTAATGGACTAGTGACTTAGACTAATCCAAATGGCTTGTCATTTTCCTATGAAATTCAAGGAAAAAAGGATATAAAGACCAATTTGGCTACGGTTGGGCTGATTTGTAAATGTTATGGGGCTGTAAAGTTGTACTGTTAGTGATGATTTGTATAGTAGAACAATGGGAATCTCTCTGAAAGAGAATGAGGATTTTCTTTTTCTGAAACAGTACAACATGAAAACATGTATAGACTGGACAATTCCGTGTGAACTTAACTCCCATTATTTTTTGGCAGATGAAAATGAATTGATCTGGGTTACTATTGATAATGGTCTTGTCTGTCCTGAGCTAAAGGTGAAGATGCTGAAGAGGTGATTATAATCTAATTTTAATAAAATTTGAGAAATTGCAACTTGGTTAAAATAAGCTAGAGGGGTGTCTCAAAGCTGATACAATGATGATAACATAGTTCAGCAGATTGTGTGGTGGTGAACACTGGTTTTGTCTTTCGCTCCTATCTGATGTATCTGTTATTAGAGACACCAGGACTGTCTTTAATACCTGTAAGCCATTGTCTTAAAAGTACTGACTTCAGTGATACTATTTTGATTTGAAAGTTTAAAGAGGGGATTTAAAAAAAAATTGTGGCAGTTATGCTGTGCTGCCTTATAGTAAATATTCTTAGAATAGGGTTCCTATAGGTTCTTATTACTGTTTTCTTTGGATAACTTTGGCTTGCCCTGATTGCAATGTGTCTTTCTTTTTTCAGTATAAAATGTCAAGGGATTGGAGAAAAACAGGTAAGTGAAATCATTTTAGTTCATCCAGTTGGGCATTTTGTTTAATTGTAACCAGTGATGTAAAAGATTCTGCCAAATGATAGAATATGATTTTATTCATAAACCGTTCCATTTTTTTTTACACTGAGGTTAAATTTGGAAACATGAGTGTAGTGACATTATCTTACCAATTACTAGGAATTGCGTAAGTTACACGAGGTTTTGGCTAGAAATGCCTGGGATGTGAGGGTGTGGGAAAGCTGCACATATGACAGAAAGGAGACATGCAAAATAGGAAATTCTCTGCATGGTAGGAGAAACCAAATGTCCAAGTTGCAACCTTCTTAAAGTTTTGTCATTCTTTTATAGATTTGGCAAAAAACCTCAGGAACCTAAATACTGTGGAAGGTAAGACCTTTTTAACCTAGATTTTGCTGATCCTTTGGGTGGGAACTTCTAACCAGTGATGTTAATGATTCTGCCAAATGAAATGGCTATGATTTCACCCATAAACCGTTCCATTTTTTTTTTCTGAGGTTATTAGAAAAATAAATGTTGTTGCATGCGTTCAAAGACTTTGGTTAATTTTACTGTTCGTTTCATTATAGGAATATTTCTGGTCAATCCTCAGAAATGAGACTGCTGGCCCAACTTACCAAGTAAGTTCAGGGGGGAGAACAATAAATCCCTGCCCTGCCCTTTAGAATATGATGACAACATCCTTTACTTGAACTCTCTCACTGATAAAGTGATGAGAAACTAAGGTCTGATTAGGGCAAAATTGGGTTGAAGTACCTTTAAGTTTTTTTTTTTAACTAAGGGTGGCCTTTTTTGCATTTACAGGTTTGGACCTTTTGAGGGATCTAAGAAGTGGAACAAAACACCAATACGCTATTAAAGTGTACACAACAGAATTTTAATAAAGTGACATTGTACATTAATTGCTGTCATGACCTTTCTTTAAAAACAACTATGAATTTCAGATAGAAAGCTTAGCTCACTTAGCACCATTAAAGGGAAGGATGATCTATGGCATCCACTCTATAGACTATGAGGTATACTTGAAGGAAAGAACATTTAAGTGACATTAGGTAAAGTGAGTATCAAAAGCCTCACTGAGTGAACTTAGTCATTTTGAGTAATGAGGAAAATTTTTTAACATAACCACCAATTTTTAACAAAAGCTAGAATTTTATAGAGTACTTTGAGTTTGCAAAAACTGTACATATTATCTCATTTGACAAGAAAATAAAAGGGTACATACACATATTCACAAGGTGCAAGTCAATGCCAGTTGAGGTCGAGTGCCCAGGTTTTCTTCACTATAATGTCCATTAGACTAGAAGTTTGCCAATTTTTCCAAGGAAGTTCTTTGCCATCTGTAACTCAAATATTTTCCACAATATGACTACCTGGGCCTTTATTTAACTTCATCCCTCCCCATTTCCCGTAGTTAGGTTTGTGAATTGTATCAATTTTATACTAGGTATCCTTACATTTGCAAGATGAATTGGATGGCCTAGAAATTTTTGTGGCTTAACCAGCAAATCTAGCTCCAGGAGATGAAGCCACTTAGCTTCCCTGATCCTCCCCCAAAAAACTGCCTGCACTTTGTATAAACATAGGTCTAATTTTTTTTTTCTTAGCATAGGTCTAGTTTTAAAGGTGGGGGTAATTGAATGTGAATTAAGGCTATGATGTAAGTCGGCACAAAGATTAATCCCTTACCCACAACCCTTCTAGCTCTTCTTTCTTGAAATACCAAACTTCGTTATGTCTGTTGAAGAGTGTAAAAGGGCTGTTATAACCAGCAGTATAGTAGAAATCAGAATGAAAGGATTGGCCCTCTTTCTGCAAAGTATCTGCCAGAGCTTTTGCTTCTTTGCTGAATTTTTCCACAGAAGCAAATCCTCCAAATGACCTGTAATAAGATGAAATGGTCTTTTATCTCAGTCATGGCACCTTAAATTGACATTCCATTAGGGATACAGTATTGATTGAAACTAGTACAATGTAGGATGAAGTCCTGATGATACATTGTACTTCCAAGCCAAAGGGCCTCGACCTTCACTGAAGCGGAAGCGCAAATAGCTACCTGACAAAAATGGCTGCTCCTTTCCTCTCCTCAAGGAACACATCCGGGTCTGTGGGCTCTGGTGGAGAACTCTGATGCTTAGTTGGTACAAAGAAGGAAACCTTGTATTCAGTGGTGCCAGGCTGCACCAGGCAGGTCACTGGCACTGTCATCTCAATCTTAGTCTCTGGTAAGAAAAAACTCAATAGTGACCTCCACATATCCTGCTGCAACCACCGAAGGGCATTAGTTGAGGCATCTAATCTTGCATAGGGAGTCTTCCAAGAAGCAGGTGATGAAGAGGGCTTTGGATGTGTTGGCGAATCACTTAACCTGTATTTGGATGGATGCTGGTCTATGGTATGGTAGCATAGTGCAGAAAGGGTTACATATGTTTATGTGGGAAAAAAGCTTATAATAGTCCTTTTGTTTGGGGAAATTTAGCCTAAGCCAGTAATTGAGTATATATGTAATGCACCTTTTTGTGTTTGTGCTAACAAAAAAAGCCAATTTGTGGAAAATTGCAAAAGCACCAATTAACTATCTGGGACACAGGGTTACAAGAAGCTGTTAGCCTGGTTTGCAGACCTCAAAGGTGACCAATAAAATAGCATAGTACTTTAATTATAATTTAAGGACAGTTACCTTGGGCATAAAAGCAATGCCACTCCACAACGAGTAAGCCTTTCTGAATTTAGAGGGTGCTGTAGGAATATGTCAACAGTGTTAAAACAAGCCCTGGCTATAACCAGGAAAGCTTGGCGAGCCTACCTAATTATGGTGAGACCTCAGTTACCTGTTAGGGTACTTAGTACTGGTTACCACCTTAAGTCACCCTCAATTGCAAAACTTGCCTTGCAGTAATGGTAGCGGTTTATTCTAAGAGAAAAGGGCAAAACCTGAGGTAAATGCCATTTGGTTTTGTAATCCAAATGGAGATAGAAACTTAAATGGCCTCAGGCCTTCTGCATAGTTGGTCTGGTGTATGAAGCCTAGCTCTTGATTTAGGAATACTACTTGCAGTGATAAGAAAGGTCATTCTGGGTAGAGTTTGGGGGATTGAACAGCTGGATACCTGTCTCATTCTCTCCCTGGATGTAGTGGAGGAGTTTCCTGAACCCTTGACGAAGTGCCTCCTTCTGGCTCGCACCTCTGATCACAGTGCTGGCCCATATGCCAGCCTTATAATGCCGGAGTTCACATCCTGGCACCTAGGAATACAATCATCTTTCAGGATGTGCTCTGGTGGACAACCGTTTATTTGTAATTTATATTAGGAAGTGTGGCATTGTCATACCAGGTTCCCAGCGCTGAAACTTGAGCTATCAAACCTTACTTATCTGATAGACTATAGGGACCCATGAGCAAAACCAAATCCTGCAGCTAACTGGACCCATAATGAATGGGTTAATCAGTTTGTAGGTAGCCTCTATTTCTCCTTATGTTGCTGATAAACTGGTTTACTTCAGAAGCTGATGCTGTTAAGGTCTTAGAACATCCCAGCTCTGTGGTGAAAAATAAGACAGTCTAGGGACACAAAGACTGGGGAACAAACATCATAGTATGATTGCTTAGGCTAGGTCTTGACTGCCGTAGTCTGTACTTAACCTCTGTCCAGCCAAATACTGAATGTTTTTGACATCCATCACTGTTTTAGCTAGGCAGACTGGGGAACAAACATCATAGTATGATTGCTTAGGCTAGGTCTTGACTGCCGTAGTCTGTACTTAACCTCTGTCCAGCCAAATACTGAATGTTTTTGACATCCATCACTGTTTTAGCTAGGCAGGGTTCCTACCATCTTGGTGCACTTAATAAAATGCCTACTCATTTGAATGTAGACTACAACCCAGGAAAAACCCTCCAGCGTCAACTGTCCTGCAAACCCAGGATCCTTTTTCAGTTGGCTCCATTTCTGCAGAAACCCCTGATGATAAATCTCATTTCACTTCCCACCACAATTATCTCTACCCCAAATTCTGGCAGTATTTACCGCAACCTCTGCTGGGCTCCATTTAGGTGACTCCAAGTTGTGGGACAGCAATGTCCTTTTTAGGGATCTGATCATGATGTCCACACTAGAGGAAACAGATGCCTAAGTGGAGTCAGCTGAAAGAAGAGGCACAGAAAAAGGAGGTATGATGTCCAGGAAGTGGTAACGGTAGAATTCTGCTTTTTCTGTCTTCTACCTATTTTAATACCTGTTAAACTGGGCAGGATAGCATATCAAGAGAAAAATGCCGCTCTTGAAATCAGTCTCCTGTCAAACCCACATGAGCTGCAGTTCAGGGCACTGAGAGGAACAGTAGTTATGGTCATAACTACTTTTGGCAGTCTTTGAGAAATCATAAGAAAAATGTCTTTAAAAGGTTAGAGATGGATGAATTGGATGGATGAAAAGGATGAGACAGATTCAGATTTTTTTTACATGGGAAAAGGTGGCTTGTGGAGACTATTAGGCTGATTAGTTTGATAAAAATCTTTAGCAAAACATTCTAAGGTGGATTATTAAACAGATGATTTATGAGCACATGGAAAAGAAAGAGGTGATTGCTAGGAGCCAGAATGTGTTTGCTAAGAAAAGTGAGCCCCAACATGTCGACTTTTAATAGAGTCCTTACATTATTAAGTAGGGAACACTTGACATTTGGAAATCTCTCAGGATATTCTTGAACAAGATGAGGAAACGTGATTTGGAGGATAATACTGATGAGTAGCTTACTAGCTGCAGGCAGCTAACTTCTTGGCTCAGCAGATGGAGCGTCATGAAGACCTGTGTGACTCTGGACAAGTCTTTTAACCTCTGTCTCAGTTTCCGCATCTGTAAAATGGGGATAATAACAGCACCTACCTCCCAGGATTGTTGTGAGGATAAAATGAGATGTTTATAAAGCACTTAGCAAAACTTAAAGCATATAATAAATGCTATTAATAATGAATGACTACAGAGAGTGATGATTAATAAATAGCCTTGGATCAAAGTCTATAGTAAGTGGACCAGAGAGCTTTGTTGGACACCTTGTCTGTTCAACGTAACTCGAGCTTTAAGGTCTACAAAAATTACTGAGATAAGTAGAGTGGGCTGTTTCCTGTTTTACAGGTGGGACAAGCATAGAGAAGTGTTTTGACAGCCATATACTACCACCACCACCACAACTACTACCACTACTACTATCACTACTACTATTACTACTATACCAGTGTTTATATAGCACTTTAAAATTTGCAAAGTGCTTTACAAATATTGTCTTATTTGATCCTTACAACAACCCTAAAGTGTAGGTGTTATCCCCATTTTATATATGAGGAAACTGGGACAGGCAGAGGGTAAATGACTTGTCCAGAGTCACACTCAGGTCTTCCTGACTCCAAGGCTAGTGCACTTTGTGTTACACCACAATGGTTGCCATGATATCAGGAAGTTAGAGAGATGTAACAGGTATGCTTAACAAATTTGCAGTTACTCCAAAGCTCAGAGAGGTAATATTTTTGGGAACACAATCAAAACTTAAAATGATTTTTTAATAGGTTGGGACTATGGGCTGAAACTAATAGCTTATAACGGCATTGAGGCTTTTGGTACAACCTGTAAAATGTAAAAACATCATACTGAGGTTTGCTAAATGAATGGCATAAATATAGGGCAGGGAAAAATTAGCATGATAGATTTCATTTGAAAAAGACATAGGAAGGGACTTTGAGGATGGAATGTAGCATATATCAGATGGAGTCATCACCCTGGTGGTTTGGCTCAACTTTTTCTTGTTTACAAGGGAGATGAATGTATGTATGTATGTATGTATGTATGTATGTATGTATGTATGTATGTATGTATGACAGAGGAGGTTTATATCCAGAAATGATGAAAAGTGAAAAGAATCCATGAAAAATTTTTAACTGAAGACTCCTACCTACAATTAGAAAGGACCTTAGATACTGATTATATCCTAGTTGGCCACAAGGTAGCAGTGTGATGTAGCTGTTGTAGAAAGGAACACTGGTCATTTAAAAACAAACCAACCCAAACCCTTTCTTGTAATAATCTGTACTCTTCTCTGCCTGCTCCTGCAGACATACATCTGTGTTCTAAACCATACCTGGAAATATTGAGTCAAAAGTTCTGCTTGGCTGCCAGTGTTAATTTTTTGTGAGTTCTCTTCCTATCGACCAGAGAGAGTTCTGAACGGCTGCAGTGTCAGCTGAGTAGCTGAGGGACAACAGGTAAGCCGAGCTGGGTCAGGAGCAGCTACCCTGTCGGTGAAAGCTGACTGGCTTATTGACTGCCATCTTAAAAGAGAAGAGACTCAGGGAACACCAACATCTAAGAGAAGATGGTGTAGGAGTATTAAGTTTTAGGAGGATCTGTACCACTATTTCTTTCCAGTCCTCTATCTTACCTGTCTAACATACAAAGTTATTGTGAAACAATCAAAGGTTGTATAAAAGAGGTAAGTTCATAGGATCAAAGGCCTAGAGGTGGGTCATCTGCCCCATTTCTTTTTACAAATGAAGAAACTGAAGCCTAAAGAGATGAAATACTTTGCTCAGGTTCATATAAAAATTGAGAGTGACCCTGGACCAACAACAGCTCTCATTTAGTGTTCTCGTTGCTATTATTTTTCATACCCATAGCAAGAAATCAACACTCACTGCTTCTCAGTTACTAGATAGAGCAAGAAAGATAGCTGAATAGGCCATAAGCTTTTCACTCGTACAGTCACTTCAGCCATCAGGGAAGATGAAAGCTGATCAGCAGTCTAATTTATTGGGGCAGTTTTATAATATCTGACTTATTAACCAATAATTGGTAACAACCTTCAAACAATTTCCATAATTAAATCTTTAAAAAAAAAAGTCTTATACTGTACCCTGACTGCATGAGGCCTTTTCCTTCCATTCCCTTCTTTCCTCCCCCTCCCATACCTGCCTGATTCCTAGAATTGGAAAGAGATTAACGAATTGTAAATACTTACATCTGAAAACACAAGCTCCCTGGTCCCTGTTTTCCAAAGTGCAAACACATACCCAGATAGATGTATGTGTTCGAGGATGTGTGAGAACGCTTATGTCACTGTTGTAAGACTAGGACACTCCTTCCATTTTCCTATTGGTGCAAACAAACTGTTATAAGAACCAAAGCATTTTAAGCACCAGCACCCACATATGGCCATTCTGGGTTGGTATGCCATCTGTTTAATTAATGGAGCCTGAAACAAAGCCTACTGCCATGGGCATTAAGAGGAGCACAAAGAGAGTATTTACATGTAGCTGTTCTCAAGCGTTAAGATTCAGAAAGCTGGTATTACATAAGATGGCTTCTGTTTGCCTCCAAGTAATGTTTGCCCATTAGGATGTAGATGACACTGCCTTTAAAAGGACCAGCTCCTAATTGTCATCTTTTTCACAGTGCCCCAGGCAACTTTCTACAGCTACATTGCACTACAGTTGGTGGAGTTTCCTCTTGGTATGCCCTCATACCAATGATATCACAGGGTCTGGATTAACAAGATTTTACAATAGGTTAACTGGAAAAATAAAAAAAACTTAAGACAGGAATCCAGACTAAGAATTCTTCAGTTCAACTGGCTCTATGGGAGCTACTTTACAAGTGGAAGAGAATAAGCATTTATATAGCTTCTACTATGTGTGCTTATGGGGGGGATGGGGGGAAGGCAATTGGAGTTAAGTGACTTGCCCAAGGTCACACAGCTAGTAAGTGTCTGAGGCTGTATTTGAACTCAGGTCCTCCTCATTTCAGGCCCAATCATCTATCTACCATGTTACCTAGCAGCCCTGTGTTAAGTGCTTTTTACAAATAGTTTCTCTTTTGATCTTCACAACAACTTTGCAAGATAGGTGCTATTATTATTCCTATTTTACAGCTGAGGAAACTGAGGCAGACAGAAGTTAAGTGACTGGCTCAGGGTCACACAGCTAGCAAGTGTGAAGCTGAATCTGAACTTAGATCTGCCTGACTGCAAGCCCATTGCTTTACCCTAGCCTAAGCTCAATAAAAGAATAATCACCACTTACCATGATTGGATTGATTTTTAGGAATAAGCTAGTGAGGTATAAAGACAATAAAGCCAGAATATAAAATAAGTAGAGACCTCAGGTTTGCTTTAATAGGAAGACATTCCAATTCCGTGGTTTAGACCTAGTTGATTCAGGGCCATACATGGTATGCAGTTTCTGCTTTTCCCAAACATGACTTCAAAATTTTAGGTATGATTTAGAAATGACTAGAGCCACAATATACAGACTCAAAACATTTTATTAGCCTGTAAACATTTAAAGATGCCTTCTCAAACAGATTGATGGTACAATAATGACATCTGATTCCAGCAAACATACCAGGTGTCTGAAAACAATGTATACTGAAGGAAATTTTAGAGGGGCAGTTAAGTGGTGCAGTGGATAGAGTGCCGGCCCTGAAGTCAGGAGGACCTGAGTTCAAATCCAGCCTCAGACCAAACACTTGACACTTACTAGCTGTGTGACCCTGGGCAAGTCACTTAACCCCAAACGCCTAAAAATAAAAAAAACAAAATAAAAATTGAAGGAAATTTTAATTCTTATTTGCAACCTGACCTCACCTAAGTTCTTTCATCCTCTGAGCTTTTAATTCAGGCAAGTTTGAGTTAACATATTTAAAATAGCTGTATGATCTTGGGCAAATCACTTGGATTACTTATCTAGTATAATCCTTTCATTTTAGAGATAAGGAAACTGAGGCTCAGAGAGATAAGCTTGACCACCTGGGGTTTGGGGTGGGTAGGAGTGGCTATCATGGACAGCAGCTGCTAGAGGAGGAAGGAGGAAAATCCTAGAACCCATATGTAGAGAACATTTATAGCGGCATTTTTTTTTTTGTGGTGGATGTAGCAACTGGAAACTAAGTTGGTATCCATCAACTGGAAAATGGCTGAACAGATCATAGGATTTAGGGCTGAAGGGGGCTGCAATGGAATATTATTTTTCCATGAGAAATGACAAATGGCAGCTTCAGAGAAGAGCGAAGTAGGCAAAAACAAGAAAACAACTTACGTGATAATTACAATAATGAAAACAGCTTCAGAATTCTGACCAACACAGTGCCTAATCATGATCTGAGGGAGACTTCTGTAACTGCATGGTTTTCAGCTCTTGGCAGGGAGGTGATGACTGCTGTCGTCAGTCCTTGGATTCTGAAGAGGACCAGTGACATCGTGGGAGATGTCTTGACTTGCTTGTGAATTGGACTGAAGTGAGGCAGAGCTGCACAAAGTCCTCAGCCTCACTCTCTTCCAGAGTCACCGAAGTCCAGCGGCCGGACAAAAATCAAGATGACTGGCGATGGCCTGGGATGCAGGGGATGACCCTGTCGTCTCCGATGTCTGCCCAAGCTCTAAGCTCTCCAGTTTATGGAGACGCCAAAGGCGGATGAGCAGCCCTGCCCTCATATCAGAGGTGCTGGTCCTCCTGAGCACCCCACACAGTTGACAACAGACACAGCCAGTGTGCAGACTGTTTGGCTTTTATACCTGGATTAGTGAAGGGAGAGCTATTTGGGGGAGGAGTTGTGATAATGATGCAAAAAAAGAGTATCAAAGAGATATTGAAAAGATATATAGAAGAAGGAGACATTGGAGAGAAGGGGAATTTTGTTACCATCATGTGAGATTTTTATATTTGCAGAATATTTTACGTATTATATATTTATTTTATTATATATTTATATATATAAATATATTTACAGCTGCTCAGTTTCATGTGCAATCCTTTTTGATGTTCTTATACTGAAATGTTTATTAAATTCATAATAAAAAATATTAAAAGGAAGATTCTAAGGGCATGAGTGAGAGAAGAGTCATTTGCTGTTTATATTGTAATAATCCAAGCCCTGCCTATGAGAAAAAATCACGGGATTTGGGATGGAGAACAAGAGTTCTATAAGGCAATGGGAGTGGCCTTGGTGAAGTGCTGACCTAGTTCCAAACCTGCTTCTGACACCAGCCATGTGACCCTAGGGCAGTCATTTAACTTCTCTAAGCCCATTTCTTAATTGTAAAATGTGGTTTTGGAAACCTTTGGTAGTGATGCTTTATAGGGTTGTTGTGAGGCTCAAATGAGATTAAATTTAAAGTGCCATACAAATATTCGTAATATTATTAATCTAGGCATTATTAGCTGGAAGCCAAGGGTCTCTGGCTAAAGGATACTAGTAATAAGTTCTCTTATTAGCTCCATAAGTCTTCATGGAGGAGACAGACTTTCAGCCACTGCACAAATTAGAGGAGATAGAAAATAGTGAGAAGAGGATGTGGGAGTCTATTAAATGGAAAATGATATTTTAACAGATAACTCTGACAGAATTTTACAGCCAAAAAACCCCCTAGAGACCATTCAGCCAACTTTCTGTTACAGATGATTATCAGTTTCTGAAGAGAAAATATAAGTACTCCATGGTCACCTTGAGCTAATCCCTTTCCTGTAAAGAAAAAGTATGGGGCCAGCCAACCTTAGAATGACCCATACCTAAAAAAAGTTGGTAGAAAAGGGCTCTATTAATTAATACAGAAAGACCTAAACTTTTACAAGGAGAAGGGAAGGGCAATTCTTGGAGTAAACAAACCAGTTGCATAGGACCATTGTTTCTAAAGCAGAAGGGCATAAAACGAATCCATCAGACATGGGAATAGAAGTATCAGATGACAACAAGGAGAAATTGTTCACAGGACAAGAATCACCAGGCAGGACAATGGCTACCACTGTGCTCCCCAAGATATAGTGGCCAGCCTCTCTCCACCCTTCCTACCCCCCCCTTTAAGCATGTATGTTACACAGTTATTTCTCAGGGTTTTGGCTGGAATTGAAAATTTTGGCTTCAACTTGAAATTAGTTTAAGAATTCTCAAATGGACTGAGAATTCCCTAATTCCTCCAAAACTATTAAACTGTACATGCCTTTGACCAAATGATACCTCTACTAAGTCTACACCCTAAAGAGATCAAAGAGGAAAAAGACATGTATACTAAAATATTTATAGCAGCTCTTTTTGTGACAGCCAAGAATTAGAAATTGAGGAGAAGCCTATCAACTGGGGAATGGCTGAACAAGGTATGGTATATAAATGTGATGGAATACTATTGTGTAATAACAAATGATGAAGGGGATGGTTTCAGGAAAACCTGGGAAGATATATGAATTGATGCAAAGTGAAGTGAGCAGAACCAGGAGAACAATTCATACAATAACAATAATATTGGAAAAGTAGTTAACTTTTAAAGACCTAGTAACTGTTCAACACAATGAACAAATATAATTCCAAAGGACTCACAGGAAACATACTATCCACCTCCAGGTAGACTGATGGAGCAAGAGTGTTAATTGAAGCCAATTTCTTCCCTTTCTTTTTTTTTTTGGATATAGCTACAACAGGAATTTGCTTTGCATAACTATATATATTTGTAATGGGTTTTATTTTTCTTGCCTTCTCAATGGGCAAGGAAGGGGTTGGGGGGGAGGAGAGAAAGAATCTAAAACTGATAACCAAATAAAATTGAATTGAAAAAAGAGAGAATTCCCAAATTGAGTTATTCTTAAAATTGCCCTAGGACATCTCAAAAGTTAAACTGCCTGTGGATACTTAGCTTTAATCTACTTTGATTTGGTAGGTGGAAATACCGAGAGATTTGCTGGGATCAAGTCCTGCTGCTGTGACCCTGGGCAAACTATTTAACGTCTCACATTATCCTAAACTAAGTCCCAACTGCATGTGTTTTGGGGGTGAGGTGGGGCACGGGAGGGGGGAAGAGATGGGACCTTTCTGTATCTGTAGAATCCAAGACTTAAAAGTGGCAGAATATTACTGAATTTCAGAATAAGCATTTTTATGGAGGACATGAAAAAGACTTAGGCAACGTGACTATATTTTCTGGAATCTAATGTTGACTTCTTTGAAATTTTGGGATACTGGTAGCATACCAAAGTTTTTGTGATGCCAGGTTTGAGTTTTTTGTCAGTGTGTAGCAGGCATGGTGAAGATATTTCATAATATCAGGAAATGGGTGATTAGATGTTGATGAAACAGAGACAGTTGGAAAAAATGGGATTGCTCTGTCTAATGAAGGTTTTCCGTTCACTTTGGGAAAACTTTCAGTTGGTACAGAGCAGGAAAACACAAGTACTTTTATGTCACCATCGAAATCCTCCCATTAAAAATGTTCTGATTACCAAGTGCCTACCAAAGTAAGGTGAGCCATTGCTGGCACGACAAACTTGAGGGAAAAGCATCACCTACTAGTTAGCCAACTTTTTTTTTTTTAAAGGCAATTGGGGTTAAGTGACTTGCCCAGGGTCACACAGCTAGTAAGTGTCAAGTGTTTGGTCTGAGGCCGGATTTGAACTCAGGTACTCCTGACTTCAGGGCCGGTGCTCTATCCACTGTGCCACCTAGCCACCCCATGTTACTTTGTGGTTTTTTTGGGCTAGGCAGTAGAGTTAAATGACTTGTCCAGGGTCACACAGCTAGTAAGTGTCTTGTGTCTGAGGCCAGATTTGAACTCAGGTCCTCCTGAATCCAGGGCCAGTGCGTTATCCACTGTGCCACCTAGCTGCTCCAACTTTTCTATAGTATAACCCTACCCATATTACGTACAACTCAAAACATAAATGAAGACAAATTTTATTCACAAAAAAAAATTTTTTTAGCTGACTAGATCATAGGCCCAAGATTTATATCTCTTGGCTGCACGTAACCTAATGAAAAATAGCCAGGTACATCAAGCTATTTTAAAATTCTAGACTAAATGCATATAGTCCAATTTAAGGTAAGTTAGGAAAGTATAATTAATCATATTCCTGTTTGTATTTCTATTGTCAACTCTAATCATTCATTAACTGAACCGACCTTCTTCTGTTTCATTAATACCATTAAGGTCACATTTATGAAGCGCTATTTTATAGGCCATGAAATGTTTTCCTCATAATAATCTCCTGAGATTGATAATTCAGGAACTGTAGCTGAATGTCAGAGTCCTGACCCTGCAAGGCACAGGTAGTGTGGCAGTCAGCGCCTGACCCTTGTGTTCTCTCTGCCATGTCATGCACATCTTAATTAGTACTGCCACATAATAGTGCTTTTACTCAAAGTAAAGGATCACATTTACTGATTAAATTGTTATTCTTTAAAACAACATAAACAGCTGATCTATAAGTCTATTGACATTAGTCTTTGCTTGGGCTTTTGTCGTAATATACAGCTGATTAGCTGCCTCTATGTATATATTTTTGGTAGTTAATAATAGCACCTAACAGATGCATAGCACTTTAATTTTTCAATGGATATTATCCCATTTCATCCTCATAACCCCCTTGTGAGGTAGGTGAACAAGTGGTATCATGATTAGTTGGCAGATAAAGAAACTGAGGCTGGGAGAGGTGAGATGACCCTGGGGCCCCCGGACCTGCAGCTGGTTCTTGCTTGGTACTCATTCTCCCTCCCATTCTGAAATTAAAACACTACAATTTAGCCAGTTCTGCCAGGGTGACAATAAGACCATACCGTCCTGACCCTACAATCACAGCGACTGTAACATTTTCCACCCCAGACACAATTTTGATCGTTTTTGCTCCAAAGGATGCACGAGCGGGTAGTGACTGGTGTCCTGGAGAGCCATGATTAGCGGGCACGACGCCATGACTTATCTCAGAGAGGAGTCTTTCTCACCCACCCTCTCCATCCAATGGGCACGGAAGCTTTCAGTCTGTGGCACCCATGCGCTCTATTACTGAGAGAAAAGGAGACACCTTCCATATGTTCCATTCCTTCTTCACTGGTTATCTGGGTATTTGCTGGATTTCCTTCTTTCCAAAAGCTCAGGAGTTTGGCCCAAAGCCAACTTTTCCAAGGGATTCTCAGTCGTGGCAAGGCTTGGAAAGACCAACTGTTGTGAAGACTCAGTTTCACAGATGACAGACTTGACATCTTCCCTGTCTGTGACTTCTGGCCTCTTGACCTGGATGTGGTAGGGCTCTATATCTTCAGGAGATACATAATCTGGGGCATTGCTCATCAGGTCATGTCCCCGGAAGGACTTTGGAAAGGCAATGACATCTCTTATGCTTGGTGCTCCAGTGACAAGGCACACAAGTCTGTCTAGCCCTGTAAGTGAAACCTCATGTTACTTAATAAAAGCCATGTGACTTGGGGTTAATAGACAGTCAGCTTTCTATCCAAATTCTAGATAATTTTCTGTGAAGTCTTGAAGGAGTCAAACATAATTTACTGAATACCTTAAAGGTTTTAGTTGGCTCATGAATCTAATTTATAGGAACATTTTTTCTTTTTGAGACTATATTCTTTTTCTACACTCATTCTAGAGCAGTATCCAGGATCAATATCCAAAAGCTATTATAATGTATAACAAGTTTTCCTAAGAATTTACTGATGGCCCTTTGTGGACTGGGCAATAATTACTACTAGGTAACATAAGCATAAAAGAAAACAGACTTCTTGTTGGGGTATTTACAATCTGGCTGGGCAGCCTGAAATTCATCCCTCTTCTTGCTTCATAAAGTACGAGGGACAAGTGGCCCTTGCAAACAAGGTAATCAGCAAATTGTTTTTTAGGTGAAAGGAATGATTTTTATGCACTTACCTAAAGCAATTCCTCCATGGGGCGGTGCCCCAAAATCTAAAGCCTGAAGTAGGTGAGAGAGCAGTTTAACATCCTCCTGTAATTCCAAAAAGCCAACAGTCTTAAAGCTGCACAGATTTTCCCTTTCTACTCCTAGGGAATCTAATAAAGAAGTCCAGAAATTCCATTCATCTTATATTCACTTCTACCTCAATCACCAATAACATTCCCCTCTTTCTAGGATATAATTCTCAATCTCCTCAAGCCTTTCTTCCTTAAATATACTCTAACAACCCTAATTTCCAGAGTACTAGCTTTGCTTTAAATCCTAGAGATTTGCCATATTTCAAATTCAAATTAAGGTTATTGTAATGAGTGATATTAAAGCCCTTTTAATTTTTCTCCCTTCTAAGTCTTTTCACCATCATTTCACATTCACATTCTAAATGCTCTGTATTTATGAGCAATGTCTCAAGCTCAATACAGGACTATAAAAAACTATAACAGCAGACTGTAAAGCTAACTTTGTAATGTAAAATGACATTGGTTTACTTAGATTAAAGAATATCTTTGATTAAAATAAACTTTATCAAATACCAGGATGTTGCATGGAAGGTTGCAGAGGAACCCATATGGGGAGGTTACCTTTAACACTGCTTCCAGGACATACTGTTGCTGCTCTGCATTGTGAATTCGGATGGAGCCACCTCCTATCTCACTGCCATTCAGCACTAAATCATAATGTTGGCTTCTAACCTAGAAAAGAAGTGGGATTTTCATGTAGTAACAGGTTGTGGCCCTGTCCTGATTCAGTTCTTTAAGTAGAAGGTATTGTAAGTATCAAATGAGTACCAGTTTGCTAATTACTCACTCAAAACAGGCAATGTATGGAGCAGTTTAATTTTTCCTTGAATTGCTAACAGTGAGAGTCAGTACTGAAGACTCTGATGCAGAATTTAAAGTTTTCTGTCTTGACTTATCTCTTTTTATTTGAAAGCATAGAAAATGGTACCTTTTCTGGCTCAGTGTAGAGGAGGTGGATGTCGCTGGGGTGAGGAGCAGTAAACGGATGATGGGCTGACTCTAGTTCTGTGGGATCCTCTTCCTTAGGAAGGAAGAGTGGAAATTCCACCACCCAAAGGAAGTGGAACACAGCTGGGTCACGAAGCACTACTCCTCTGGCTTCTAGAAGGTCAGCACATTCCAGGCGTAATTTTCCTAATACAGAACACTGTGGATGACAGGGAGAGAATAAGTAGAGGGAAGCCCAGTTAACTGGCACTCAGACCGAATGTAGGGGCTTGGCGCATAGGGATCTACTGATAGTCCTTGGAATTTATAGAGAATTGTCGGACACATTGGAGATGGCTGGGAAGTAGCAGAGTGGGTCTGAGACTGGGCAAGAGAAGGTAGAGCCCTCACTAACTAGAGCCCAGGGTCACAGGAGAAGGGGTCTTTATTATTTTCAATAAAACCAGAACCTGCTATCCTTGAAAACTGTTTATAAGAGCATATACAAGCCAAAAACCCCCGACATGAATAAATAATAACAAAGAAGCAACGTTTTGCAGCACTTGGATATTCAGTCTCCAGAACATGGGAGGGTAGGATGGCTGTTTTCAAGTAAAGGGCTGTTGTCTAAAAGCGTTCACATCTAGTTTGTTCTTGTGTTTGGCCTCAGAGGCAAGAGCTAACACCAATGGATAGAAGGTGTAGAGGGGCACATTTTGAGGTTTTTTTTAAAAATTAATTTATTTTTGGTTTTTAACAATCACTTCCATACACTTTTGCGTTTTAAATTTTCTCTCCTTCCCTCTCTTCCCCCCTCCCCAAGATGACATGAAATCTGATATAGGCTATACATATACATTCCTATGAAACATATTTTCACATTAGTCATGTTGTAATCAAGAGTTAGGACCAATAGGAGGAACCACAAGAAAGAAGAAACAAAACACAACAGAAGCAAAAAAAAGAGCAAAATACTATGCTGCAATCTTCATTCAAACTCCATAGTTCTTTCTTTGGATGTGGATAGCATTTTCCATCACGAAGTCTTTGGAGATGTCTTAGATCCTTGTATTGCTGGGAAGGGTTAAGTTTATCAATATTAGTCATCACACACCATGGCTGTTACTGTGTACAACATTCTCCTGGTTCTCGCTTCACTCAGCATCAGACCATACAAGTCTTTTCAGGTTTTTCTGAAGTCTGCCCTTCTGAAGTCATTTCTTATAGCACAATAGTATTCCATTGCATTCATATACCACAACTTGTCCAGCCATTTACCAATGATGGGCACCGAGGGGCACATTTTGGTGTAAGCTAAGGAAAATGTTCTTAGCAATTAGAGCTATAAAGAAACAGACCCGTCGGCCTCAGGAGGTAGTACAGTCTCCTTCACCTGCGGTCTTCAAGAAGAAGCTGACTGACCACTCACTGCAGATCTTGTAGAGCAGGGGTTGGCAAACTTCAGTCTGTGGGCCAAAGGTTGTGTACTGTCTGCTTTTGTGAGGCCATGCCAGCGAGCTAAGAATGGTTTTTACATCTTTAAATACAACATACAACACAATAACTTTATTTAAAAATGTAAAAACCATTCTTAGCACACACTATACAAAAGTTGGCTGGTCAGCTAGCTTTGGCCTGTGGCCATAGTTTGCTGACACCTCTGTGTGGAAGAAACTCCTACGAAGGTATAGGTTAGCCAAGACAATCTCTGAAGTCTTCTCCAAATACGAGATTCTGTCATTTCACAACTGCAGGGGCTATCTTTGAGAACTCCCCCCTCCCATCCTCTTGGAATGTTTAAAAAGCTGATTATATTTTTCAAAAGTCTGATTTCTAGATTTTTTTCAAGGAAAGTCCAGGAGGAATTAAACAAGCAAAACAAAACTATTTTCTTTGGCTCACGTCACTATTTGGCCTATTTAAATAGGATTTTCACACTGAAAACAAAACAGAAAAACCACACAATCAAATCTCTTAAATAAATTCATTAGCAATAAAATCTGTAGCTGTTCAGTCTTCTTCACATTACTGCTATCATAAGAGAGATTATGGGTTACATTTGACTTTCAAGTTGTACTTCAGGACCCCCTGTAAGAGACAAGAAAAAGTAAAACTATCACAGATTAGAAGAATGAACTTCATAGAAGTGCAGACAATTACTATAAAAGACAGATCCTATACACTAGCAAGAGAAATCCTATACTTCCTGTCACTAGCCCCCTTCTCCCTTGCCATCCAGGAGTCCGCTCTCTACTTTGTTTTCGCCCTTTGCCTGGCGGCTAAGCCAAGAGTCACCACCTCTATTCCTTCTGCTGAGGTGAAGGACCAGAGGCCTGATCATCCGCTAACTTCTATATCCGGCTGACACACTTATGAGCCCAAAGACCTCTGGGCCCTGCTAACCACTCCAAGGAACTCTGAGCACTTTTGGGTCTTTCCATCTCTTCTGCAGATGTTGTTTCTCCCAGCTGTGAGGTCCTGGACAAGGACTGTTTCATTTTTTCTGTGTGTCTTCCGAATGCTTAGTTAGGACAGTGCTTGGCATACTTGTTGTTATTCAGTTGCGTCCAACCCTTTGTGACTCCATGGACCACAGAGCACCAATGCTGTTGATGGGGTTTTCTTGACAAAGAAAGTGGAGTGGTTTACCATTTCCTTTTCTAGTGGATTAAGGCAAATGGAGGTTAAGTGACTTGCTCAGGTTCACACAGCTAGTAAGTGTCTGAGGCAGGTTTTGAACTCAGGTCAGGCCCAGTGTTCTATCTGAGCCATCCAGCTGCCCATCTAGCTGCCTGGTACATATTACATTCTTAAAAATGCTTTTTTTATTCATTAATATGGAAGTAGAGATTTAATCTACCTGCAAAATTGTAAGAGAAGGCTAAAGGTTATCTTTTACTGACAAAGAGAACTCAAGGATGTTTTTCTTCAGCATATTATGAAATACATGGAAAAAAACCCAGGAGAATATTGTACACAGTAACAGCCATACTGTGTGTTGACTGACTTTGACAGACTTAGCTCTTCTCAGCAATGCAAGGATATAAGACAACTCCAAAAGACTCATCATGGAAAAAGCTATCCACATCCAGAGAAAGAACTATGGAATCTGAATGTAGATCAAAGTATACCATTTTCTCTCCTTTTCTTTTGTTGTTTTGTTTTGATTCTTCTTTCTCGTCATTCCTCCCATCGGTTCTAATTCTTCTTTACATCATGACTAATGTGAAAATATGTTTAATATGAAAGTACAAGTAGAGCCTGTATCAGATTGCATGCTGTTTTGGGGAGAGGGGAGGGAGAGGAGAGGGAGGGGAAGAAAATTTAAAACTCAAAATATTACGGAAGTGAATGTTGAAAATTAAAAATTAATAAATAAATTATGTAATAAAAAAAGAAAAAAAAGAAATATATTTAAAAAGTTGAAGTGAACATATATTTCCATAGAGATGTTGGGATTAACAAAGTACTTTCAAACACATAAGCACTCATTCACAGGGTCACCATTTTATGGAAATACTACCCAATTTCTATTGTGTGCTACATAAAAAGGAAGTGGGAGCCCCTGCTATAGCCATAAATCCTGCCATGGGCTACTGGGCTCAATACAGACCAGACATATGTGACTTCCTCTTTAGGAGAAGTCTTTGCTGGGAGTGGGGAATGTGGACATTTGCGCATTCTTTCTTACCGCCTTCTTGTGCTCTCCAGCAGTTAACAGGAGCACATCATCCTCCTGGGCCCCTGTTAGACTGATTAGGGCTGTTTTCTCCTCTTCCTTTAAGAGCTTGGTAAATGGAGACTTTCCACTTCCACTGGTTTTCAGAAATAAGGGTGAAACCTCCTACAGGGAAGAAAAAGTCATATTTATACTCTAAATGCCAACCAACAAATTTGGCAAAGGGCTTCTGTTGAGTGAGCACTTATTTTCTGTTTAATTTAAGTTTTTTTTTTATCATTTTATAAATCAAGTTACTGGAGGCACTTTGTTCGGGAAGAGTGGTCAAGTATGTGTTTGGCTCTCCTGAGTCAAAAGCTCTGAAAAACACCCAACTGTAAACACAGTTGGAGAAGATGATTTTAGAAGAATGCAGGCACAGTCCAACAGAGAGGAGAAAAATAGGCCTAAAGGTCGGTAGCTAGTGATACCTTTTCCTTGAGAAAATGTGTGCAGGGTAGCAATTTAGGAAGCCAACTTGTTTGTTGAGTCAGATAACAATAGTAGTTAACATTTATCTAGCAGGTGAAGGTTTGCAAGAGGCATTAACATGTCATCTCATGTGATCCTCATGACAACCCTCAGAGGTGGGTGCTATTATTATCCCTTTTTTACAGATGAGGAAACTGAGGCAAACAGAAGTTAAGTGACTCACTTAGGGTCACATAAAAAGTGTCTGGGGCAAGATTTCAACTCGAGTCTTGACTCTAAAGAACACAAGGTTTGATTTTTAAAACAGACATGACTAGCATTACCTGGCAAGGTGAAAGAAATAGGATTCCTTAAAATAACAAAACTTTCTCTGCTAGATATGGCTTAATAGCTCAAGTGAATTTTAAATAACTAATAATAATGACTCATACCACATAGTTCTTTTTGTTTTTGTTCAATTGTTTTCCAGTTTTGTCCAACTCTTTGGAGCCTATTTGAGGTTTTCTTGGCAAAGATACTAGAGCGGTTTGCCATTTCCCCCTCCAGCTCATTTTACAGATGAGGAAACTGAGGCAAATAGGGTTAAGTGACTTGCCAAGGGTCACACAGCTAGGCAGTGTTTGAAGCCAGGTTTGAACTTAGGAAGATGAATCTTCCTGACTTCAGGCCCAGAATTCTATCTCCTGTGTCACCTAGCTGCTCCTACATTGGCTTTACGGTTTACAAAAAACTTTCCTTTCCACAACTCTGAGGCAGAGGTCCAAAGATCATTATCCTCGTTTTAGAGACAATGAGACTTGGAGAGACTGAATGACTTGCAGCTTCGAAGTGGCAGAGCTGGATCGTGGGCCCAGCTCTTCTGGTTCCAAGTCCAATGCTTTTTCCATGACAACAAGATGACCCTCATTAAAAGTTCTAGATTGTGAAATGGAAGATCATTAAAAGCCCCTAATACAACAGACACGTTCCCTTCTTACCTGATTAAAATGGTTAACAGCAAATTTCTTAATGGCCTCAAAGTCTTTACTTTTCAAATATTTCTGAAAAACAAAGTGAAGAGGTAGAGCTCTCAATAAGACATGGTTTCACAAACTTACAGCCCTTGTATAAGATACATTAAATGGGACATGAATTTTGCCATCTTACAATACAGAGGAATTCAATAAAACTACTTTCTGTTGCTGAACGATAATTACTTAGAATTTTATGGCACTAAACTTATTTCAGTTACATATCTCACATTTGTTGACCTTTTCTCTTTGGGATGTGGGAGTCAGTAGGAAATGCCATATTTTTCACATAGTCTCTGTATCACTATTATACTCTGAAAAATTGATAATACCTCCTAAATAACAGAATATTCATAATTTGAAGGTTAAGAGCTTTTAAAAAATTTCTTGTCTTCAGTTTTTAACTATTTATATCCATCTGATTAATTTTTTCTATTAGAATCATGATCATCATTGAACATTTACTCAGTGCCTATTTTACCAGGTGCTACAGACACCTCCCTTCCCTCCAAATGGCACTCTAGGAGGAACTTCCATGGGAGCTGGGAAGACAGAGTCTAAGGATTAAATGATAACAGTTTATTAACTTTTCAGAGAAGCATAATCTGAGGTATATGTTAGCTGAGGCAGGTCTGAACTGTATAAGTACAACTACTTTCCACTTTTAAGAAGTTATTTCCAGATGGTGATGTGCTGGTAAATGTTTAACAACCAATTTTCTAGGGGAAAAAAGTACATATGATATACTCTCTGCCCCTCCAATTTATTACTTATTTTTTGAAATATTCATTTAAACAATTTTAAATTCCAAATTCTCTCTAAATTCTATCCATCCCCCCACCCACTGAGAAGGAAATGTGATATCAATTATACACGTGAAATCACAAAAAATTTCATATTTGTCACACTCGCAAAAAAAAAAGTAAGAAACATAAAGTAAAAAAAATTATGCTTCAATCTGCACTCAGACTACATCAGTTCTCTCTCTGGAGGTGGATTGCATTTTTTATCATAATTCTTCAGAACTGTATTGCTGAGAATAGCTAAGTCATTCCTAGTTGATCATCATATGATATTGCTGTTAATGCGTACACTGTTCTCCTGGTTTTGCTCACTTCACTTTGCATTAGTTCACATAAGTCTTCCCAGGTTTTTCTGAGAGCATCCTGCTCGTCATTTCTCAAAGTACAATAGAATTCCATCACAATCATATACCACAACTTGTTTAGCCATTCCCCAATTGATGGGCATCCCCTCAATTTCCAATTCTTTACCATGACAAAAAAAGCTGCTATAAATATTTTTTTTTACATATAGGTCCTTTTCCTTTTTTTTTTTTAATATCTTTGGGATACTGACCTAGTAGTAATGTTGTTTGGTCAAAGAGTATATGCATGATTTTACAGCCCTCTGGGCATAGTTCCAAATTGCTCTACAGAATGGTTGAATCAATGTATAATTTCACCAACAGTGCATTAGTGTCTCAATTTTCCCACATCCACTCTAACATTTGTCATTTTTCCTTTCTGTCATATAATTTGGTAGGTGTGGGGTGGTAGCTCAGCGTTATTTTAATTTGCATTTCTTGAATCAATACTGATTTACAGCATTTTTTTCACATAATTATAGCTTTGATTACTTTGTCCAAAAACTGCCATTCATATCCTTTGACCATTTATCAACTGAGGAATGGCTCTTATTTTTATAAATTTGACTCAGTTCTCTATATATTTGAGAAATGAGGTCTTTTCAGGGAAACTTGCTGTAAAATTTTTTTCATAGTTACAGTTACTGTGTATTTCCCTTCATCCTATTTTTCCTGTATATCCCACTCTCTCTCTCTCTTAATTCTATCGATCTTCAAAGGTGTTTTGTTTCTATCTTTTACCTACCCCAATCCACCCTACTTTTTTTTTTTTTAAGGCAATTGGAGTTAAGTGACTTGCCCAGGGTTACACAGCTAGTAAGTGTTAAGTGCTTGGTCAGAGGCTGAATTTGAACTCAGGTCCTCCTGACTTCAGGGCTGGTGTTCTATCCACTGTGCCACCTAGCTGCTCCTCCACCCTCCTTTTCTGCCCAATATACATATTATGTGCAAATGGGCAATAGGTATTCTAATATTCCACAATTAAGATACTTTTGTTGATGTTAATTCTTTCAAAAAACATAACTTCTTTGAGCTAGGATTTTGGTAAGGCAACTCTGTCGCTAATGTAGAGCAAATGTACACTATCTGTCAATGAATATTAATTTATCATATCTAAAATGAGTTAACTGCTCCTTAGGGACCTTTAGCATATCAAAAATTTCCCAACAATTACTCTTGAATATAGGAGAATAAGTCATTGTCTATCACTTTGTTAGGTTTTTAAAATACTATTTTGATATGCTAAAAGATTAATAATGAAATCAGCTAAAAATATTCCAACCTCTCTTCAGCCCAGAGTGTGCAACCCTGCTGATGGATAATAGCAGGACAGGTCCTAGATTTGTAAGCCTTTTGAGTGGTTAAAAGAACTTGGTGTTGTGGTGTGTGTGTGTGTGTGTGTGTATGTATTTGTATGTGTATATTTTTTCCAATTACATGCAAAGGTAGTTTTGAACATTCACTTTTACTACAAGATTTTGAGTTACAAATGGTTTTTTCTTCCTCCCCTCCTCAAGTCAGCATGCAATCTGATATAGAACCTGATGTTCTTTTTGTTTTTTGTGTGTGAAGCAATTGGGGTTAAGTGACTTGCCCAGGGTCACACAGTAAGTGTCAAGTGTCTAAGGCCAGATTTGAACTCGGGTCCTCCTGACTCCAGGGCCAGTGCTCTCTCTACTGCACCGCCTAACTGCCCTGGACCTGATGTTCTTAACAAAGCTGATTGCCTTATAAGAGGATTTTACAAACGCTTAATGAAGCCATGACTTTTAGGGACATCATTTAAGCTACAATATAAACGTCTCTCTTAACAGAATCTGTTTCTGCACTAAGTGACTAACATGGCATATCTCTGTTTCCGCCTGGACTGCTCTGCGAGTGGCACAATATCACTTACTGCCCCTCCAGGAATACAGACGGTTTTGACGGTGCCTCGGGGCTCCTTCAGCATATCTTGAAGAAATTCAATCTCTGTGTCCTAAACATGCCACTGACATCAACAATCTGGTAGATGAATAACAAAATAACAAAGTAAAACATGAGCCACAGAAAAGCTTTATTTGGTGCTGTAATAACTTTGCTAATGTAATTTAATTCACATTCACATATTCATGTTTTCACTGAACACAGAAATTTTCTACAACTAGTTAATTTATCATCTAATCCATATGACATAGGAGGAAACTGAGACAAAGAATAGTTGGGACCTACCTGCTAGTAAATACCTAGTGATAAGCCTTGGGTAGCTTGACTTCCTCCAATCTCTTTATGTTACCTTTTCAGAATCGTATTCTGTTCATTTTGGAAGGTTTAAGTAGAGCTTAAATTTTAAGGAGTTCCCCTTGCCTCATACTTTACAGAAAAAAAGGAGGCTGTTCACTGTGAATTCCCTCTTTCCCCCTTTTCCTCACATTTTATCATTTACCTTCTGACACTATCTCTTTTTTCAAACCTAACCCACATAACAGACCTTACTCCTTACCAAGACTAACCCTTCTACTTGCTCAAATGATTCCGTTCCATTCCAACATCTCTAAAAGATCACCCCTTCTGTCATTTCTACTCTATCACTTATCTTCCATCTTTCCCTGTCTCATTTCCTACTGCTTACAATTATGCCCATGGTTCCCCCACCAGGAAACCCTCACTTGATCCTTCTGTCCCTGCTCACTATCCTCCCACATCTCTTTGACCCTTTGTGGCTAAACTCCTTGAGAAGGCCATCTACAACAGAAGCCTCCACTTTCTGTCTTCTGACTTAACTCCCTACAATCCAGCTTCTGATGTCATTGTTCCACCAAAACTATTCTTTCCAAAGTCACCAATGATCTCTTGGCTGCCACATCCAATGGCTTTTTCTCATTCCTCCTTCTCTTTGACCTCTCTGCTGTCTGTGACACTGTTGGGCACTTGATACTCCCTTCTCTCTAGGTTTTCAGGACACCATTTTCTTTTGGTTCTTCTCCTACCTCTGTGACCTCCTTCTTAGTCTCCTTTCCTGGGTCCTCATCTAGCCCATGCCCTGTAACCTCAGGTATGCCACAGGGTTATGTCCTGGGCCCTCTTTTCTTCTCTCTCTATACTACTTCACTTGGTGATCTCATCAGCCCCTATGGACTTAATTACCATATCCATGCTGATAATTCTCAAATCTACCTTTCTTGCCCCTACCTCTCTGCTGAACTCTGATCTCTTATGTCCAACTGCCTTTCAGACATCTTGAATTAGATCCAGAAGACATCTTAAACTCAATATATACAAAACTGCAGTCATTATTTCCTCCCTTACCTTTTCCTGTCACTGTTCAGGACAATGCTATCATCTCAGTCACTCAGGCTTACAACCCAGGTATCATCTTGACTCCTTACTATCTCACTCCCCCAGCCAATCTGTTGCCTAGGCAACAGAAAGATATGCCTGACACTTCCCCTCCTCCGCCACCACTCTAGGACAGTCCTTATCATCTCATGCCTGGACTACTGCAGTAGGGTGCAGGTGGGTCTGCCTGCCTTAAGTCTCTCCCCAGTCCAGTATGTCCTCCATTCAGTCACTAAAGTGATTTCATGTCACCCCTAGTGGCTCCCTATCGCTTCAGGATCAAATACAAAATCCTCTGTGTGGCATTTAAAACTCATAACCTAGCCCTTTCCAACCTGTCAGTCTTCTTATACCTAACTCCTTGATATGTACTTTCTAAGCTGGTGACACCCATCTCCTGGCTGTTCCACAAACAAGACCCCCCATCTGTCTGTTCCAAGCATTTCCTCAGGCTGTCTCTCATGCTTGGCGTGTTCTCCTTTCTCATCTCCACCCACTGCCTGTAAGTCTCTTCTATAGGTAGCCTTCTCTAATCCCTCTTAATTCTAGTGCCTTCCTTCTGTTATTTATTTCCTATTTATTCTGTACACAGCTTGTTTGTGCATTATTTGTTTGCTTGTTGTCTTCCTCCACTAGATTGTGAAGCCTCCCTTGAGGGCAGGAACTGTCTTTTACCTCTTTTTGAATCTCCAATGTTTAGTAAGTACCCAGCACATAGTAGGTGCTTAAAGATGCTTACTGACTGACTAAAAGTATAAACACAGGTAATTCAAATAACCTACCAAGTAAAGAATTGCAGTATTATGTAAATCAGACTCTTTATGAGGAAAACAATGAGGACATTTTGAATAGATGCTGTTTTAAGGGTTATATCCTTTTCCACCAGTAAAATACACATTGAATTTAAATAATTTAGTGAAGACATAAAATGGGTATTTCCTAGCAATGTGATCACGATCATCAAACTTGTACTCATTTACCTTTCAAAGTACATCTTTGGTCAAAAATTTCTAGTTGGAAGAGTATTTTATGACAGGTTTGATCTTTAGTCTCCATGTTAAGGCTCAGAGTAGGATTTTTCAATTGAATTTATGAGTACCTGTTCAGTTGAAACTGGGCTAAGATTATGTTAATCAATTTGGAAAACCCATTATATTTCATGTCAGCCTTCAATAGTATCATGACTGAGATACCCCTAGAGCAGTGAGATGAGAGGTACACATAAGACTTGAATCACACTGCTACTTCCCCGACTATCAGAGTCCATCTTTCACTAATATTTGTTACTTCTTATTCTCATATCATCAACTCTGCTATTAAGGCCAACATATATGTATATATGTATATAGATACATACACACATGTATACACACACACATAAAATCTTAAGTTAGAGGGGAAGGGAAAGGAAATAAGCATTTACATAGCATCTACTATGGGCCAGACTCTGTGCTAAGAGTTTTATAAATATTATCTCATTTGATCCTCACAACAACCCTGGGAGGCAGTTGCTATTATTATCCCCATTTTACAGCTGAAGAAACTATGGCAAATAGAAGCGAAGTGATTTACCCACGGTCACACAATGTGTGGTCAATGTCATAGTCACTAGCAAATGTCTGAGGCCAGATTTGAACACAGGTCTTCCTGACTCTAGGTTCAGTGCTCTATCCACTGTACTACCTAGTTGTCTCCAAGCTGCCTAGAATTTGATTACTAAAGTCACTGTCCCTAAAATGTGGTACTAGAGTGACTAGAAGGACCCAATAGTAGTATCACAGGGCTCTAAAACAGAGGTGTCAAATTCATGGCCCTTGAGGCTCAGGGACAAATCAAAGCAGATTAAAATGTAACTGGGAAATGTTCAACAAAATAAATAAAAATACAACATAAATAATGCTAATCTGTGTGTGTGTGTGTGTGTGTGTGTGTGTGTGTGTGTGTGTGCGCGCGCGTGCGCGTGTGTTTTAAGTAAATATATGGCCCATAGAAATCTCTTTCTATTTGAGTTTGATGCCTCTGTTCCAATATACCCTTTACATTTTCGGTTGATTAGAAAGCAGCCTGATTTTAAAAATCAGGCAGTGCCACAGCACACAACTGACTGCCACCTCCAAAATGAGTTTAAAATAAAGACTGCAGGAATACCTCAAAATACTTTGTAGGAAAAAGAATTACCTTCATTCCAAAGCGAGTATCTGGTTTATCAGTCCCATATAAGTTCAAAGCCTCAGTGTAAGTCATAGAAGGGAAAGGAATAGTAAGAGGATTTTTGTCCTTAGGCCACGAATACTGAAGCAAACCCTCAATTAATTTCTGGATTCCGGCCTGGTCTACAAAAGACATCTCTATGTCAACCTGAAATCAAGAAAACATCACATGGATATCAGTTTCAATAGCTGTTACTAATATTTACAACCAAATCTTCTTTGTTGTTTTTTTAAGAAACCAAAGGATTTTATATAGACATTTATATGGATGACAAAAACCACTGACCTCCTATACAGAAGCCACATTCTAGTTACTTTTTATTTCAGATTTGGATAGCTAAATTAAGTTGATATAGGCGAGAGTTTTCAGGAATTTTATCAGTAAATTATAGGCATCATTAACAAGGGGAAGAAAATTTTGACATTCTATTGGTAACCTGGAACAAGAAGGCATAATTCATGAACAGGACGGGTTAAAAGTAGGATAGTTGGAAGTATAACTGCAATGAAGTAATGTTAGACATATGACTAAAATTAAAAGAGAAATAAAATAAAGCAGAATGGCAATTGTGGTCTTAGAAATATTTCTCACACAGCAAATAATAACGACGATAAATTGTGTTTACATTGTGTTTAACACAAATACAAAATCAGGTTAGCCTGAATCTATAAAATTCAGATGAATGAGCTCATTTATACCTGGGTAAATTCAGGTTGCCTTTCTGGCTTAGAACCTTCATCTCGATAACAACGGGCAACTTGGAAGTATCTGCGACAATAAGAACACCATTAATTTAAGCTCTGGAAGAAAGACATACTCATTTTCCACCAAAGCACCATGTTAGCCATGCCAGCAAAACACAGATGAGAATGAATGCCACATCAGGAAGACACATTCTGCCCTTCTTGCTGTTGTTCCGATCTCATCTCTCAACCTGTCTGAAGCTATTCAGACCTGCTCTTCCCTCCTCAACCTTCCCATTCCTCTTTCTACACAGTCCATCCCCACTTCTCAGCCAAGAACCTTGCTTCTTATTTTACTGAAAAACTGAGGTCATTTGAGGTGAGTTCTCTTTCCATCTATTCATCTTAAAACCCTTTGACATCATTCAAACAGTTTTTCTGTTTATCTTTTAGAGCCCTGGCTCTAAAACTAATCTGGCTCCAACCTTTCTTTCTAGACCCAGTGAACATCATCCCCCTGCCTGCACTTTGGGATACAGTCAGATTGGCCTTCTTTCTATTCCTCACCAACACTGACACTCTGCTTCCCATTCTGGTGCTGCAGCGGCCATCCTATGTGCCAGAAATGTACTCCTTCCTTATTTCTGTCTCAGAGAAGACCCTTTCTTCCAGCTCCAGCACCTTCTTTTTGTATTTTCCTGATCTCCCCAACAGCTTATCCCTCTGAAACGACTTTGTATTTAACTACTTTGCTATATTTGCATTTATTAACTTTGCATTTATGCTGTATGTATTTTTATGTGTACTTTTAATCTTTTCATTAGAATGTAAGTTCTTTATGAGTAGAGATTGTTTTGTTCTTTGTACCTGAATTTCCAGCACTGAGTGCCTGACACGCGGTAATGTCTTAATAAATACTTGTTGATTTATTAAACTTAATTTTTTTCTTCTGCCTATCACTTAAGAGTACCATTCCTAAGTCTACACTGGAATCTTTTGGTAATCAATCCATTAGTACAGAATTTCATTTTTTTACAGGTTTTGGCTGAAACACTTGTAAATATCCTACCCTTCTCAGAAGGCTGAGTTCCTAAACATCCTGTTTTTGGCAATAGCTAGATTAAAGAAATCTTACCTGTCAAAACCTCCAACCATCAAAAGCTGCTTGAACTGTTGAGGACTCTGAGGAAGAGAATAAAACTTTCCAGGTTCCCTTGATGGCACCACAAATTCTTTTGCACCCTGATATCAAAGCAAGGAAAAGAATGGGGACATTGTTGAAAATTAAGAGCAATGTATAAATAATTGGCTGAGGCTACTGTTAAACATTACTAAGATCAAGCAAGTTGAAGTTAAAAAAAAGTTCTGGTTTAACATCTCGACAATCAAGATTATTTTGAGCACTGTTTTCTACTTAGGTAAATATTAACTTCCTACATTTAAATGTAAACTCACTGAAATGATAAACTCATTAAAAACAGAGACTATTCTTATTTATCTCTATGCCTTCTCTACTTCACTGCCTTTCTTGTAAACCATAAACACTTAATTAACATTTGTTGAATTGTTGCTTAAATTGTAGTTATTAAGTCAATCAATAAAATTTTGTGCAAAAATACCAAAGTTTGGTAAGTCAGTATTCTTCTTGGATCCCTCAGATGAAAGATAACAATTGTAGAGGATGAGGATTCATCATGTATCTTTCCCAGCCCCTTATCAATATCAGTTAAGTATTTAAGACACATGAAAATAAAACAGAAAAGTTGGACCTAGCTTGGAGATTTCTCATCTGCTCCCATGAGTTCAATTATCTGATCACACACCACACACCCACACACCCACCTCTAGACCTAATCTTTCCTGTACTTCACTGGAATATCACCACCTGCCCGCTACTTAGCCACCTGCTCTTTGTAGGTGCCCCAAACTAAAGCATGTTCAAATCTTCCACCTCAAACTCGCCCCTCTTCTAAACGTCTCTATCTCCGCTCAGGACCTTAGGGCAGAGCCATGTTTACAGGTAACCTTGGCATTGCTGACTCTTCCCTCTTTCTATCCTCTTGATATTGTCAGTTGTTGAGCCTTACTGACCCTAGTTCCATAACATCTCTTGCATTTGCTACTATTAATGACGCTACCACCCTGGTGCATCTCCTTATCAATTCCTACCTGCGCTATTTTAACACTCTCCTTGCAACACTCTCCTTGCTTCCAGTTTTCACCCCTCCAGTCCATTCCCCACACAGTTGCCAAAATCATTTTCCTGAGCACAGGTCTGACAATGTCACTCCTGAGCTCAAAAATTATTTCCTCTGGACACAAACACAATTTCAGAGTTGGGTATTTAAAGTGGTCTATATTCTTGCTCCTACTCATTTTTCCTGATTTATTTCATAAGACTCTCCTTCGCCAACTTTATGTTCCAGTTTAACTAGCCTACTAACTGTTCCCTATCATAGCTAACATAGCATCTCCTGTCTGTCTCCAATGCCTGGAATGCACTCCCTCTTGGGAAGCCTTTTGTCCTTTAAGACTCAGCTCACTTGTCACCTATGGAGGTGAAACCTTTCTTCAGTCTCTATGTTGTTGGTGCTCATTACCTCCTTGAGTTACCTTGTACGGACTTATCTGTGTACATGTGGTACTTCCCCAGAAGGTAAACTTCTTAAGGGAAAGAACTATTTCGTTTTTGTCTTTCAAACTCCAGGGCCTGAAGCAGCTCCTGGCAAACAGCAGGTGCTTAATACTTGCTGAGTCAAAGAGATATCAGGAGAAAAACAAAATGACATAATGTTCCAGAATATTAAGATATTAAGGAAAAAGTAAGGAATATACATACCCCTGGAGTTTTCTTAAATAATGTTGGTGTTTCAACATCCACAAACCCTAAAAGGGAAAGAACATCAAATCTGTAATTAGTCAACTAAAGAAGCCCTGAATGAACATGATGTCTGAAACTGTTCCTTGAATAGCAACTATGGCTGGTGGATACCACCTAGTTTATTAATCCCAGTTTCCACACATACCCCCAAGAAAAGGTTTTAAGGACTTGGTGAATCCTATCTTTCTGTAACAACTCTATCTTTGGCATAAAACAATTTATAAACTATTTACGATTCCCTATCTCCTGTTGCTATCCAGGTTTTCTGAATGTTACACAAGAATGCCAAAGATAACAAAAAATTTAAATGAAAACTAGAAAAATTTTCCTAGGCAGCCACCAAAGAGTGATGTAAGCACAAGAAGATGGTTAAAGAAAATGACCTATATGTTCTACTTCGAATGGCTGAGAGGAATGACTAAACAGGAGGCTGAGCAGAAGCATTCCTTGACTTGCCCAAGTCACACAGGGAGTAAGAGGCAGAGCTGGCATGCAAACCCAGGCCCTCTGACACCAAACCCTGGCCATTTTCACTGCCTCATGTTGCTTCTCTTGAGGTAGCACTTTAAGTCTTGCAGCCTCAGTTGCTTAGCTACAAATCAGGGGCAATAACTATCTTATAAGTCTGTGATGAAAGTCCTTTATAAGCTTTAAAGAGCAATATAAATATGAGCTATTATTATTTATCTTCCTAAGTTTGTTTCAAATGAAGATCTGATAAGCATGCTTTTTGTCTTCATCATTTCAATTCAATAACCATTAATCATCACCTCCCAAAAGCAGATGTTTTTGATCCACTGACTAGACTTCTAGATTATTTTTCTGGTAAAAATATTCTGAAAATAATCATTATTTTACTCATACTGCTGTATACACTGAATGCATCATAGGGACTAGGCAGATAGGTACATTTCAGTAAACAGAAAAGATGCTGGAGTACTTAAAGGAACATTCCAACATTGCTCTTACCATGCAGATTACAGAGGTATTCCCGCATTTTCATGACCATCAGGGATCTCAGTCTTAGATTATACTGCATTTGGGAACTACGTAAGTCTAAGTAGCGATACTTCATACGAAGAGCTTCTGTTTTCTAAACAAATTTTTTAAAAGGTGATGTCCATATAGTCTTAAGAAATTTCTATTTCTACAAAATATGCTCTAGACAAATATTAAAAGATATAATTTTTCAGACACAAATATTTTTTCTAAAATGTTATCATAACCTTAATTTCTATAATATAATCCATCAGCATTTATATATCCAGCCCTAATATATCTTCATTCTAGTTTTTCATAATCCAGAAAGGGTACAGTGTTGCTGTTAACCTTCTCATATTTATCAAATGGCAGAAAGCACAAAACTAGCTTTACAGATATCCACTTAATCAGTTTCTGATTTAAATTTCAAGTTTTTCACCCTTGAATGGAACTAGTCTGCTTTGATAAACGCTACCTACCATGTCACTTCCATTTATTTAACCTTTGGTTCAATTTTGGAATTGTTTTAGTCCATAAACACATCAATTAAGAATTTATTCCTTAGCACAGGATTCTCTGAAAGGGATAAAATGTTGGGGAAAAGGACAGAAAGGGAAGAGCTAGTATGCAAACCCACATAGCAGTAAAAATAGTTGATCAAAAAGTCAGATACATGTTAATCGTTATGCTACACCACTGCTGGTATGGGAGCAAGGAGGCCAATCAGGAGGTTATTGCAATAGTCTAGAAAAGAAGTGATGAGGGCCTGAACTGGGGTAGTGGCTATGTGAGTGAAGGCAAAGGGACAAATGAAAGAGAGATTATGAAAGTAGGACTGATAAGACTAAACAATGGTTTGATAAACAGAAGTGACTTCAAAGTTGTAAAACTGGAGAACTGAAAGAATGAGTGTTAACAAAAATATATTCCAGAAGGAAGAAACAATTGATGTTGCCATTATATAGAAGTCAAGCAGAATTGCTGAGAAAAAGGGATCAGATTCAACAGTTAGGAGACCACAGGTAATCTTCCAAAAAGCTGTTTCAGTTGAGTGGTGTATAAAAAAGCAGATAGCAAGGGGGTGGTTGGTAAAGGAAGTGAGAGATGAGGCAACAGGAAAAATAACCTTTTCTGTTGGAACACTAATGCATTGTTGGTGGAGTTGTGAAATGATCCAACCAGTTTGGAGAGCAATTTGGAATTATGCCCAAAGGGCTATAAAAATGTGCATACCTTTGACCTAGCAATAGCATTTCCAGGGCTGTATCCCAAAGAGATCATAAAAATGGGAAAAGGACCCACATGTACAAAAATATTAATAGCAGCTCTTTTTGTGGTGGCAAAGAATTGGAAATTGAAGGGATGCCCATCATTTGGGGAATGGCTGAATAAGTTGTGGTATATGAATGTAATGGAGTACTATTGTGCTATAAGAAATGATGAGCAGGTGGACTTCAGAAAAACCTGGAAAGACTTGTAAGGACTGATGCTAAGTGAAGTGAGCAGAACCAGGAGAATATTGTACACAGTAGCAGTCATGTGGTGCGATGACTAACTTTGATGGACTTAGCTCTTCTCAGCAATGCAAGGATCTAAGACATCTGCAAAAGTCTCATGATGAAAAATGTTATCCATTGATAGCACAGAAAGAACTATGGAGTTTGAATGCAGATCGAAGCATACTATTTGCTCTTTCCCTTCTGTTTTGTTTTGTTTCCTCTTTCTTGTGGTTCCTCCTATTGGTTCTAATTCTTCCTTACAACATGACTAATGTGAAAATAAAAAAAATAACTTTTTCAGTGGTGTTTGGCTGTGAAAAGGAGAGTTCATACACACACATGAAGGGCCTCAACACCGTTCTAAACTCTAACAAATACAGGGTGCCATATCTGCTCGGAATAGATCCCAACCACCACTTTCATGCCAGGCACAAATTTGCTCCCAAGATAAAAAACAATCACAGGAAGATGGCACAGACTGGCAGAGACAGGCTAACTTACCAAAAGTGACAAACCATCCCTCAAAGAACAGATATCTAAGAATGTGTGATGTTGAAATATTAATCTACCTCACAGCACAAAAGGTGTTTTTTGGATACAAAGGGAACTACAGCTATTTGAGGACAGTTCAGACAGTTCAGAGAAGTTGTGACACAGGAAAATTTATGCTGTCTCTATCATAAAGTCATTCTATTTCACTGTTTGGAAATCAATCTTTTCTTTTCTTTTCTTTTTGGTGAGGCACTTGGGGTTAAGTGACTTGTGCAAAGTCACACAGCTAGTGAGTGTTATGTGTCTGAGGGTGGATTTGAACTCAGGTTCTCCTGACTCCATGGTTGGTGCTCTATCCACTTCGCCACCTAGCTGCCCCCAAAATCAATTTTTTCTTTAAGAGATTCTATCAATGTTCTACTTTTCTTTGATAATATCAACATTTCCTGTAAACTGTTAGAAAAAAAAAGGTAGTAATGACCTTCATGAAGTCCTTAATCTCAAAAGGCAGCTTCTTGCAGGAATTCAAAAGCTCTGCTGTTTTCACTTCGATTTCAATTTCACCCGTTGGCATTTTCTAAAAAGGGGAAAGAAATACCAATGTTTAAAACCACACATTAGGACATAGGACTTTGAATCTTTCAAAACAATCTGATGGGGTTTTAATAGCCCTTGTTAGAACATACTTTAGTATATTTGTCCACAGTGTTAAAAGGCAAACTGAATTCAACAATTTAAAATATGATATATTATGCTTTTTGCTCTCACCTATGTTTAGTGAAAATGAAAGGCTTTTGTTGCCTTTCCTTGATTTACAAGCTTATAAACTTAATTTTAGTAGATTTATGTTCCAGATGAATACACATCCTACTTCCATTTTCTGTTTTGTTTTGTTTTGTTTTTGCTAGGCAATGGGGTTAAGTGACTTGCCCGGGGTCACACAGTTAGTAAGTGTTATGTGTCTGAGTCCGCATTTGAACCCAGGTCCTCCTGAATCCAGGGTGGGTGCTCTATCCACTGCGCCGTCTAGCTGCCCCCTACTTCCATTTTCCATCTACATAAAGGCACATGTGTTTGTGTGCACAAGCATTTATTACATACGCAAAACTTAAAAATACTTATCACATATGGAAGGACAAATGTATGTACTCAATTCAATACAATAAACGTTTGTTAAATGCCTACTTTATGCCAGGCATTCAAGAGCATTCAAAAAGAGGCAAAAGATAGTTTCTGTCCTCAAGGAGCTTACAATCTAATAGGTGAGACAACACGCAAAACAAGCTGTATCATTTTTGTGCAGACTTCTTCAAAGGATTCTGCCAATGGCTATCTGTTTATGTGCTATATTTCCCCAGGATGTGAGCTCCTTGAGTGAAGGGACTATTTTTCATTTTGTCCTTGTATCTCTAGAACACAGCACAGTGCCTTACACAAAGCAAGTACTTAAAAAATGCATGTTGGTGCCACCTAATTACAGAAAACTACATAAACAAACATGTAGAAAGGGGTTGTTTTTTGCTGGTCCTGCAATTTTATCAGTACTGGGAGTTGCCAGTGAAGAACTCTCATTGAGTGACTTGCCCAGGATCACACAGCCAAATTATGTCTAAGGTGGGACTTGAACCAAGATCTTCCTGACTCCAAAGTCAACCCCCATATCTCATGCCAAGCTACCTCACATTGAGAGATTAGGCATCACAAAACTATCCATTTTTAGTGCTGCTCTAGTAAAAGTTAACATCGAAAACTAAATGTGCTCACACGTCCACATATACAAACACACATACACACGTGTATAAAGAAACAAATATATACATCTAGAAATGCACATACAAAAAATGATGTGAGACATATTTCTAATTCCACTAACATGAAATTTACATAGACAATTTTTGAAATACTAACTGGATTTTCCTGCCCTGGAGGCCGAGAGATAACAGTTCCAGTAACCTGAACAACAGATTCTATAGGAGCTTCACATAATAGCTTCTTCACGGAGGCAGCTGACTACAGGAAGGAAAAAAATAGTTACCAGAAACACAGTGACATGGAAGGCATTTTCAGGGTCACCAATGTGATTCTTAGAAAAGGATGGGTGCTTTATAAATTAGGTGCTAGAGTGTCTCAAATAATGTCATTGTCATTAACTTTAAGACTCTCTTTTTTTTTTGCTGAGGCAATTGGGGTTAAGTGACTTGCCCAGGGTCACACGGCTAGTGTCAAATGTCTGAGGCAAGATTTGAACTCAGGTCCTCCTGATTCCAGGTCTGGAGCTCTATCTACTATGCCACCTAGCTGCCCCCAAGACTCTTACTGATTACTAAAAAGGTTTTGTTTTTTCATTAAAGTTCCTTATAACAAGGGAAGTCAAAATCTTGGTCAAGAGTTTCTTAAATCTTCCTTTTGGGGAAGAAGGTAAAAAGCAGAAAAAGCCCGTGTATTTTGTATGAAAATGCCTCTATGATTATTAGTGTCAAGGAGAATTCAATCCAACAGCAGCAGAAGCACCAATGTGGTTGATGGAGCACAACCTGGTGTCCCTAAACTCATCCTGGATTCCTGAAAGTTTATTTCACATTATAGAAACATACGATTTAAATGAACACTATTTTCCCCTCAGTAATATCAACACAAACAAGAACCAGGATGCAAAGTAGAAACCAATGCTATCCTTCTGGCTTGGTGACAAAATGTCAATACTTTAAGTCATCCACAGAAGTTGAGCTCAAAGCTATAGCCACATTTGACTAAATTTCCTCCCTGGCATCAAAGAGTTTTTCCCAAATAAAAAGACTCTTCTCTATTACCTCATCTTGGGGAATGACGACTTGAATTAGCCCGTGGAAATCTCTCAGGATCAGGAAAAGACTTTGCCTAATTCATAAAGAACAAACACCTTCAGAAAAAAAAAGGAACTTTTGAGGGCAGAGTCTTTAAACAGAGTTTAAAAAAATGAAAGTGGTCAAGAGGATTCTCAAATACATTTTTCATAAAAATTGTGTACTTTTCACTAGCCATCCCACTATATTTAATTGCAGTGTTAAATACAGAGATAGAGACTGGACCCATGATTCCATTAGTATAGTGAACTCCTGGATGAAAGGACTCTTCCTCCCAATTCAGTTTGGTACCTTTTCTATAAGTTACTCAAAGAAGGTGGCTTAGGGTACTCTCTTAGGTTAATCAAATCGTCCAGGGTCACACAGCTAATATGTATCCAAGGGCAGGACTTTGAACCCAGGTCTTTCTGTTCTCTACAGAATCTGTTCAAGTCAAGTCAGAAAATACCTTTTTTGAGTTTATTAGAATCAAATCTAATTAGTAATATTTGAAATATAGTTTTATTGATATTTTTCCTTTATCAGAAAATAACCCCCAAAGCACTTTCCTCAGAACTGATCTCGTCTCTTTCAGAGTTATTTTCTTCATCACATAAGCTCTGGAGCTAGAAGTTCTCGTGGAGGTCATCTGGAGGCCTTCTAGTTCAACCCCCTCAGCTGACTGATAAGAAGACTAAGGTCAAGAGAATTTAAGGGACTTGTTCAAAGTCTCACGAGTCAGGAACACCAGAGGCAAAATCTGAGTCCTCTGACTCCAGAGGAAGTAGCTTTTCCTTTGTATATCTTTTCAAAGCGACTTATGTAGTCAACGTTAGGATAACTCTTAGAACTACACAAACACAGCATTTGGGATAAATGGCTTGGTCATAAAAAATGTTAAACATATGGTATTTGTGTAAATCAGTGTTAGCGGGACTCTTACATTAGTTTTATTACTACATAGGTGTGGATTCATTTGCCATTGTTCAGGTCAGTTTTAAACAAAATATTTTCATAGCTTTTAATCTTGGCTTAGTGAATAACGTTCTTATGTGAAGATCAGACTCCCATAAAATAAATTTAGAGTAAGATAAACGTCTTCTAAACACCTCTTGGAGCTTGGATTTTGGTGATTATGACCAGAACGGAAGAGTTCAACCTGAGGACATTATCAGGGCTCCTTCAATTAGTAGCACTACCAGAAGGTAAATTCTTACTACTAGGCACTTAAACAGATGCTACTGGTACCACTGCTTCAGTTATATAGCCACTCCTTACAGATATGACTACAGTAGATTACAATCAGGTAGGATTAACATTTTTTTAAAAATTCCTATTACAATCTTTACCTTGAACTAAAAGCCACAAGCAGGTAAAGGCTGTAAAGTCTACAAAGAAAGAGCTCTTTAGATCTTAAGACACAAAGAAATGCTAGAAACACTGGGAAAACTGCAAAGAGCCACCAACTCTTTTTACCTGTCTAGCTGTCTTGAAAATCCATCGAATCCTCAGACTGTGAGATGAGTAGGAGCTGAGTGATCACCTAATCTCACCCCTTCACTTTTTTGATGCTGTAACTGAGGATCAAAGACTTGTTGGAGGTCCCATGGGGTTTTGGTTAGGGGAGTTAAGACTTGAATGTAGGGCTTATGATTACAAATCCAGGGCACTGCCACTTTACCACACTCAAAAACACTGAGTATTCTTAAAAGTTCTAATTTACTTTACCTTCTGTACTGAATCCATCCACACAAAGTGACTTCTTGGCCCAAGTGAGAGGAACGCAATTCTCCACAAGTATTGGTCCGGACAGCAAAACTATTGAAATCTATTAAATGAAAAATACTAATGCAATTACATGAGATATTAATTTAAAAATGTAAATTTGCTTCTTAAATGAGTTTATATTTATATTCAAAGTGCTTTAAACAAAGGATCCCAAACTGTAATAGTCTTGGTATTCTGTTGTAGTGTATAAAGCTAATAGAGTACTTAAAGTCAGACACACGTATTTCATTAGTGTTGGCCATCTCAGCAAAGGCTGCAACTCCTCTGAGATTTCGTAGACAATCTTTGAGACTTGATATAGAAAGTTACCACCTTGTGATCAACCTACCGGTGAGCCTCTCTGTACCCGACTAGTTTTTAGACTACAGATTTTATTTTTGGCCAGGCCTGTACTGAAGGGCTTTCTGTGTTGACTGGACACATCCATTTAGCCTTGGTTGGCAAAGGTCACCCCCAAACCAGAGTGAGTATAATTACATTTAATATTAATAATGACTGAGGGGCAGCATGATCTAGTAGACCCTAGGTTGGCTTCTGAATCAGGAAGACCTGGGTGTAAGTTCCATCTCAGATACATACTGGCTGGGTGTCCCTGGGCCAGTCATTTATCCTCTAAGTGTCCCCAAGCAACTCTCTAAGACTATGAAGGAGTCCTGCAGAAGTTACTAGTTCTCATCGGTAGATGAGTTTCTGCAACAAGAGCTCCCTATACCAATGGAATCACAGATACTGTCTGAAAAAAGATTACTTAATTCCTAGAATTAAACATATTGACAGGAAGGGATCCTTTAACAGTAATGCTTAAGATTCATACAGTAATTTAAGCATTTGTAAAGTGCTTGACATATATGCTCCCATTTTATCCTCAAGAGATTAGCATAGCACCTGGTACTAAGCAAGTGCTTCATATATGCTTGTTGACTCGACAACAATCCTGTGAGGTAGGTGCTGTTACATCCCCATTTTATAAATGAAGAAACCCAAACTGAGAGAAGATACGCGACTTGTGCTGGGTCACAAACCTACTAAATGTCTGAGGCTGGACTTAAATCTAGGTCCCTAACTCTGAGGCCAGCCAGACTCTACTGCTGTAGATGTTTCCACAGTAAACATGTTGTCCTTATGGAATTTAATAAACAATGACTCCTATTTCTATGGTGATTTAAGAATCCCCTCCCTTCTTACCAAGCACTAGAGCAAAGACATCAGGATCTTATATAAAGCCCAAGATATTACAACTAGAAAGAAGCCTCAGGGATCATCTAAAGCCTCTGACTAGAAGAGTAGATTACCCTTTCTGATTACTTTTGACTGGTCTTTCAACATCCTGCTTGACAAAACTTTTCAGCAGCAAGAAACAACTCAGTGAAAAGAATACACCTGCATGTCTCTATCTGGGGCATCCTAAAAGTCTTAGTGCAGTTTATTAAGGGGCAAAACGGTGTCCCAAAAGTTTTAGTACAGTTTTAGGCTTTAGAGCATCTTTTTAAGCTTTTAATAGCAGCTTAAAACTGCACTACGACTTTTGGGACACCCTGTATCTAAAAGAGACAGCCCATCAGACTAATCTACTGAAATTGATTAAACGTGGGCTGTGCTTCAGACGTTGCTCTGACAGTTAAGCAGACCCAACACAAGTCCATCAAAACTTCACCTGGAATTCTCCTCTGTGTGCTCAGCATCAGCCATCGGGTGAGGGAGCCCAACAGCGGTGGGGCTGTCTTTCTGATGGGTCCTGACCAACTCCTGTACATCCTGTACATCAGGCACCGTCCCCGGGGGAAAGCCATACTGGAGCCACAGGCAGGAGCAGCTGCTGGACAGGGGGCCTTCCGCCGTCGGTCTTGGAGGAACAGAATGGACTATTTAGGAAAAAAAATCTACTCCCACTTCAGAAAAATAGGATCCCCCTCTTGCTGACTCCCTTCCGGACGTCACCGGGTCCGGGCACTAGTAGCTGCAGGGCTGACGTCCCGCTGAGTCCGCAAGCTCCCAGGCTGGATGTGGACCGGCGCTGGCAGCCGGGCAGGGTGGAACCAGTCCCACCGCAGGCACCAGGGAATAACAGACAAGGCCGGCTGTAACGCGGCCTTGATCTTACATTTCCTCCAATTTGCCTAAAAATGTTCATCAAGTTCAGGCCTGCACTAGGCTCAAGGAGGAGCCCAGGAGCTGTGTTCAAAAGCAACAGTCTGGTCCTCCCTCCTCCCACCAGACAGGAAAGATGCATTTATTTAGCGCCTCCTGCATGCGAGGCGCTGGAGATTCAAAGACCCTCGGCCCTCGAGGAGCTTACATGACAGGATCGGATGAGGCTCACTGAGCTGTGGAGCTGGAAGAGAGCGCCGTGACCATCGGGCCCCCTCGGTTCGTTATGCCGAGGAGGAGAGGGCAAACGACTTGTCCACGGTCACAGAGATAATTAGAGGCCTCCAAATCCAAATCCAGGGCTCCTTCTGGAGGAAGACTCGGCGGACGACCCTGTCACCTACACAAGGCCCGGCACCGCCGACAGTCTCCGCCTCCGCCGACAGTCTCCGCCTCCGCTCCGGCTCCCGCTCCAAGCCCGCCTCCCCTACAGCTCAGCGCGAGCCTCTCCGCGCCTTGAGCCTTAACGTCATCGTGCGCTTGGCGCGTGCGCCACCGGCGTCCTACGTCATCTCCTGCGCGCCGGGTGACGCCGCGGCCACCACGTCCCTTGTGGGCGGATGCCGCGGGCGGGGTGCGAGATTTCCCGGGCAAAGTCAACGGTCTCCACAGGGGGAGAGTGGCCCGGAAAGCAGGCTGCTTCTAAGATGGGGTAGGCCGAGTAACTTACGTCAGACCTTGATTACGTCGCTCGCCTTTGCCCATGGTAAAGATGAACGCCGGCCAGGCGACCCGATGCCGAATGGGGGGGAGGAGGAGGAGGAGAAGGAGGCGGGCACCGCAGAGGCGGTGTAGCTAGGCTGGCCGCGCAGCCCGTCGGGAAACAATTTCAAACAGGGGCGGGGCCTCGCCTGGAGGATGCCGCGGAGCGGCCGGAGCTGAGGCGCTTGCTACGTGGGCAAGCCGGCACCGGGGCTGCCCTGCCCCTGGCGGGCGGAAGGTGAGACCCGGAAAGGGAGCCCCGGCGGCGGCGGGGGCCGGAGCTCGCGGCCCGGGGGGCGCCTCGGCGGGCGGACGGGCGAGGTCAGGCGGGCAGGCAGGCGTCCGGGCCTCTCTCCAGCCCGCGCTCTTTCTGAACCCTGGCCCGGGGCCCAGCATCCCTGCCGGGATGACAGCGACTGGGTGGGGGGGGGTAGCGGAGTAGGAGAGCCGATCGTTACACCTTTTACAAGCCCTCCCTGGCGGCGCCCTTGTCCTCATGTCGTCCTAATGACAGCCGGCAGAAATTGTGATGGGGCGCCGCCCTCGCTTCTGTTTTCTTTTCTTTTCCTTCATCCTCAGCACCTATCTGGGTGCCTGGAACCTAGTAGGTGCTTAATAAGTGCTGGTGGCCTGACTGATAGAGTAAACAGTAAATGCCTGTTTGCCCGGTGCAGTGGACGTGGTAAAGGTTTCATCGTTGCTCCTCGGCTCAGATAGAATGTCGAGGACCCCACCCGTGACTGACCACACCACGGCCGAGTGATCACAGCTCGTGTTTCACAAACGTCCTGAAATTGTCCCGCAGCTTCAGGATTCTGACCCTCCCGCCTTCTCCAGCTAGTCTGTATTCCGCGTCTGTTGTGTGCCACGCACCTGCGCGACCACAGCCCCTCCCTTTTAATCCCCGTCCTCAGCCTTCACCCTCACTGTCACTTTGAGACCCCTCTCTTCTCCCAGTTCATCTCTTCCCACCCAGCCTTGGTGCCCAGCCTGGAATCGGTGATCTACCTCTTGGGTGGTTCACCGTCTGCCGCCTTACAATCCGTTACTCCCCTACCTCTTCGTCAAACCCTGGATACACTTCAGCAGCCCATTTCTTCATTTCTGCTCCTGGGCTGCTGAATATTTCAGGAGAAAGTTACAAAATCAAGCTGATTTCGCTCACCTCACCCTGGACCTCCATTACCTTGGATCCTTCCACTCTATTCTGACTTTTTAAATTCTCCGTGGCCACTTTTCCAAACCTTTTCACTTTTCTTACACTTTCAGTTACGTAGCCCCCTACTTAACAGCCAAGTTATCCTATTTAATTGACAAGACTGAGTCCATCAGAAAGTTCCCTCAACTATCCTATTGCATTGCTTGTCATCATCTCCCATATTCTCTTTTCCCCTCCTGTCTAGAAGATTTCTCCTACTCATCTATTACATGAGACCTTTCATCTCCTGCCCCATCCCCAGCTGCTAGTTCATGACCCGCCCCCATTACCTTGCATTTGTATATATCTCCCATAGACTTACACATCTACCTGTCTTCTCTTTTGATAGAATGTATGTTCTTTGAAAATGGGGATTATATTTCATTTTTGTCTTTGTATTCCTAGCACCAAGGACAGTGTCTGGCATTAAAAACCTCTATTAGCCTAATGAAAGTCTACCTTTCCAGCCATAGCTCTCCTGCTTGATGTACTCTACATTTCATTCAAACCCACCTACTAGCTTTTCTCTGAGCTTTCACTCCCCATGTGCAAGAAAGCATTTATTAAGTGCTTACTATATGCAAAGCACTGTGCTAAAAACTGGAGATACAAATAGAAAACATAAGCCAGTTTCTGCTCTCAAGGAGCTAACATTCTAATGAGGGAGACTCTCAACACAATCAGCTTTAAGTCAGGTGGAAAAAATCCCACGACCCTTAGGGTGCAGCAGCAAAACAGCTGTTGGCTTCTTTAATGTAATTTCCTTTGATAAAATCATTTCAGTTTTTGATGTTGAACTATTTGAATGTACCAAAAACTTTGATGCAAGAGCTTTGTTTTCTAGGTCTTAAGCAACAGGGGCTGTAGCATCTTCGGGAACAAATGCCAGGCTGCATCTCCATAAGTGATACATGGAATGTCATTCTTTCCTCTATATTCACTCATTAAATTTTTAACCATCCTTTAAAGCCCAACTCAAATTTTACCTTCTCTGAACTCCTCCAGTCATTAATGGCCTTTCCTGCTTTCCTTGGACTCCACATAGTACTTTTTATCTCTTTAATGTTCATATGTATTTAAAACTTTTTATTCTGAACTTGATTAACACAAACAAATGTGAATATTTTCATATACAAAGAACAGAAAGAGTATTGTGTATGAAACTGTACATCTCCATTTCTTACAGCTTGTTTTTATTTTTTAAGTATATACTAAATTCAGTGCTGTCTTGTCAGTATCCCTTCTGTTTACTTCTGTGCATTTAAACATGCTTTCTTGATTTTTTTTTCTTTCTTTTCACATTGTTATCACTATCCCCTTCTTCTCTATTTTCTTCTATTCACAAAAAGGAAATAAAAAAATTTCTTCTTGTAACAAGTCTGCATAGTCAAGCAAAACAAATCTATACATTGCTTATGTCCAAAATATGTCGTCAACATTCAGTTTGATTCTAGGAGCATTTGTAAAGTGTTTACCATGTGCATGGGACTGTGTTAGGCTAGGGATACAAAGGTTCACTAAGTCAATAAGCATTTCCTTCCTTCCTTCCTTTCTTCCCTCCCTCCCTCCTTCCCCATTCTCTCCTTCCCTTCCTTTTTCTAACAATCATTTGTAAAAAATTGAGTTCCAAATTCCCTCCCACTCCTCCCTCACCCATCGAGAAGGCAAGCAATCTGATATTAATTATACAGGTGAAGTTATGCAAAACATTTCCATGTTAGCCATGTTGCAAAAAAAAAGAGAGAGAGAGAGAGAGAGAGAGAGAGAGAAAAGCAAGAAATATAAAGAAAGTGGAAAAAAATGCTTCAATATGAACTTAAGAGTTTATCAGTTCTTTCTGAGGAGGGAGATAGCATTTTTTTTTTATCATGAGTGCTTTGGAATTGTCTTGGATCATTGTCTTCATTGATATAGCTAGGTGTTTCACATTTGATCATGGTTACAATATTGCTGTTACTGTGTACAATGTTCTCATGGTTCTGCTCACTTTACTTTGCATCAATTCATATAAGTCTTCCTAGCTGTTTCCAGATCTATCCCCCTAGTCATTTCTAATAGCGCAGTAGTAATCTATCACAATCATATACCACAGTTTGTTCAGCCATTCCGTAATTGATGGGCATCCCCTCAATTTCCAATTCTTTGCCACCACAAAAAGAGTTGCTATAAATATTTTTTTACATATCGGTTATTTTTTTCTTTTCTTTGACCTCTTTGAGATACAGACCTTATAGTGATATTGCTGGATTAAAGGGCATGCCAGTCTTACAGCCCTTTGGGCATAGTTCCAAATTGTTCTTCAGAATGATTGGACCAGTTCACAGCTCCTCCACCAACCATTACTGTCTCAATTTTCCCACATTCTTGCCAATATTTATCATTTTCCTTTTGTCATGGTAGCCAATCTGATAGGTGTGAAGTGGTACCTCAGAGTTGTTTTAATTTGCATTTCTTTAATCAGTAGTGATTTAGAGCATTTTTCTGTGTGATTGTTGATAGCTCTGATTTCTTGTAAAAACTGCCTGTTCATATCATTTACCAATTGGGGAAAGGCTCTTATTTTTTATAAATTTGGCTTAGTTCCCTACATATTTGAGAAATGAGGCCTTTATCAAAGAAACTTACTATAAAGTTTTTTCCCCCAGTTTCCTGTTTTTCTTCTGATTTTGGCTGCATTGGTTTTGTTTGTGTAAAACCTTTTTAATTTCATGTAATCAAAATTATCCATTTTATTTCCTGAGATCTTCCCTTATCTATAGATCTGACAGGTAAAGTTTTCCAAGCTCCCCTAATTTACTTATCACCCCTTATGTCTGAATCATTACCCATTTTGACTTTATTTTGGTATACAGTGTGAGAAGTTGATCTATGCCTAGTTTCTGCCAAACTGCTTTCCAGTTTCCCCAGCAATTTTTGTCAAAGTTCTTGCCCCCAAAGCTTGTATTTTTGGGTTTATCAAATACTAGATTTCTTTGATCATTTACTATGTATTGTGAACCTAATCTGTTCCACTGATCCACCACTCTATTTCTTAGCCAGTACCAGATTGTTTTGATGGTTATTGCTTTCTATATAATTTGAAATCTGGTAGGCTGCCTTCCTTTGTGATTTTATTTCATAGATTTCTTTGATATTCGTGACCTTTTGTTCTTCCAGGTGAATTTGTTATTTTTTTTAGCTCTGTAAAATAATTCTTTGGTAGTTTGATTGGTATGGCACTGAATAAGTAAATTAATTTCTGTGGAATTGTCATTTTTTAATATTGGCTCAGCTTCCCCAAGAGCAATTAATATTTCTCCAATTGCTTAGGTCTGTCTTTAATTGTATAAAAATAATGTGTTTTGTAATTGCCTTCATATGGTCCCTGGGTTTGTCTTGGTAGGTCGACCAATAAGCATTTATTATTTATTTCTTAATGCTTGTTCATATCTTTTGACCATTTGCCAATAGGAGAATGGTTCTTATTCTTATACATTTGAATCAGTTCCTTATATGTCTTAGAAATGAGATCTTTATCAGAGAAATTTGCTAGAAGCTCTTCTTGAATTAGTAAGAAGTGAAGACTAAGGAGAAATACCTGTTAGTTGGAGAGTAGCGTAGCAAATTATGGCACATGAATGTAATGAAATATTATTGTGTATAAAAAATGGTAAAAGGGACAGTTTTGGAGGGACCTGTGAAGATTTGTATGAACTGTTACAGATCTAAGTGAGCAGAATATGGAGAACAGTTGATATAGCAACAACATTGTAAAGTTGACCACCTTCTAAGGATTTAAGAACTGTTGAATGTAGTGATGAACTATGATTCCAGAGAATTGACGATGAAGCATGTTATCTACTTTCTGACAGAAAAGTGATGCAGAATGAGACACATTTTTGGACATAGTCAATTCAGGAATTTATTTTGTTTGATTATGCATATTTGTTACAAGTGTTTTTTTTTCTCTTTCTCAAATTTTTGGGGTGGTATAGGAGAAAGAAAAATAAATGCTTGTTGAAAAAATAAAATTAAACTAAAAAAAGAATGAGTGTGAGTTTAGGCAAGATAGCTTAATGAGTGGTAACTTCTTTGTAATACCTCAAAGAAGATATGAAGAGTCAAAATTGAAATAAGAGGGGAATAGGAAGAATCCCTTGTAGGATAACCCTTAAAGGAAAACTAGCAGAACAAAGGAATCAGTAATCAAACAGTTATCATATAATGAATCCTACAGAATAAAAGAAAGGGGGAAATGTTCACAAAGAACGAAATTGCAACAGCACTATACCCTTAGAAGAGTGAATGGGCATACTGTGAGACCCTCCAGAGTAGTTTATAATCATAAGAAATACAGTGTGTAAGAGTGAATTTTCAGAATTTCTGCTTCGGTGTAGGGACAGTTTTTGTATTTGTTGCTCTTCTAGGGTTTTTTTAGTTGCCCAATTCATTGGTTTGTTCCTTCTCTCTTTCATTGATGAAGGTATTTAGAGACATAGATTTCCTGTTAAGGACCGCTGAATTAGCTGTAGCCTATAAGTTTTGGCATATTTTCCTGTTATTGTCATTTTCTTTGATCACATTTTCTATTTGTTCTTATGTTTTATTCTTTGAGCCACCAATTTTTAGGATTAAATTATTTAGTCTTCAGTTAATTTTAATTTTTCTCCCAAACCTCTTTGTTAATATAAGTTTTGTCACATTTTGATGAGTAAAGACTGTATTTAGTATTTCTACTTTTTAGTGAGGTTTTTATACTTTAGGTCATGGTCAGTTTTGATTAAGGTGGTGCCTTGTCTGGCTGAGAAAAAGCAAAATTCCTTTTTCTTCCCATTCAGCCAGATACCGATTATGTCTATTTTTTCTGAGCTTCTATTCAGGTTCTTAACTTCTTTCTTGTTTTATCTTTTTGTTGTATTTGTTTAGATCTGAAAGGGTTACATGGCTGTCTTCCACTATTATATGTTATTGCTTCTTTCTCCCTTCAATTTGATTAACTTTTCCTTTAAATATTTCAAAATTATGTAGTTCAGTGCATATTGATGAAGTATTTATATATTAATTTGTCATCCTGGATATCTTTAAGCACAGTATAGTTTTTCTGTTTATCTCTTTTTATCATGACTATATTTACTATAGCCTTGTCTGAAATTATTATTGCTACCCTTGCTTATTTGAGTTTACTTTTTGATTCAGCAATACCACTAACTAGGTCTATATCCCAAAGAGATTTTTAAAAATACCCTATTTGTACTAGGGTATTTATAGGAGCTCTTTTTGTGGTGGCTAAGAATTGGAAATTGAGAGGTTGTCTGTTAGTTGGGGAATGGGTGAACAAGTTGTGCTATATGATTGAAATGGAATACTATTGAATACTACAAGAAATGATGAGCAGGATGATTTTAGAAAAACTTGGAAAGACTTACATGAATTGAGGCAGAGTGAAATGAGCAGAACCAGGAGAACATCATACACAGTAACAGCAATATTGTATGATAAACAACTATGAATGACTTAGTTATTCTGAGCAGTACAGTGATCTGAGACAATCCTAAAAGACTCGTGATGAAAAATGCTATCCACCTCCAGAGAAAGAACTGATGGAATCTGAATATAGATCAAATACATACTATCTCCCTCCCTCCCTTCTTTCCTCCCTTTCTTCCTTTTTTAAGTCCTCCCCCCCAACAAAAAGACTAATATGGAAATGTTTTCTGTGATTGCACATGTATAACCTATATCAGATTGCTTATCATCTTAGGGAGGGGAGAAGGGAGGGAGGGAGAGAATTTGAAACTCAGAATTTTAAAAAAATGTTAAAAATTGTTTTTTCATGTAATTGGGGGGAAATAAAATATTAAAAAAAAAAAAGAAAATGTCCACTCCTTCATTCCTTCCTTCTTGTTTGTATACTTTTCTTATGAACCCCAGTTATAAGAAATGGAAAGTTCTACTTCTTTCTTCCTCTTATCTACACTAGTGTATTCCTTTTATCTTCCAGTAAATAGAGCTCTGGCCCTGGAGTCAGGAAAACCTGAGTTCAAATCCAGTCTCAGATACTTACTAGCTATTGGACTCTGGACAAGTCACTTAATCTCTGTTTGCCTCAGTTTCCTCAACTGTAAAATGGGAATCATAACAGCACCTACCTCGAAGGGTTGTTTTAAGCATCAAATGAGATACTTATAAAAGTTCTTGGATGGTGCCTGGCACATAATAGGTGCTATATAAATGCTTATTTTTCCCTGTTCTCTTTTTTACCTCCTAAAACCCTTAGAATACAATTTAATTCAACCCCAGGACTTCTGTTTCTTTCACATTTTATCTCAATACCTTTGGAAGACTTTAAGATTCTGAAGGGGCATTTGTTTCTTCTCCCCCAGTAGAATGTTAGTGCTAAATCGTAATACAACTCCATCCACTTGCACAAATAAATTTAACTTTCTAGGTTTTTCTAGGCTCTTGTGCTTGTATTTCAAAGTTCCTACTCAGCTCTGGTCTTTTTTCAATAAAAAAAAAATACTTGGAAGTTTCCGGTTCCATTAAAGGTCCCCATTTTTTGTTCCCCATGTGACATTAAACTTAGCTTTTCAGGGGCAATTGTTTTTGGTTATACGCCTGTGTATCCTTTGCAATGTTGTATTCCATTATCTCTTCTTATTTCTAGTAGAAACTGCCAGGTCTTGTATGATCCTGATTGTAGAAGTTTGGTATTTTAACTATTTCTTTCTAGATGTTCACAGTATTTTCTTTTCCTTTGAAATACAAGCCCTGGATTTTGTCTCTGACATTCCTAGAATTTTTCCTTTTGGAATACTTCAGGAAGTGGATTGGTAGATTCTCTCTCTTCGGCCTCTGGTTCTAATACATATAGATTTTCAGTTATGGTTTCTTGATGTATAGTATCCTTCAAATTTTTTTTTTAATAATGGTTTTCAGGGAGTGCACTGATTCTTAAATTCTCTTGTATTAACTTGTTTTCCTGGCTAGGTGTTTTTGATATCCAACATCTCACATTTTCTTCTATTTTTTCAGTCTTTTGATTTTGTTCTACTACTTTTTGCTATCTAATGAATCATTGTTTTCTATTTAGCCTATTATATAGTATTTAAGGATTCCATTTCTCAGGTAAGTGGGTTTACCACTTTCTCTTCTAAGCTACTTATTCTCTTTTCAATTATTTCTTCTAAAGCTTTTATTTCACTTTTTTTTAAACCTCTAGCTTCATTTCTTCTAGGTATTCATGTAGTCCTTATGAGAAAAAATAATTTTTTTCCTTTAAATCTCTGCTTGTGGTTGTTAGTTGCTCACTGTTCCTTTTTGTGTATCTCCATATCTCCAATAATTTTTGATACTGGCTGTTGTTTTTTTTGAATTAGTAGTTTCTCCAGTTTTAGTTCCTGAATTAGGGCCCATGTTAGGGTGACACATGACCTCTTGCTATGCTTTTGGGTAGGTTGTCCTGTTTGGTTTCTCCCTGGGTGCTTGGGAAGACCTCCAAATTCCAACGTTAGTGTTGCCCTCCCCTCTCCCTAATCTGTCTTTGAGGTACAGAATTCTGGAACTTCAGGCCCTCTTTGATGTTTCAGGGCCAGGGTGCTAGGGAGCTTAGTGCCCCCAGGTATTAGCTGTCCTAGTGTGAGTGCTGTTCTGCTTGCTGCCTCTCACTGGCCCCCACCTTGGCTTCTTCTGACCATCCTGGTGGCATTTGAAGATTGGGTTTGCTTGTGCTGGTTCTGGCTTTGCTGTTAGCCCAATTTTCTCTGTCTGTGGGCTTCTGGTTGACTTTTTGTGCAGCTATAGGTTGGAAGAAGTCTGTATTTTCTCTTGGTTTTCTTTATTTTCCATTAGTTTGGTGTGAATTTCAGGTTTTTGCTGAAATAGGTATGTGGGAACTGTATGGTCTTGGCCAGAAGTCTATCTAGATTACATGGTGGAAGAGCTGTGGAAGAGTTTCATTGTTCAGGTTTGTTGTTCAGTCATTTCCGTTGTGTCTGACTGGAGTGGTTTGGTTTTCTATTTCCTTCACCTCATTTTACAGATGAGCAAATTGAGACAAATAGGGTTAAGTGACTTGCCTAGGGTCATGCAGCTAGTAGGTGTCTGAGGCCAGATTTGAACTCATGAAGATGTCTTCTGACTTCAGGCCCAGCACTCTAACCTAGCTGCCCATTTTTTAGGTAGGGGCTAGTTCAAGGGACTTCTAGGGTTTCTTTCATTTCCAAGATTCTGATCTTAAGTGACTAAGAGGAAATGGCTAGTAGACAACGTGTGTATGTAAATATGTGTGTATATATAATATGTAATATGTAAGTATAGTTGTTGAATCTGTAAAATATATTACTGTTTCAGTGTCTTAAATCTTATTTTTCTTTTTGTATAGTGATGGACTCATCGAATGTGCCAGAATTTACTCCAAAACACGGGGTACCTCCAAGGCTTAGAGATTACTTTACTGGTGCCAGCTCTTTTCAAAGACAGCTAGCATCAGTCAGAAAGCAGACTCCATTTGGTCAGACACCATCTCGAAGGAAAATTCCCCAGTGTTCACCATTGCAAGTAAGCTTTATGTGGTCTTTATTTCTTAATTCAGGGGATCTGTGGTTATCATATCAGCTAGGTTTTTTTTAACTATTGCATATTGTAACTGCTTCAGAACTTAATAGATGAGTTCATATCTTTCTGTGGACAAAAATAGGTTATCTGCTGGCTAACTTTCTGGTTATCAGTATAATAGCTCACATTTGTATAGTGCTTTAAAATTTACAAAATATTTCACTCACAATAACTCAGAGACAGTGTCATCATTTGAAGAACCTCTGATTTTCTGGGCCAGTTTTTTTTTCCAGCAGGTTTTTTCTGCTCTAGGCCCCACTGCTTTTCTGCCTGATAATATGTTCCTTTTCTGGAACCTGCATAACTGCATAATTGACTAGAAGCATCAATGAGCCCACAAACACTTATTAAGCACATAAAATGTACCAGGCACTTGGAGATCCAAAGACAAAAGTGAAAACATTCCCTGCCCTCAGGAAGCTTATGCTCTAGCCAGACTAATTGTGCATATACTGAGTGCCCATAAAGTGATTTTGTGGGGAATATATTAGCATCTGGGAGCATTAGGGAAGGTTTCATGTAAGAGATATTCTTGAACTGAATCTTGAAGGAAGCTAAGTATTCTAACAGATGGAGATGGGGGATGGGGTGCAGTCTAGGCAGGAGCAACAGCCAGTGTAAAGACCTGGAGGCAGGAGATGAAGTTTCATGTCTGAGAAACAGTGAGGAGGCCAGTTTGGTTGAATCATAATGTATGGAACAGTCATTGTAATAAGAGTAGAAATGTATGTTGGAGCCAAGTTGTGAAGGGCTTTAAATGCTACACAGAAGAGTTTATATTTTATTAAAGAGGTAATAGGGATATGTGGACTTGCAATCATTTCTGGCCCCTGAGTGGAGGATAGATTAGAGTAGGGAGATAGGAATGAGGCAAGGAAACCAGTGTGAAGGCTGTATGCAACAGTCTAGGTAAAGGCCTGAATTAGAATAGTTACTATATGAATGAAGAGAAGAGATGGATTTAGGATGTTGTGGAGGAATGTACTACAGGATTTGGCAAATAAATGATTGGATACACAGGTGGGGGAGAATTAGGAGTCTAGGATAACACTGAAATTGTGAACCTGAATGACTGGAAAGATGGTACTGGCCTAGACATGAAAAAAAAAAAAGAAAGAAAATTTGGGAGAGTGGTGAGTTTGAAGGGAAAGATATTGAACAATGTGTTACTAGAGTTCAGGAGAAAGATTAGGGCAGGAAATAAAGATCTAGAAGTCATTAGTATAGTCATGATAATTAAACTCAAGTTAGCTATTAAGATCACTCACAGAGAGCATGGAGAGAAAGGAGAAGTCCCAGGACAGAGCTTTGGGGTATACCTACAGTTGGGAGGCATGATATGGAAGGTGAACCAGCAAAGGAGACTGAGAAGAAATGATCACATAGGAGGGGAACAAAAAAGAGCAGTGTCATGGAAACCTAGAGAGGAGAGAATATCCAGGAGGAAAGGATGGTCAATTGTGTCTTAAGATGCAAAGAGGTCAGAAGGCTAAAGATGGAGGAAAGACTATCAAACTGGGCAATTAGGAGATCACGAGTGACTTTGGAGAGGGCAGTTTCAGTTGAACAATGAGTTTGGAAGCCAGATGGTAAAGGGTTGAGGAGTGAGTGAGAGGAGAAGAGGTAGAAGCATTTAGTATAGACAGATTTTTCTAGGAGTTCATCTGAGAAAGGAAGGAGAAGTATAGGATGATGGCATGGGGGTGGGGGTGGGGAAGAGTGTAAAGGTTTTTTTTTTTTAAAGATGGGAGAGACTTGGTCATATTTGTAGGCAGATGGTAAAAAGTCAGTGAGAGCCCAGCTGAAATTAAATAACATAACTTTAAACCCTGGTAGCATGTTTGTGTGAATTTCTTTAGCTCTGTTCAGTTGTATATAAGTAGAAGTGAAGTGTTGAATAGTGGGAATAATCTCAGAGTAGAGTTTTATAGCAAGGTGAGGATAAAGGAAGAAGGGATTTTGGTAGAGAATGGCATACAGTTGGATTTATTAAATGAAGGGTCTGAGTTAAAAAGGAAGGAACAGGTGATGACGTGGAGGTAAAGATGAGGACAATGAATAGGTTTAGTAGGAATAAATCTGTGGGAAAAAATGGAGTGACATAAATTATGATCACATAAAGGATTTTCAGAGTTCTTGATCATGGAAGTGGAGTACTTGTGGGTGACATTGAGCTCAAGGTCCTGACCATCCTTGTTTGCAGCTGAGGAGTAGTTCATAGAAGCTGAGCGTTTTGAGGAATTCTCCTTTTGGGAAGTTTTTCCTTACCTAGAATCTAAACTCGCCTCTCTAAAATGTCTGTCCGTGTTCCAGCATTTGTAATCTGGGACCAAGCAGAACAAGTCCAGTTTCTCTTTCTTGTGACAGCCTCTCATGGTCTTGAAGAGAGCTGTCATGTTCCTCTTAAGTCGTTAGTTATCTGTGAGTAAGATGATTTAAGTACTTAGATGTGTATCTTGAATCTCATAACCACAAAAGTCTGATTGGGAGGACAGAATCTCAGTGGGATGAGCCGGTGGTGTAGTTCATACAGATGTGGAAACATCCAAGCCTGAGATTCCCCAGTTCTTGTGTTCAATATCTAGGTAAAGCAAAGATAGATGTGAATGAACAAATTTAAAATTTTAATTCCTATTCTGAGAGACTGAAGGCATCAGGAGGCCATTCCCTTCTCTAAAGTATAAGCTCACTTTCAAAGCCATTCAAATGGTCTCTTTTGTTTGTTCACCATCCAAACTAGCCACCAATCCTTTAACTCCTTACTGAATTACCTGTAAGATGCAGAAGGCATTTCTACTGCTCATTTTTTTGTGCTTAAAGTTTCCAGAGCACTTTACTTAAAGTCCTAGCGATGCGATCAAAAAGTAGGATACATTTTGTAACTGTAACTGCCAGATTGAACTTTAAAAAAAGATAGTATGGGATAGCTAGGTGGCGCAGTGAATAGAGCACTGGCCCTGGATTCAGGAGGACCTGAGTTCAAATGCAGCCTCAGACACATAACACTTACTAGCTGTGTGACCCTGGGCAAGTCACTTAACCCCATTGCCTACTCCCCCCCCAAAAAAAACAACCAAAAAACAACAACAAAACAAATAAAAAAAGATTGTGCCACTGGAGAGCGATTTGAACTATGTCCAAAGGGCTATAAAACTGCATACCCTTTGATCCAGCAATGTTACTATTAGGTCTATATCCCAAAGAAAACATAAAAATGGGAAAAGGACCCACATGTACAAAAATATTTATAGCAGCTCTTTCTGTGGTGGCCAAGAATTGAAAATTGAAGGGATGTTCACTAATTGAGGAATGGCCAAACAAGTTGTATATGAATGTAGTGGAATACTATTGTGCTGTAAGAAATGATGAGCAGACAGACTTGAGAAAAACCTGGAAAGATTCATATGGACTGATGCTGAGTGAAGTGACCAGAACCAGGAGAATGTTGTACACGGTAACAGCCATGTTGTGCGATGGCTAACTTTGATAGACTTAAGCTCTTTTTTTTTGCTCAGGCATTTGGGGTTAAGTGACTTGCCCAGGGTCACACAGCTAGTAAGTGTCAAGTGTCTGAGGCCAGATTTGAACTCAGGTCTTCCTAACTCCAAGGCCAGAGCTCTATCCACTGTGCCACCTAGCTGCTCCCCCTTTTAAAAAAAATTATTTTTTCTTTTATTATTATTGGTGGGTTTTTTGGTTGTTTTTTTTTTGTGAAGCAATTAGGGTTAAGTGATGTGCCCAGGGTCACACAGCTAGTAAGTGTCAGGTGTCTGGTCTGAGGCCGGATTTGAACTCAAGTCCTCCTGACTCCAGGCCCCGTGTAGACTTAGCTCTTGTCAGCAATGCAGTGATCTAAGGCAATTCCAAAAGACTCATGATGGAAAATGCTGTTCACATCCAGAGAAAGAACTATGGAGTCTGAATACAGATCAAAGCATACTATTTTCTCTCTCTCTCTTTTTTTTTTCTTCTTATGGTTTTCCCCTTTTGTTCTGATTCTTCTTTCACAACATGCCTAATGTGGAAATATGTCTAATATAGATTGTACACGGATAGCCTATATCAGATTGCTTGCTGTCTTGGGAAGAGGGAAGGTGGGAATGGAGGGAGAAAAAAATTTGGAACTCAAAATCTTATAAAAATGAATGTTGAAAACTACCTTTATATGTAATTGGAAAAAATAAAATCTATTAAGTGGAAGAAAAAAAAGATTGTACCAGTTTAACTTCATCAACAATTCAATATAATGCCAATATAACTCTTCTTAATATAGTTATTTTGTTTTTCTTAGCTTTTTGGTTTTCTCAATATAAAGCAGAGGTAATAATTTTTTTCTATTTTTCTTGAAGACTGATAATGACAGAATGTCTAAGCTTTTGAAATCTTCACTTTTAAAACATAATAGCTATATAAATATGTATATAGTTAGTTATCTGTATTGTTTGCCCATGTAAACACTACAGTACTAAATATTAATTGAAAGTTCTTTTCCAGTTTATTTCTCACAATATTAATATGTTAGATTTTACATATGGTACAATTGAGAACCAAGAATTTGGTCACATACATCTTTTTGACTAATCTTCTCTAAGTACAGTTAGGAGTTAGCATTGTAAATGCTAAATTGGACCTGTGGTTATAAGTGATAGAGCTAGGGTATAAGAAGGGAAGAATACAATTCTTTGTTGAGCATGTACTGTGTACTAGTAGGGAAAACAGGGAAGGGTGGGAAAGGTAAAAGAAAGGAATGTAAGAATTGTAAAAAGTGACATCTGTGGTAAGGAGTGGCAAAATGCCATGAATACTTTCCCAAAATCATAGGTTAATTATCCTTGGATTAAAATACATAAAGTCTAAAACACTAAGATCAAATTTCTACTTATATTCTTAAAACTTAATGTCTCTCTTGATTTTAGGAAAATATTGACCCACAAAAGATTGCCTTTCTTCTGCATAAACAGTGGACCTTATATACGCTGACTCCCATGTATAGGTTCTCCTACACTAACCTTAAACAGTATTCTACACTTCTGAAGTGCTTCCTTGCTGCTGAAAAGCAAAAAGGACTGGCTGTGGAAATGGGAGAGGATTTTAATTTCAAAGTGACTTTCTCCACTCTCTCAGGAATGAAAGGAACACACCGGGACCCTGCAGCATTTCTTATACAGGTATGAGACATATTTGCATATATTTCTTTTATGTATAGATCATTAATGACTGAATAGAATGTGTAGATAGTGGAATGATTTTAATTTTCCACTTAATTAAGAAATTTTAGTTGTATGCCTTCCAGCTCTAGATGTATGATTTTACAACCCATTTCCTCTTATTTCTTAATTTAGTAATTTACAAAAATTTGATATTTTTATTTTGACAAATTTAGTCAATTTATATCTCTGTATACCTCTTTTGTGTTTATTCAGTTTCATTTCTGCTGCTCTCTTATACCTTCCAGCTTGAGGCTTAATATTTCACTCCTTACTTAAGTGCCTTCATTAGATGGTGAACAGAAAAAGATTAAAATCAATCCATATTAATCCTACGTTGAGTGGGTTAAGAACTGGTGGATGAAAAGAACTGGTTTGAGGAAGAGTATGAAACTTTTGATTTAGTATAGATTATCTATTACTTTACTTGCATATTTTAATGCTCCCCACCATAATACATGTAATAAAGTGATGACTCTTATCTATGTCACTGAGATAGTGTTTGAGTTAAATTCAGTTCCACTGTCATTGAATCTTAGAGTTGGGGTAGGAAGCTCTCATCATTTATGATTTGGAAGTTGTTTGCAGGATATTTCTTGTAATATTAATTTGAGAAATTTTATGGTTAATAAAACTGAGAATCAGAGACTCCATAATATATATCTTAATGATTGATTTTCCTCAAGTATGGCTAGGAGTCAGCAACCTGAATGCCAAGCTGTATCTGTTACTATCAGGACAGGATCCTAATTATGAATCCCATCTTACAAAATTCACAGAATCTCAGAGATGGAAGGGACTTCAAAGGTCATCTATTCTAAATCATACCTGAACCAGAATTTTTGGGTGAAAACTTTAGTGAGAAAGAATCTATCACCACCCAAAGAAACCCATTCCATTTTTGGAAGCTGTAATTGTTAGGAAATTATTAGCAAGAAGCTACCATTGTTAGGAAATTTCTCCTTACACAGACCTGAAATATGCCTTTCTGCAACTTCCAAATTTACCCTCTGTGTCTAAAGAGAACAAGTCTAATATCTATTCCATATAATACCTCTTCACATACTTGCAGATAGGTCTCATGTCAGTCAACAAGCATTTATTGAATCACTTACTGTGTGCAGACACTACTAAGTGCTAGGGTTATAAAGGAAAAGCAAAAACAATCCTTGCTCTTTTAGGAGGTTACAGAGCTGGTATGTAAACCAAGTATCTACAAGATAGATACGGAGTAGATGGAAGTTACCTTTAGAGAGAAAGGCACTAGCAACCAGAGGAACTAGGAAATGCCACCTGCAAAAGGTGGCATTTGAACTGTGTTTTGAGGGAAGCCAAGATGTCTACAGGGGTAGTGAGGAAGGAAGACTTTCCAGACAGTGGGGGGACAGCCAGTGTAAAGGAACAGTAACAGATAGGGACAAGGAATAGCGTGTCCTGTGTGAAGAATAATTGCAAGTAAGCCACTGTGGCTGGACTGTAGAGTATGTGGAAGGGAATGATGTGCAAGAAAGCTGGAAGAATAGGAGGGGTCCCAGTATGAAGAGCTTTAAATATCAAAAGTTTATATCTGATCCTAAATGAAATTGGGGTTTCCTGAGTAGAGGATGACATGGTTAGATCTATCCTTCAGGAAAATCACTTTGACAGCTGTGTGGATGATAGATTGGAGAGAGGAGACTCTTGAGTCAGTGAAAACAATTAGAAGGCCATTTCAGTAGTCTCTATGAGGGCTGAGGGGGTGTCTGGAATAGAATAGTAGTTGTGTGAATAGAGGGAAGGGAATGGAGGTCGGAGATGTTGTGGAAGTATAAATGCAGATATGGCAACTGATTAGGTATTTGAGATTAGAAAGAATATCTTGATATCTTATTCAAGGATAACACTGAAGTGTAGAACCTGGTTGACTTGGACTATAGTCATGTCCTCAACAGTAATAAGGAAGTGCAGAAGAGGAGTGGGTTTTGGGGGAAGGATGATGAGTTCTGTTTTGGACTTAGTGAGTTTTTTGAGATGTGTAAGGGATATTCAGTTTAAAATATTCAATAGGCAGTTGGTGACACAGGAGTGGAGTTCAGGAGAGAAACTAGGGCCAGGTATACAGATCTGGGAATGGTTGGCATAGAGATGTTAATTGAACTCTTGGGAGCTGATGAGATCATCAAATCAGAGAGAAGTTTGTATTTTATTCTAGAGGCAATAGAGCAAGCATTTTTGAGCAGAGGGAGTGACATCATTAGACCTATACTTTGGAATGTTACTTTGGCACCTGAGCAGAAGATGAATCGCACAGGGGAGAGACTTCCTTGAGAAGGGCCATGAGACAGGAGGAAAGCCAGAAGTAAGCAGTGTCATAGAAGCTAAGGGAGCCAGAAGTATCCAGGAGAAGGGAGGCTTCAAAAGCATCACAACAATCGAGTAAAAGGTCATTGGATTTAGCAGTAAAGAGAATATTGGAAATTTTGGAGTGTAACTTCAATTGAATGGTGTAATCAGAAGCTTTTTTTTTTTTAAAGGAAATTGGGGTTAAGTGACTTGCCCAGGGTCACACAGCTAGTAAGTGTCAAGTGTTTGGTCTGAGGCCTGATTTGAACTTAGGTCCTCTTGACTTCAGGGCTGGTGCTCTATCCACTGTGCCACCTGGCTGCCCCCAATCAGAAGCTTTTTTGCAAGGGTTGAGGAACTAGTGTGATATGAGAAATGGGAGACAACAAATGTAGGCAATTTTTTAATGGGAGTTTGGCTATGAAAAAGAAAAGAGATAAATGATAATAGCTTAAGGAGGATGGCAGGATCAAATGAATAATTTTGTGGCTGGTGAAAATCTGTTTCTAGTGGTAGGAAGCTGGGAAGGAGCTAGTGTGTGAGGAGAGATTGCAGATGAGAGAAGGGGTAAGCTACCAGAGGAGGCAGGATGGTATGGGATCAGGGACATGAGTACGAGGCTGACTTTGGCAAGAAGATGGGCTACCTCTTCTTCAGAGACTGAAGCAAAGAAGGAGAGAATGGAGGATGATGTAGAGGTTCTTGAGGTATGGAGTAGGGGAAAATAAGACTCACAGAAGATAGCTTCAATTTCTTCAGTAAAGTAGGGGGTGAGGGTTTTTGTTAACATGTCTTTGGGAGGAGGTAGTAGTCTATGGGGTTTGAGCAAGGCAGAGAAGGTTTAAAGTAGCTGTAGTGGGTAGCATATTAGTCAATTAGGGAGGAATAAAAAATGCTAGACAAAATTGAGAGCTCAGTTGAAATTAATTAATAAATTTGTATTGACCTGATTGTGTGACTTTCTTCAAAGGTGTTGAGCTGCACATTAGTAAGATTGTAGAAGATCTTAAATCTCTCCCTACTTTAGTCTTCCTAAAGCAAAGATTTGACCATATAACCCCCTCTATTCAACAGACTTTAATGACTCCCTATGACCTTTAGGATCAAACTTAAAATCCTCTGGCATTCAAAGCTCTTTATAACCTGGTGTCCCTTCCTACCTTTCCAATCTTCTTAAACTTTCTTACTACCCCCTCTTCCACCGAAAACACCTGTGTACTCTGATCCAGTGACATTGGCCTCTTTTTTGTTCCTCAGACAAGACACTCCATCTCCAGCCTCTGAGCATGTTCACTTGCTGCGCCATGTCTGGAATGTTCTCTCTCGTTTCTTTTCTCCTGTCTTCCTTTAAGCAAAATCTCACCTTCCGCAAGAAAGCCTCCTTAATTCCATTGCCTAGTAATTTGCATGTTGTTTCCACAGTAGAATGTGAGCTCCTTGAGAAGGAGGGACTATCCTTTGCCATTCTTTGTATCCCTAATACTTAGCACAATGCCTGGCACACAGTAGGCACCTTGATAAATGCTTATTGACTCACGGATCCCTTGGACAGTCTGGTGAAGCCTGTGGGTTCCTTCTCCGAATAATATTTTTTAATATCTAAAATAAAATAAATTGAATTAAGAAGAAAAATAAGAATGTAATTCCCCCCCAAGTTTATAACCCCCTTGAAATCTATCCACAGACTTTTTAGGGGGCTTCTGGATTAAGAACCTCCTAGACTAGAGGTTCTCTAGAAGTGATCCTGTGCTGTGTCCTTCCCAGACCACCATGCTGAAGCATGGAGCAGTGGAGAGAGGACTGGCTTTGGAGTGAGAGGACCTTGGTTCAAATTCTGCCAGGTCCATTTCCTCATTGGGCCAGTCACTTAAATCTTTCTGTGTGTGCTTCCTCATATGTAAAATGAAGAAGTGTTGGACCAGAGGGATGCTCTAGTTTTATGGTTCTTTGTCTCTGGATATTGATATCCTACATTAAATAGGTTAAGGGTGTGCCCCAGGCTCTAGCACCCATGGCTTTTTTTTTAAAAATTATGTATTTATTTTAGTTTTTAACATTTACCTTTACAAGATTTTGAGTTTTAAATTTCATCCCCTTCCTTCCCCTCTTCCCTCCCCAAGATGGTGTGTAATCTGATATAAGCTCTACTTATACATTCATATTAAGCATATTTCCCCCTTAGTCATGATGTAAAGAAAAATTAGAATTGATGGGAGGGACCACGAGAATGAAGCACTAAAACAAAACATCAAAAGAAAAGGAGAGTGAATAGTATGCTTCCATATGCATTCAGACTCCATAGTTCGGATGTGGATAGCATTTTCCATCATTAGTCTTTTGGAGTTGTCTTAGATTCCTGCATTGCTGAGAAAAGCCAAGTCTATCAAAGTCAGTCATCATACAATGTGGCTGTTTTCCTGGTTCTGCTCATTTCACTCTGCATCAGTTCATGTAAGTCTTTCCAGGTTTTTCTGAAGTCAGCCTGTTCATAATTTCTTATACCACAATAGTATTCCATTACATTTATGTATCACAACTTGTTCAGCCATTCCCCAGTTGATGGGCATCCCCTCAATTTTCAATTCTTGGCCATCACAAGAAGAGCTGCTATAAATATTTTTGTGAATCCTTTTCCCGTTTTTGTCATCTCTTTGGGATACAGACCTAGAAGTGGTATTGCTGGGTCAAAGGGTATGCACAATTTTATAGCCTTTTGGGCATAGTTCCAAATTGCTCTCTAGAATGGTTGGATCAGTTCAGAATTCCACCAATAATGCATTAGTGTTCCAATTTTCCCACAGGTTCTCCAACATTTATCATTTTCCTGTTTTGTCATGTTAGCCAATTTGATAGGTGTGATGTGTTACTTCAGAGTTGTTTTGATTTGCATTTCTCTAATCAATAGTGATCTAGAGCATTTTTTCATATGACTATAGATAGCTTTAATTTCTTTCTCTCAAAACTGCCTGTTCATATCTTTTGACCATTTATCAACTGGGCAATGACTTGTATTCTTAGAAATTCAACTCAGTTCTCTATATATTTTGGAAATGAGGCCTTTATCAGAGATACTAGTTGTGAAAATTCTTTCCCAGTTTTCTGCTTCCCTCCTAATCTTGGTTGCATTGGTTTTGTTGGTGTGAAACCTTTTCAATTTAATGTAATCAAAATTACCCATTTTGCATTTCGTAATGTTCCCTACCTCTTGTTTGGTCATGAAATCTTCCCTTCTCATGTACAATCATATTAAACATATTTCCATATTAGTCATGTTGTAAAGAATAATTAGGACCAAAGGGAAAAACCATGAGAAAGAACCCCCCCCAAAAAAAAAAAACCCAAACAAACATGGCTTTTAATGGTTTTACACTGATAAATCTATGATCATGAAAGTGGGAAGACAGGCCAAATTTCTTAAACCTTAATTACAGAAATTCTTTGTGTGAGGAGATGGTTCTCTGGAAAGGGAAAGGGGAGGAATATGTGGGGAAATTTGAGTGATGTAAAAACAAAAGATATCTATAAAATCTATTTTAAAAATCAGTAAGAAAAAAAGAAAAAATAAGAAGTTAAAAAAACCTGTTAATTGAAAAGACATTTCTTCCATTCCTGATGAAGTTTTGGTTGTTATGATCAAAGCAAGTTAGGAGAAATAGGAATCTGTAAGTAGGTGGTTGAACTTGAATATTTTTATATATTTTTTCTCTCGCAGATTGTATCCAAATCCCAACAGTCATCAAAGAATGCAGAAGATAAAGTGGTATGGACAGGTTGGTTTTGCTGTGTGTATGGAGATAGTCTTCTGGAGAATGTGCCAGATGATTTTACCTGTCTACCTTTGTTCCTTGCAAATGGGGCAGAGTCTAACACGGCCCTAATTGGAACTTGGTTTCAGAAAACCTTTGACTGTCGATTCACTCGATTAACAATTAGTGCATTCAATCTTTCCTGGATGGCTGCTATGTGGACTTCATGTAATATGGAACATTATGGGACTGCTACAGAATTGCTTTGGTCTGTACCCTGTAGCCCTCAGAGTTTGGACATTTCTTATGCAATAAATCCAGAAGATGCAAAAGCTTTGTGGGACGGCGTCCACCAGACACCTGAGGAGATAACACAGGAGGAAGTTGACCTATTCATAGACTGCCTTTGTTCACATTTTCACAGACATTTCAAAATCAATTTGTCAGCTACAAGATTGGTCTGTGTGTCAACATCTGTAGCTTCTGCACATACTGATGGGAAAATAAAGGTTAGTTTGAGCAATTAAACTAGAATTAATTAGTTTTGCTTCATGACATGGCTTGTAAAATAAGTGGCAATTAGATTTTTCCAATTAATAATAAGGAAAGTGAAAAAATCATTTAAGTGTGAGTATGAGATAATCTGTACAATTTATTTTTAGGCAAATTTATTTACAAAGAGGATAACTTTATTATACCATTTATACATAATATACTTTTATTTCATTGATAAATTCTGCTTGAGTCCTAACTTTTCCGCTTAATTTTTATGCTGCTTTAAGGTTTGCGAAGTGCTTTACATATATTATCTCATTTGATGATTCTCACAACAAGTCTATGGAATAGGTGCTATTATTATTCCCATTTTACAGTTAGTCAGCATTAGTCCTACTGTAGCTTAGAAGGATTATAGGTATTGGCTACCACACCTGACTCTAGAGTTCTTGATAGCTAAAGTTGCTAGATAAATGATCTGTGGATAGATGAGGTGTTTCTGTAGATTTAAAAGAACCTGACAAAAAATTAGCCTACGACAGAAACTTTCTCACACTTGTGATTACACTAAAAACCATTAACCTTAAAGTATCGCAGAATCTCAGATATGGAAGTAAACTCAGTTACAGTGTAGCCTAAATTGAAGAGAAATCCCTTCTGTACATCTCCACTTAAAAGTCTCTAGTGGAGGGGAACCTATTATGTCCCAAGACAGTTTATTTCAGTTTGAGACAGTTCTAATTGTCAGGAAACCTTTCTTTATGTTGTGCTAAAATCTGCCTACAAAATCAATTTACATTCATTGGTCTTACAGTGGGCAGAGCTGGGTAAGATAAGCTCTCTTTCACTTGATAACTCTTCATTCATGTTTCTCCTTTCCTTTCTGCCAGTTTAAACTTTTTCCAGTTTCTTTAACTTGTAGTTACCATACTATGGAAACACTCTAGTTTATCATTGTCTTCTAAAATGTGATTCCCAGAAATGAAGACAGTATTGTAGACGGAGGCCTGTGCATAGCAGCATACATTGGGATTATCACTTTCCTCTTTGTAGACACTATGCTTCTCTCTTAATATAACCTAGAATCTCATCAGCATCGTTGGCCACTAAGTCATGCTGTTTCCTCTTCATGAAAATCTTGAGCTTTTTTTCAGAACTGATATCTAGCCAGGCCTTCTTCATTCCATACTTGTGAGGATGATTTTTTTAACCCATTTAATCCTGTTACATTTCATTTTCTTTGATTTGGCCCATCTTTTGCCTTCCACCATTTTAGCTCTCATTCTCAACTTTCTGTCAAGTGCAGATTTATTAGGCATTCTATTAAATCATTGATAAAAATTCCAGATAGCACAGGGCCATAGAAAAAGTGGCATACTCCACTCATGACCTCCTTCCAAGTTGAAGACTCCCTGTTAATGACTACTGTTTGGGTATAGTCGTGCAACTCATTTAGATTCCATCAGAATGTACAAATATTTAGCCCAGTAGTCTCAAGCCTTTTTGTGTATGAACATATTTAAATGTCAAATGTGACAGCAGTTGTACTATTAATATCTATTAAGAAAATACTATGAATTCAGTAATGTTTTGAATTTATTGATGACTGTACCTACCTTCATTTGAAAATTAGTATTTATTTATATATGAAACATTGAGTCTGCTGAAGGTATCTACTTCAACAACCATTTATTTTGTGTCTCCTGTTTGCAAAGATCAGGGAAACAAAGACAATCATCATCCTCATCATCATAAAATAGCATTTATAATATGTTTTAAGGTTTGCAAAGTGCTTTTCCTTTTATCTTCACAACAATCCTGTGAGGTAGATGCTATTATTTTTATTCCCATTTTACAGATGAGGAAAATGAGGCTGAAAGAGACTAAACAATGAAAAGTCATCTCTGCCCTCAAGTAGCTTACATCCTTCTGGGGGATACAACATGAAAATAAGAAGAAAGATTTGAGGAATGATAAAGCACTGACAATTAGAAGGACCAAGAAAGACTTCCTTGTAGAAGTTTGTATTTGAGATGAGCCTTGATTTGAAGCATACTCAAGTATTCCAAGAGGTTCAGGTGAGAAGGGTATGCATTTTAGGCATGGTAGCAAGGAAATGGAAGGCTGAGTTCAGGGAACAGCAAGTTGGCCAATTGCTAGGTTGAATATCGAGTGTGTAAAGGGGAAGTAATAGGAAATGAGTTTAGAAATTGAGCTGGAACTCAATTGTGAAGAGTTTTAAGTGGCAGGCTGAAGATTTTGTATTTTATCCTATAGGTAATAGGCAGACACTGAAGATTCTCATTCAGGGAGTGATACTGTAAGACTTGTACTTCCAGTACATTCTTTTGGCAATTTGTGGAGGATGATTTGTGGACCTCTCGCCAGAACTCAGCAGTACCCAGGAGTTTCATGGCCCACAAGATTGAGAACCTCTAATCTAGCCCACATTTGATACAAAAGGAGAACATGAGAGACCGTTAAATATTTTGCTGAAATCTAGGTATATTACATCCACAGCATTCCCCTGATCTGGCAGCTAGGTGACACAGTGGATAGAGCATTGGACTTGGCAACAGCAAGAGCTGCGTTTAAATCCTGCCTCAGATCCTTGCTAACTGTATAACCCTGGGCAAACCACTTAACTTCTTCCAGACTCAGGTTCCTCATATGTAAAATGGTGATAATAACTTTAATAACTTTTAGGAATGTTAGCTATTATTACTTCTATTGCCAGTATAGCTCTTCTGTCAAGAAATGAGGTCTCGTGAGACCTCATGGTTTTTAATGAAACTGTGCTGCCTCTTAAGTCTACACTACTTCCTTTTTAAAATGCTTACATATGTCATCAGGCTACAGAAGGTGTTCACTTCAGCCAACAACCAGTTATTATTAGGTGCCTACTGTGTGTTAGGTACTGGAGAAACAAAAGACAAAAACAATCTAGAATTTTTCCAGGAATAAAATCAAACTCACTAGTCTGTTCTTTGCAGATTATGGAATTTGCTTTTTACTCATTTTAGTAATTGGGACATTTACTCTTCTCCATTCTTGTGAGCTTTTCCCATTTTCCACCATTCTTTAAATATGGTTCAATAATCACATAATTATGATGATGACAAAGATAACAGAGATTTAGAACTGAGAGGGATCTTTGAGGTCATCTAATCCAGTGCCTTTATTTTATTGATGAGGGAAGGGAGGCCCAGAGATGTTAACTTCTCTGAGGTCATGCAGATAGTAAGTGGCAGAGTCAGGATTCAAACTCAGGTCTTGTTCCACTGTACAATAATAATAATTCTAAGGTTTGCAAGCTTTTATGCACACACACTGTTCCAAAAGCCTTCATGCAATTTTGCTGTTATTAAAAAAAAAGCTTGATCTGCACTAAGATTTTCAGGACACCTTGTATTCAATCATCATAGGATAATGTGCGATCATAGTTTAGATCTCGGACCTCACAACCTTGTGAGAGGTTGGTACTTGAGGTATTCCCTCCAGCTAAGGCACAGAACTGTTAAGTGACTTGCTTGTGACACTGACCACGTATTACAGTACCTGCACTGTTTTTTTTTTTCTTTCCAAGGCAGTTAGGGTTAAGTGACTTGCCCAGGGTCACACAGCTAGTAAGCATCAAGTGTCTGAGGCCAGATTTGAACTCAGGTCCTCCTGACTACAGCGCTGGTGCTCTATCCACTGCACCACCTAGCTGCCCCAAGGGTATCTGCTTTGATCTGTATCTGTAGCCCATTACTGCTCTCCAAAGAGGAGAGTGAGGATTCAGTATTAGTCCTATAGAGTAGAGATTGGTCATTTAGGTTCTCCCACCCTCTTCTCACTGAATTTGGGTTTCAGCTCCCTCTTCTCCATTCCTGTTTTATCTTTCCCTGTCTGAAGGTGTGGCAGGAGAAAAAAAGGATAAAAGTAAGGGTTGAGAAATTCTATCATCTCTCCAGTGTTCATTAGTATCAAACTATCCCTACTGAGAAGTGTGCTTTGTCCTTCTTAGATTTTTCTCTTGCCCTGAATCTGTTTTTTAGAAACCTTTCTATGTTTCACATTATATTCATCACCAGCCCCAAGTCATTTTGAGCTGACCTGTATTGTTTCTAACGCTCCTTTTGTGAAAGTATTGCTCTTTTGCATTCTTCCTCAGCTGCTCTTTCATCTTCTGTAAGTCTTTCAAAAATCTAAGCTGTATGATGAATTTCCTGTCTGTCATTTACTAGACAGCTCATTTTCTTCTTCCTCAGAATCTGATTGTTCCTACTTCACGATGCTGTCTCCATTTGATGTGGATGGGTAAGAGTCAACAAAGTCAAGAAACTTTCTGTGAATAATCAGAAGCTGAAGTAAAGGGTTGCCACTTCCAAAATGGTCTTTCCCCTCTAATTCCCTTTTTACTACAGACAGTCCTTTTTCCCTAGGAGATCTCAGCTGCTAACTGTATCTTCCTTCTTCCACTACATCTTATGTGAGGAGATCACCTCAACCTCTTTGAGCTATGCCTCTCAGTACCAGGATGGATTTAGCTTTTTTGGCTCCATCAGAAATGTTGTGTGCTACTAAGATCCCGAGATCTTTTTTATACAAACTGTTATCTAGTCTTCTTGTACTTGTGAAGTTGATTTCTTTTGTACCCAAGTATAAGAATTTACATTTATTTTTGTTTAGTTTCATTAGATTTAGTGCTGTAGCCTGCTGAAATATTTTTGTATCCCGAATCTGTCATTCGGTTTACCTATCCCTTCTAGCTTTGTGTCATCTGCAGATTTGATGAACATGCCATTTATGGTTTTATCCAAGTCACTGGCAGAAACTTGGAACAGTACAAGGCTAACACAGGCCCTTGGGCTTCTGCATGGGAGTACTTCTGCCATGGTGACACTGAACCATGGACAATTATTTACCCCATTCACCTGTAGCAAAGGTCCTATCCCTTCATTAGTCCTCACACACTTTATAGAGGAAAAAAGATTTTCTTATGGTCACAATCAAGTAGAAAAAAGTAATGTTGTTTACCTCGAGTTGCTTAATAATGATAACATTCTAGCAATCAGTGTGATATAAAATTGGTATTATAATTAAAACAATCTGCTTTTTGACATATTTCTTTTGTTATAGCTTAACCTTAAACATTTCTTTCTTTTGCAGATTCTCTGTAGCAAATATCTGATTGGAGTATTGGCATTTCTGACAGAACTGGCAATTTTTCAAATTGAGTGACTTTATGTGGACTACACTCATTGTGGATTGATTATATGCCATTTTTGCCAGTAAGCTGTTTGGCTGAAATGGGCCAGGTATGTGAGCTGTGCCGTTGCCTGAAGTGGCCATAGCTTTTCACATCCATCATGGTGCCTGAGGAGTGGTCTCAGTGGGGAAGTCTAACAGGAAGCCAGAAGAATGGACAAAGTAGCAGTGATTGTGACAGGCAGGCCGGTGCTGCTTTGTCAGACAAGATAAGATGGCCTTCAATGCCAGCTTTTCTAGAACCACTGGAGAGTGCTGATTTTCATTGTACATCACCCTTTTTTATTTCATTTGAAGTCCTCTTAAAATTGGTGTGGGACACTAAAACAAGTCTTTCTAATTACATATGAAAGCCGAAGCCCAGTTGGCATCTTAGATTCATCTAGTTAGTTTTGTCCATTAAAAAAAACCTTTCCCTAGACATTTTAGTTCACTTTCCTGGAGTGCAATAAAAGCATTTGCTGAAGAAAAGCAAGAGGGGATAGATTAATGTGCAAAACTTTAGCTGCTAGTGTGCTTTTATTTTGTAATGACTTTAATTATTTTGCACTGAATTAAATATGCATATTTTAACATGACATAAAAGTGTTTGATTTTAAAATGGTAGGTCTCTTTTCCTTTAAGGTTTCGATTGTCATCTCTTATATGGAGAGAGAGAGACAGCATGGGCATTTAGATTCAGAAGACCTGAGTTGTTCAAATTCTGATTTTGTTATTTCATACCTGCAAAAGCTTGAACAAATTACTTTTCTTCTATACACCTGTTTCCTCATCTGTAAAATATAGGGTTGAACAGTATCAACTGAGATAATCTCTGTATAGTGCTCAGCACAGTACCTGGCACAGAATACAAAATAGGTCCTAAATAAATGCTTATTCCCTTCTATTTTACCTTGATAATCTTAAAGGTCTCTCTAGCTCTAAATCTTCTTCTTTGTAGAAAGTGGGAAGGTAAGCTTTCTTTCTAGCATGGTAGGATTGAGATCTTTTAATCCAAACCTAGCCTCATGAAAATATCTAATGTTTAGTTTAGTATTAAAACATATGCCCCCTGGCTATCGATCCAGGTTTCTTTTCCTTTTGTACCACTCTATATCTGTAGGTCTTAGACCTGGAAGGGACCTCAGAGATCACTTAATCTAACTCCTTATTTTACAGTGTCACTTAGGTAGATCTGCTCTAAGCATCAAAACCTTTGGAGAAGAGGTTTTTATTAGTAGGAAGCCCGTATCTGGTTAAAGGATGATTATTTCTTTGAATATGTCTGATCCTATGGAAGAAAAAGCTTGATTTCTTACAGAGTGCTTGTGAAATATACTACACAAGATTATCTTCATATTAAAACCTTGATAGGATTAACTCCCTGAAGACTGGAAGATAAAGGACAACCAATACCAGTGCCCTAATCTTGGCCTACCTTCTTCAGCTGGGCATTTACACATGGGGATAGCTGTAAGGACGTGTATGATCTAGCATGTTCTACTCTACCTTCCTTCACTAGTTGGTGATTGTTTATATGTACATTCTATTGATACTCAATTTGGAGAAGAGATTTTTAACCTGCACAGAGCCACCTATTAAACACAAAGAGCAAGACAGAAATGCACATGTTTTAGATGATTTGAAGGGGCTGCTTTTCCCAAAGGATTTAGTCACTAATACCTCAGGCTTCACAAGTCTACGTATATTTTCTTGTCAATCAGCTTAGATGGCATCACAGAATGTTTTTGTGTAATAGAATCGCTACATTTTGCCATCTACATTGTCATACCCACTGAGGAAGATGCCATCACTTTTCTAATTATACATATGATATGATTCAATTCAATAAATGTTTATTGACCATTTACATGTGAAATCTGCCCAATAGCCAATGAATTAATATACCGTTGATGGATTTAAGCTCTTTGAAAGCAGGAATTGTTGTATTTTTGCCCTCCTTTATATGTCCAGCACTTAGAACTGTGCTGGCACATAAGAAGTGCTTGCTGATTGTTGAAATAAACCATACTAATGCTGATTTTCTTGAAGTCATTCACATAGAATCCAGCTCTCATGAGCTATTTACAGGACAGAAGGGAAGAGTTGCCCCAGCCTTTCTTCTTCCCCCTTAATTTTCAAGTCTCTTCCACTTCTCTCTTCTCCCTGTCTTTTTTCTGTTTCCTTTTGTCTTGTTTTTTTCTTCTTTTCTCTTTCTCATCTGCTCAAACTTAAGACCTTTAAAAGGTTCCCACTCTTCCCCCCACTGCCTCCTTCAATAGCACACGCAGCCACCAATATTTCACAACCGCTGGCCCCAAGCAAATTTTGTTGGGGATTTGGGGGAAAGGCAGAGTAGGTACTCATCCTTTCACTTCCTCACCAAAGAAGCTTGGTTATGGTTGAGAAAACACAGGTGGATGCACAGAATACTACATGGCTGACCATTTCATCATTCTGGGCAACTTTGTGTCCTACTACAGCTGGGGAGAAAAAAACCCAACATGTTGAATTACGTGTGTGTGTGTGTGTGTGTGAGTGTGTGAGAGAGAGAGAGAGAGAGGATATACATGCACACACACATATAAGTACATATAAGACAAACTTTTGCATTATGGTATCTTTTGTTTTGTGGAATGGATGTATACCAGGAAAGATGGCTGTAAAGAAATCTTATTTCTAAATTAAAACCCACTATTAATTTTAAAAAAAAAAGGGAAATTTATTTCCAAAGACAAAAATCTATTGATAAGCTAGCTGAAAACTTTTGGTGAGGAAGAGTTTGAAATGATAGATGGTGCTCCTTCATTGCTCTGATTGCTTTGTAGCACTTTGCCAGATCTGGGTCCTGTGACATGTTTCTCCCCGAAACTAGGAATTTTTCCTAAGCCTGAGGATTCCCTAATTCTAGCAACTCTCAGGATTTTGTTCTTCTCCTCTGAACAGAAGCACTATCAATAGGGCTGGACAGTACTGGACATTTTGCTACCAGATGCTGCAAATGCATACATGACACATTCTAAAAGGAAAAACCCTTAAGTTACAAATTTTAGGTTATATAATATGAATACATTTCCTATTAATCAACACTGTATATAGCTCAATTAAAACAAGAGATGCATACAATCTGTTGTGGTATCTTCTTCCTGACAATGTTTCAAGTTATAATCGTTTTCTGAACTCCTACACTGGGAAGAAGCTTACCAGAGGTAAGTATTAATGCTATCTCAACCTATGTTAAACCATATAATTAAGCTTCCTAATTTTGGCTGATAATTCTCTTATTTCTATAAATTTAAATTACTCACATCTGAAATGTGAAGACTATCTATGAGGCACATCAATAAGCAAGCAGAAAGTAGCTAGACAGCTGTATCGGTCACTAAACAAAAAGGAACAAACACTAAACAGCATTAAAGAAATTTATTAAGGTAAACACTATTTTTTTTAACAAGTTACTCATGCTAGAAAAAGCATAAATGATACATGTAAACAACTGTTTACCAAATACTTCTTTTTTCTTGTAAAGGTGCAAATGACTTTCGAATGTAAACACAAGAGTTGCCAACCATTTTTGTTGGGGAAAAAAAGGGATGGTCATTCATTTTTGTTGTCATCATGGAAGTCTTATTCCAAGACTTTCATATCAAGCACATGAATAAGGAAACAAGGAAAAAACCCAGAAGAAATGAGGGTTTTTCATCATTGCTTTTCCTTTTCACTAACCTTACATGCTTAGCTCTTCACCAGCATGGATGAAGATAACAGTGTGTAGCATTACACAACAAACACAATACTGTTAGTCAGACGCCTCAATTGGTTTTTGCTCACTAACATGTACTCCGTTACACAAACTGCAGAATCCCATCTCGTCGCAGGCAGGCCTCAGCCTCTCCAGTCCTGCGCACTAAGTGTAAGGACTTGCATAACAGTGTTCACTGAGCGGGAGACGCCAACTCTCCCTGCTGGTCCGTGTACTGATAAGGAAATAGAAAGCAAAGTTGCTTCAGTCTGCAATGCTTTTGAGCAAGAACTCTTGCAGAGTTGCAGATGATTCTGCAGGGTTCTCCAGGCAATACAGGAGGGTCCCCTAACTGGCTTTTTAGAGGCACTGAGCAGAGCTCTAGTTCTAGCAGAAAAACCTAGGAGGAATATTGTTTTAAAAAGACTGTAATAAAAGCAGTCAATGAACAAGTTCACATAGGAAAACAAGAATCAAGTTGTCACTGAAGAAAACTGCAGCATTTGAGAGTCTAGACTTCTTTTATTGACTTAACATTCCTTTTTGACTTTTAATGTTTAAAAACAAGAGTTGGTTGGTTTTTTTTTTAAAGACTTTCAAGTCATGTTGAACTTCATATAAGTAAGAAGGCTGACTACTTAACGTATTTTGGATAACTAGTTTTTGCAATTGTGATTTTTAGGAGCTAATCCATCATATATAGTTTTAGAATTGGAATACTCAGGAAAAAATAGGTTATATGTAGTCTTACGCCCACCAAATGAGCATTTTCAAAGTCAATCACTTTAAAATAACAATTATGGGTTTTGTTGTTTATCTTTTTTCTTCCTTTTTTGGTGATAAGTACAAAGAAAACTATAACAAAGGAAAACAAAAAATAAATATTCTTCTGCACACTGTCAAAAACTTTTGTGCAAAGGTGGCATCATGTAGGTCAAGTACTTTTTTTCTGAAGCTTTCTGTAAATAAGGCAAAAGCAATGTATTCAGTATCATTTTCCACTTTTGCCCACTCCACACTACAGTTTCCACTATGTGGAAAACCATTTCATTTCATCTTGGAAGAAGCAACTTGTTCCCTTTGCCAGACTCCCAACGCACCTTTTGGTTCTGGGGTCTTGCTTATGCTGGAGTGCTCTGAAGGTTTTTGCTCAAAAAGCATATAAGGTATTTAAAAAATTAAAACATAAGCGAAGCTTCAACGTGTTGGGAAGAGTCCAGCCAATGTAGTTTCCAATAGCTGCTCTTTCAGAAATGTCACTGGATTTATATTTCCACATTGAGGCACCGGCAAAGAATAAAATTTGATCTGTTTTCAAGAACCTCATACAGCTCCAAAGTCAATGAGTCTTTCTACTAGACACACAGGCATATATGTGAATGAGAACCACAGGGCTTCCTCACAGACGCTTACCATATGTGAGACTCACAATGTGTCATTTTAATCACACCTACACCACCCCCTAGCCGACGATAATTCATTCCACCATATAACCTGCAAAAAAAGAAACAGTGTTAGATTTTCTAACAGTTCAATCTTTGTTCAAAAACCAGCCACATAAAACCAAGATAACAAATCAGTCAAAAACATTTACTGAGCATATAAATTTCTTTGGTGTGATATACCTTATAGTTAAAAATGAAAAACAAAATATGATAAGGTAATAACTTTGGGGCTTTCTCCACTCAAATTCCATCACTCAGGCAATATGGCTTTATCAATTGTCTATCATATACTAGATACTCTGCTAGGCAATGGAGGATTTAAAATCAAAAATGAAACAGAACAAAAACCTCTATGATTAAAAAAAAACACCCCAAACAATCCAAGCCCAAGGTAAGTAATCATTCATTGCTGGTATCCTAGATTGTCCTGAGAGGGGCATGTCCAGAATACCAGATGTGACAGTGATTCATCTGTTGAGATCACAGGTCCTGAGGAACTTGTTCTGTTTAGAACCCTATGCCTTATAGGCCATCAATGGGGGAGATAGTCCCAAAGGGAACAGTGAGGAGGGCAAGGGGACTTGAAGCCACACTGTACAAAGAGCAACTCAAGAAATTACAGCTATTTGGCCTGGAGGAGAGAAGACTGGGGAACACGGATTTGTCTTCAAGCACCTGACAGGATGCTGAATGGAAGAAGTATTAATAATGTATTCAGAAACAGGATCAAAGGCTAGAAACTGCTGGGAGGCAAAAGATCTAGTTTTGACCTAAGGAAAAACTGAAAGCTGTTTAAAAGAAAAAGTTGTGGCTCTCTAGGCATGAAGGGAAAGCTGGGTGACTGATTGCTCCTGAGAAGACGTTATGGCGAGGACCGCACACAGGTTCCATTCGGTTTTATGGCCTCTGAGATCCTCCCCAACTCTTAAGTTTCTGTGACAGACTAAATCACCATTACTCATTTCGGTTTGCTGGCCATCCAGCTTTTCAACCTAAGAAGAGGACTGAGGAACCATATTTTAGGACTATGAGATCAAAAGTAAAAAAGCTCAATGGTTCCACAAAGCATACAATATTTCAAGTATGCCAAACTCCAAGCAGATTGTTTTTTTTTCTTTTCTTAATCTGAAATACTAAAACAGATGTTGCTACATTTATAACTTTGGAGAGAAATCTGGTCTCTCTTAGGTCCTCTAAACTGACTAGTATAATTCTCCTTTTTGTTTTTTTTTGAAGAGATTGGTACTGATAAAAAAAAAAAAGGAAGCAGCGGTGGAGAGACTATGAGAGAAGGAGGATTACAAGAATTATGAGGGCAAAATTATCTTGGGTCTAGTGTAGAAAGGCTGAACCTAGAAATGGTAGCCAGAAACATCACTGTCCCAGGAAGAACCTCTGAAGATCTGGTCAGAACAGTTAACATAGTAGCAAAAAGCTTAGTTAATAGATCTTTCAGCACTCTTCCTTCTTACTTTCTTACCAGATCTTGTATAACTCTGTAGCCCGTACAGTGCCTGGCACATGGTAGACACTCAATAAATTTGTTGAATGAATGAGTGAATTAATTCATGTCTCTTTAAATGCTACAACCAAGTCCTTAAAATGATTCCTGCTGCTGTGAAGAACCAAAAGAGATTATCAAGGGGAAATATCTAAATCAGCAGTTTTTATATTCATATAGTATATTCACTGTTTTCTTGCAGGGATCACAGCGTCTGGCAATACCTGGTTACAGGTTTTAGCAATTTTTTTTTTGCATGTCATAGTTTAGTAAGCAGGCTAAATTAAATCAAATCCCTACCAAAGAAGCACACTCTGGGAGCTCTTCCCGAAACAGTTTAGCCCAGGGTTCAAATAATGGTAAGAAGTATTCGATATAAGTGAACTCTTAAAAACAAATGGTAATTATAAAAATTCACGCCAGTCCAATGCATTTGACACTATTTTCTTTCCACAGGATCTGACAGATTTCTAAAGAAATAAATCTACAAAGATAATTATTTTAAAACTATCTGCCAATAAAAATAGTATACAAGCAACCAGTCTAAAGTAGCTTAAGTTGAGTGGTGTTTTCAATAATTTACTGTCCAAACTTGTTCAGTTTACAAGTGATAGAGGCAGAACAGTGCAGTACAAAGGCTAGGTGACTTGCAAGGTTCCTTCAAGCATTAAATTCTATGACCCACTGATGTCTAATCTTGCTAGTACAGAAAGGACATCTAAAACAGATGGATCCACCCAACCATTTATAAGAAGAAGCATTTCCATAGAACAGAACACAGAACTTTTTAAAAATTATGAACTAAGTTTGTGATAAGTATATACATTTTTTTTTTTGCTTTTTTGGTGAGGCAGTTGGGGTTAAGTGACTTGCCCAGGGTCACACAGCTAGTGTCAAGTGTCTGAAGCTGGATTTGAACTTAGGTCCTTCTGACTCCAAGTCTGGAGCTCTATCCACTGCACCACTTAGTGGCCCCTTGTGATAAGTATTTACAAAAATCGGACAGGATCTCTCAGATGATCCTAAAGCATTTCACAAATTTAACTTGGGAATGTGGGAGGCAGCTTGGTATGGCAGGAAGAGCACTAGTCTTGGAGTTAACAAAACATGGATTCGAATATTGGCTCTGACACTTATTGGTTATATCATCTTGGGCAAGCCACTTCACCTAAGCTTCAGTTTTGTCATCTATATAGTGGGATGGTAATACTTGTACTGACCTCATGGATTGAAGGTGCTTTAGAAACATTCGAGGGCTCCTGTTTTACACATGTAGAAACTCAGCTGCACATAAGATCATGGAATTAAATGGTGGAATCAATGGAAAAATTTGGATGACTTCCCAAATAGTCCTTATCCAACATTTCCCTCTAAAAACCTAAAACCCATGATGAAAAGAAATACCTCACAGTAAGGGAAAGCAAGTCACTTAAGCTCGTGTCTTCATTTCCCCATCTGTAAAAACAGAGTACTGGACTGGGGAATCAGGTGATCTGGTTTCTATTCCCAAATCTATTACTTCTTTTACCAGAAGTCATTTAATCTCTCTGCATCTGTTTCTTCATCTATAAAATAAGCAAGTTGGATTAGAGGGTCTCATAGCGTTAAAATCATAATTCTATGAATGTATAATGAAATATATTTTAGGACATTATCTGTGGAATCATGGAGTTATTATAATCTGATTATGTGTAAAAGTTGTCCGAATACTTTGGCAAACTGGCATCATATAGATTCAAGGCAACACTGATATTTCAACCAACAACTTTCTGTGACTAGAGTTATACTGCAAAGGAGCAAATACCTGAAGAACTAATGTCAGGAACTTTATTACTCTATCAAAAACTTTTCTAACTAGGAGGAGGATCTATAATATAAGATTAAGAAATGACTACCTCCAATGATATAAAGATACAAAGATTTTGAAGCTAGATCACTTAACCATTTAATTTTAATGGGGGTTCAAGTCAAATCAAATTAAATGCTATGTTACTAGTCTTTTTCCAATGAACTCCAAAAGGAACAAGTTCTTACTCAATTATTTAAGATTATTTCAGATCACATGTTATCTCATGTTCATATAAAGACCCAAGTTTGCTGTGAATGAAAGAGTTGATTTTTCAGGACAGCTTAAAGATTACCTCCATGTGTTAGCATCAGGATCAAAAACTTCAATTGTCTTCAAATACGTTGTACCATCAAAACCTCCTACTGCCATGAGCTGTCCATTCACTACTGCAAGGCCAACCTACAGGGCAAAAACGTGAACGCTAGTCAGGAGACACAAAGTCATAGTACATTGTAGATTGGTCTTCCTAATTAGATTAGTCTTTTTAAGCTCTATGATAAAATGAGATAATGTATAAAAAAGTGCTTTGAAAGCCTGAAAGGGTTACATGAATATCAACTATTATATTTATTATTATTAATTACTATTCAATAACAGGCAGCAGTGGAAAGTGGGTTGGCCTCCAAGTCAGAAAGACCTGGGTTCAAGTCATGCCTCTGATATGTGCTGTTTATGTGACCACTGTTAAATCATTTAATATCATGCAACACTCTCAGACTATAAAATGTATTACAGTTGTATTGGTATGGGGACATTCTTTATCCGAAGTTCCATATACTGCTGAAATCACAGGCTTAGATCAAAAAATACTGTTCAAATTCACTTGAATCCCTCCACCCACATGCAGTCATTTTCAGTTTAACTGTATATAAATAGAAAAGGAAATGGTAAGTCTATAAATCTATTGTTCAATGACCAAATCTAAAAAATTATACTGATTTTTAAAAAATGTCAGAAAAAGTCAACATCTCCCAAAACATTTATTAATATTCTGATGGAAGAAAATGATTTATTATAAGAATATTTAGGAATCTAACTCACTGGGAAAATATAATCAACTGAGTACAGTAATCATATCAAAAGGAGCAGATAAGTTGGTGAGTATCTACAGAATGGCAACTAGGATGGTGAAAGACCTTGAATTCATGCCATCTAAGGACTGGCTGAAGAAATTGGGGACATTTAGCCTGAAGCAGAGAAGACTGGAGGAGAGGGATATAGTAGTTATCTTTAAGTATTTGATGGGATGACATATGGAAGGAGGATTTGATTTGTTCTGAAAGTTACAATGAGGCAAATTTAGATTTGAGTAAAGGAAAGATTCAGCTATCCAAAATGGAATTTGCTGACTCGGTAGATCCTCCATCACTGGAATTCTATAAGCAGCGGCTGAATGACCACTTTTTAGCTACGCTGTAGGGAAGAATTCTTTTTTCGGGCTATGGTTTGGATTAGATGGTTGAGAATATTTTCAATTCTGAAATTTTCTGAATTTAAGCTAAAAGACTGTTAGTTATAGGTAATATGAGTCAGTAGTTGATATTTCCACTCTAGTTATTATAATGCTTTGGCTTCATTGATATTTTAGTTTATTATTAGCGCAAACTAGTATTCACTCATGCTAGCTTAAAATAACTTTTTCTTGATTTCTGCTGTCCCCTTCCCTGCCCTGGCCACTATGAAACTTACCTGCAATCCTTCTGGCTAATGTCCCCTTCTTACCCCTTATGGTTGGACAATGGTCCCCTATTCCTACTCTTCTCGAGGGAAACCAGAATCCCCAGTGCTCTCTGGGACACTTTTAGGCCCATATGCCCCCATTTGCAGAGGCTGCTACCCTCCCTGCAGGGATGACACACTGATTTAGGCCTTTTCATCTACCCTGCAGCTAAGCTCTTCTTATGTGTTATCTCCTTTAATTACAACATGAACTTCTTGAGAGCAGGGAACTGTCTTTTCTCTTTCTATCACTAGCAAAGGGCTCAGCACATAGTAAACACTTAATAAATGAATTTTTATTCATCCATTCACTGATAATCTCCTCAACTCGCAAGAGTCAAATGTTCTTTTCTATGCTGATGATTGCTAAGTCTACATGTGTAGCCCTAGTCTTCCTCCTGACTTCTCGCCTGCATCACCAACTGCCTAGTATATATTTTGAAATGGATACTCTAAAATATTTCAAACTCAACATGTTCAAGACAGAATTCATTATCTTTTCTCTAAAAATTACTTCTCTTCCAAACTTCCCTATTTCTGTTGAAGGCACCATCATTTTTCCAGTCTCCCAGTCTTAGTTGGCATCTTCATCAACTCCTCTCCTTCACCATACATATTGCTTTTTAGCCTAAGTTGCTAAATCTTGTAAAATTTCCCCCCACATTAACATCTGCCATACTTGAACCATTCTCAGTATTCCCATGGCCACATCTCTAGTTCAGGCTATCATTACCCCTGACATGAATTACTGTAGCAGACTCCTCCCTGGTCTCCCTGCCTCCATTCTCTTTCCTATCCAACTCATTCTCCACATATCCACCAAAGTGATTTTCCTAAAGGGCAGGTCTGATCATGCGACTTCCCTACTCAGTAAAGTTTAGTGGCTCTCTATTGCCTCTAGGATCCTCTGTCCGGCATTTAAATCCCCTCACAACCTGGTCCAAATCTGTAATACCTTTATTACATGTTACTCCCTTTCCCACACTCTATGGTTCTACCAAACTGGCCATCTTGCTATTCCTCACACCTGGAACACGCTCCCTTCTTCACCAACATCTCTTAGAATCCTTTGTTCCTTCAAGATTCAGCTCAAGCTCTACCTTCTATATGAAGTCTTTCCTGATTCCCACAACTGCCAGTGGCCCTCATCCCCAAACTACCTGGTATTTGTTTTGAATATATTCTGCGCACACTCCCTGCCCCAATACATAATGTCCTAGTAGGAGCATATGAGCTCTTTAAGCACAGGGTGTGGAACACAGTAGGTACTCAATAAATGTTTTTTAACTGGTAGGATTGGTAGCAGGAAGATGCTATTTCTGTCTTAACACCTGCATTTGCATAGCAGTGGATAGAGCACAGGACCTGGAGGACAAAGGCCTAAATTCAAATATGACCTCAGATACTTACTAGCTCTGTGATTCCAGGCAAGTCACTTAACTGCTGTTTGCCTCAGTTTCCTCAATTGTAAAATGGGGATAATAATATAGCACTGACCTCAGAGGGTTGTTGTGAGGAGTGAGACAATATTTACAGAGTACTTACAGCACTTCAGTGAAGCACATAGCAAGAACATAATAAATGCTTACTCCCTTCCTGCTCTCTTTGAAGTACGTATGGGATTAAAAAATGTACTAAAAATATACCAGAATGAACATATCCTGTACTTGAACTTCTAGAAGTCACCTTTGTTCAGGGCTATGTCCTATTCAACAAATCTTCCAAGTCAACCTGATCTGGACCTGTACCCCAGGATGGACTGGAATAAAACGGACCCCTGGAGATGGGTGGTGTCTTGTACTTGCCTTTGGTGGCTTAGTCATTGGGGTATAAAGTATTTTGCTATAATGGTTACAGATAGGATGAGGGTGGGAGAAAGAAGTAGTTGAAGATAACCTACAGAGTGGGAAAAGATGCAAAATATTAAAAACAAACTCAATTTTCTAACTGTGATGATTCAGTACTAGAAGTTTTAGCTTGTGACAAAAGTACACAAAACAAAACCTGCAGTAAGCTAAACAATTAGGTAAAGGCAATCCACAGCCTCCATTCTACTACAATATACCTTAAAGGAGATCAGATTTTTCCAACAGAATGAATATTTCCCTGATAACTCCTTTTAACCAGCTTTCAAAAAAGAAGCCAGTTAGATCCCTGGTACTTACTCCACTTCGGCGGGATGTCATGGCCACCACCGGAGACCACTGGTTGGTTCTAGGGTTGTATCTCTCAGCACTGCTGAGCTCGGTGGTGTCATCTCTGCCTCCTACTGCATAGATCATGTCCTGATACACTGCACAGCCGAGGTGTTTCCGACGGGTCCCCATAGGGGCTATTGTGTGCCAGCGGTTTTCCTGAGGGTTGTAGCGCTCCACTGCAGGGGAAATAAAATCATTAAGGGATTCCTCAAACATTTCCACATCTTCAGTATATATTTCCAGTGGACCTTTGTAAGCCCAAATCACTGTAACTTCACTGCTTTATAGTTTTAAATAAGGCAAATTCTTAGTAGGAAGCCCAGATATTAGCCTTCTTTCATGTCACACTCTTAAAATATAGCAAACTACTTACTATCAGACAGTTATGGAAAGTCACCTCTAACAATGTGGAATATCACATATTTTTCCAACTGAGTGATCTCTTTTTGGTTTATTCTAACATCTGTTTTCCATTATAATATTCAAATGTTCCAATCATCTCTTGCTCACAGTAGTCTTACTCCTCACGTCAGGAAAGACAGAGAATAACAACAGGCCCAGGCAAAAATATTCTCTGAGTCTGGGACCGGTAATGATTAAAATCACCAGCTCCTATCAACAGTGGCTATCTGTTTTCTTGGATAGTGACATGAAGAATGGATTAATGCAAGGCATCTCTTTGGAAATGTGACCAAGTTAAAGAAATTATCCTATTCTTGTTTTCCATAGCTATCTAATAGCTTGGAAAGAAAAGAAGAATGGAACACTTTTGGTAGAAGGCTAAAATTGTAGAATTTAGGGAAAATTTAGGGAAATGGCAAAGTTTTTAGACTATGCCAGGGGATAAACAGCTATCTGCTCAGTGTCCAGAGGGTAACTGCTACTCCTATTTTACAACAAGGAAAGAAAGCTACAGTAACTTGTTTGCACAGAAGTTCTGCCTAGGGCAGTTAGGTGGTGGTACAGTGGGCCTGGAGACAGGAAGATCTGAGTTCAAATCCAGCCTCAGACACTTAGTAGCTGTGTGACCCTGGGCAAGTCACATAATCTTTCTTTGCCTCAATTTCCTTATCTGTAAAGTGGGATAATAATAGCACCTGCCTCTCAGGGTTGTTGGGAGAATCAAATGAGACAAGTGTAAAGCGCTAAGCACAGTGTCTGGCACATAGCAAGTGCTATATATTAGCCACTGTTACTGTTATTAGTGGTCTGGCAGCTTGGCAACTTTTTCATCTGTTTTATGGAAGTAGTCAAATCTTAGAAAGGACCAACCTGTATTGAGAGGAGATGTCCCGTCAGAGCCTCCCACAGCATATAAAAACCCTCCTAACACAGCCACTGCCACTCCGAGCCTCCTGGTACTCATGGAAGCTACTCGAGTCCACTTATTCTCCTTTGGGTCATATCTGTAGTAAGAAAATAGAAAGGTCAGGTGCACGTCCTGATTAAGAGGGAAATTTTTTTTTGCAGGACCTACATTACACCAAAGATCCTCGAAGATACATTTTTGCTTATTGTCAAATACAGTGAAACTGTTAACATTTTAATTAGCTATTGGGAAAAAAATCCTGTGATTTATGTCACAGTAGGAATGGAATATAAGTAGAAAATGGTGAAAATTCAGTTAATGCTAACATTTATAGAGCTCTAAGGCAGATAGGTGGTGCAGTGGATAGAACACCAGGCCTGGAGACAGGAAGACCCTAGTTTAAATGTGACTTCAGAAACTTACTGGCTATGTGACCCTGGGCAAGTCACCTGACCCTGTTTGCCTCTAGCTGTGTGTCCCTGGGCAAGCCACTTCACCCTGTTTGCCTCAGTTTCCTCATTGTAAAACAACCTGGAAAAGGAAATGGCAAACCACTCCATATCTCTACCAAGAAAACCTCAAATGGGATCACAAAGAGTTGGACACAACTGAAATGAGTGAACAAAGATCCCCCCCCCAAAAAAAAAGACAACTGTGTGTAAGGCAGCATAGGGAGCTACAAAAGGGAATATTAGAATTAGCCCTAGATCTAGAGGAAGAAAGGACATACTACACATAAATATAAAACTATTTCCATAACACTACAAAGATTTCAAGAAATGAAAATATACAAATAAATGCTTGCTAACATGGAGATAATGAACTCACTTTATATAACTGCAGAAAGAACGCACAGTGGATGACAGCACTGGTTAACTAGGGGGATGAGAATGATGTTTAGTTATATTCTTTTAATGACCCCCAAGTTCCTCTTTGAAACAAAGGTCCATTTTTAAAATCCCAACATTGTTTTGTTGTTGTTATGAGAGTGAATCATGAAACACTATGGTCTCTGAACAAATGAAATTAAGAATCATCCTAAGCACAATGCAGAGGCAAATGGTGGGCACGAGCAGGGGATAACACATTAGCAACAAAGAATTCAAAGAAGAGAGATAAACAATGTCAGAAGAGAAATATATGAACGAAAAGAAGGATGGACTAATTAGATGGTGAGAATGAAGGACAACTAATAGACACTTAGGCTCTATTAATATCCTTACAATGTGGAATTGCCTTAAAAAGTAGCAGAGTTTCAGATTAACTGAACATTTTTCCGGTTAGTCCTTTTAAAAATGCACTTAACAGTTCCCGGATTATTCCAAATCTATATGTAATAGCTTCTTTTAAAAGATCTCTATGTATTTTTCCATTCAGAAATTTATTTTAAGAACGTAAGATTCCTGAGTATAAAGACAGTTTTGCTTCTTCTTTGTATAAAAAGGCCCAGTTCTTGGCACACAGTAAGCACTTAATAAATGCTTGATTCATTTAAAATTATTTTTAAGAAATCACCTCTCAACAATATTGAGACAAGAGACGCCATCTTGTCCACCCACAGCATACAGATAACCTCCAAGAACTGCTACTCCAACACTAGTCCTGCAGGTGCTGGTAGGGGCCACATCACTGCTCCACTGATTTGTTTTGGGGTCATACCTGTCAAAATAAATCAACAACTGAGTTTAGTTTACCCTGCATGTATGGGAAGCCTTAGAGTAATTTACAAATTCTTGTCAAAGGGGATACATGTTATGATATTTACTTTTTCTAAAGCTTTCTATAGGTTTACAATGTCTAAAACAATGTCCACTGGGAAATCCAGTTTTATTAATGATTTCTGGAAACCTAGTACAATTCAGAATCTACATTTTGAAACTTGGATAACAGATAACATTTACATAGTATTTTAAATTTGGCAGATGATTTTATCTCATTGGATACACTGGATTATTCTACAGTAGAATTTAGAAGAGAGCTAAGTGGTATAGTGCATAGAGTGTTAGACTTGGAGGCAGGAAGGCCTGAATTCAAATTCTTTCTCAGATATTTACTAGCTATGTCATCTTGGGGAAATTATTTAATATGTTTGTCTCAGTTTGCACATTTGTAAAATGGAGATAATAAAAGCATCTACCTCACAGGGTTGCTATAAAGGATCAAATAAATTAACACAAATGAAATAATGCAAATCTTAAAATGCTACACAAATACTATCATTTGGAAAGGTGAAGAACCATTACAGGCTATAGAGATAAATGGAAAAGTAAGTGATGATAATCAAAGGAGTTTGTTTAATGATGCAAGACTAAAAACTAAGACTAAATTCTTGGCAACTGATTGGCTATTGGGAAAAAAGGGCTTAAGGGAGGAAAAAAAAGCAAAAATTACTCTGAGATTTTAAGCATGAAGAACTAGCAAAATGGTGACGTAGTCAACAGAAGTAAAGAAGGCAAGAACAGGTATAGATTTTAGGGAAAAGCAATTAGTTTAATTTCACACAATGATTTTAGGCAGAAATGTCTAGCAGACAGCTGAAAATGTGGGTCTGAAGCTCAGGACATAGGTAGGAACTATACATATAAAACATGCAACATCTTCCCAGAGAGTTGAATGGATGAAATTGACAAAGTGTAAAGAGGGAAGACTGAGACTAGAACTTTTGATTAATGTCTACAATAAGATGGTGAGAGAAGGAAGAAGAGCCAGAAGACAGATGGAGTATATCTGGCATAGAGCTATAATCAAAGAGAGATGCCGTATAAATTATGTAGTCCCTCAGATGTTGTTTTTGTAGGTGACACTGTGCTGATTGCATCAAGCCATGGTATTACATAGCTTCCTAAAAAAAAAAGATCTATAACTGTCTCTACACTCAGGGATCTTACATTCTAAAATAAAATAAGTTTCTGAGTGCTCTAAAGTGTTTTCCTAATCAGTCACATAGGAAAAACTAAGTGGATGAAAAAAACCTATTGTCAGACTACAAAATGTAGTGGTACAATCTTGACAGCTTGTCTACCAGTAAATAGAGATCTTGTACAACACAAATGGACAATGAGAGCGCCTAGTACCAAACAGAACAGGCAGAACTGCCTTTAGGATATTGCAGAATCTTTTAATATCCCCCAAGCTCTTCCCTGAAACTAAGACCCATTTTTTTTTTCTGGTGGTGTTATATGGTTGTGAGTAATGGAACACTAGTCTCTGAAAACCAGAAATTAATCACCCAAAGGGAGAATGAAGAGTCAAATGTTGGGTATGAGCAGACTGTAACACATTACAAAGAAGGAATTTGTAACTCTTTGGAATTGTAAACAAAAATTACAAAGGTAAATCAGCACAAAGGATATTATAAGAGAAGTGAAGGACTAAAAAAAGAAGACTGTTATGAGGTCAAGGTGAGGGATAACCAATGGACAGCTCATATACTATATTGGTCTCCTTATGACTATAGGCAAAACTGAAAAAGGAACCTAGCACACTGACTTGATCCCCATGGCAAAGCTATGAGAAGGCACGGAGTAGATTCACACAGGATGGGTAGCCATGGATGGTTGTAATTGGTATCATTAGAGGAAATGTTCACATTGATAACAGATAACAGATGCATTTGAGTACTGCATAAAGAGTCAATTCTCTTAAAATGCTTGTTTTGGAAATGCAAATTTGTTCTAATGAGATTGATATATTATGGAACACTTTTGAGCAGAATGTGAATTTCAAGTTTGCTTCTGTGCAATTTCTTCTGCACCTTTTACCTTTTCCAGAGAAAACTGCACCACAGTAACTTATAAGCTACCACCCTTCTGGTACTCACTTCCACAAGCAGATTTCATGGCTCTGTCAAGGTAAAGTGCCATCCACATTTATTATGTATCTTCTGTTGAAGGAGGCAGATCAGAAGGGCTAGTTTAAACCTCCCCCTCCTTCCAGAGGCCTACAGTGGTCTACCCAACTCGTGCAAGACTTCTATCACCCTGGATAGCTGGGACACAGGCCAAGCAGCAGCTTGAGGATATGGATGCCACCAGTATTTACTGTAGTGTTTATTTATTTCTTAAGCATTTAAGATGTATGAAACTATTTTTATTAGGTTGCTATCTTTTTCTGTGTGTCACTTTCAAAGTGTTTGAGTCTTGTACCCCAACCTCATTTTCCCCAAAAGCCTTTCAGTTTTTATTGTGTGATTTTGCACAGTGAGGTGCTTTTTGGGAACAAATATGTCATGCTATAGCAGAACCATACACTCAATAAACTTACAATCTGGACAGTGCTTTAGTACTTTGAGAAAGACCGAGAAAGTTTTTTTAGGACAGGGAAGATATGAGCTTGTTTGTAGGTAGAGGGAAAAGAAATAAAAAAGAAAGGTAAATAGAGGCAAAGGCGGTAAGAAAGAGTCTGCAAAAGAGTAACAGAATGAATTGATCCTAAAAAAGGTGGGAACGGATAGGGACAACAGCAAAAGTGGAAGGGCTGACTTTGTTAAGGAGAAAGGTCGACTGCTTTGAGATAGGATGGAAGAAGGACAGAAAAGGTGAAGATGCAGAAAAATTTTAAGTCACAGAGGCAAAGAGTTGAATGAGATGGCCTTCATATTCTCAATAATGTAGAAGTGAGTTCATCTACTGAATACTAGCAGCACGGTTTGGGGTTTGAGTAGAGTGGAAAAATATAACATAATCATTGTAGGGAATAAAGATAGGGAGAGAAGGCAGGACTATTTCATTTTTTGTTTCTGCATCTTTGGTGCCTAGCATGGTGCCTTGCACTCTGTAAAGATTTAATAAGTGCTGGTTGAATTGAAGTGGCAGTGAGAATTCAGGTGGACCCAAATCAACACAGCTTCCTGATTTAATCCAGGATATTCCATGTTCTGTAAGAAAGAACAGAAAAAGCAGAGATGGCCGGGTGACTGAGGGTTGAGAACCCACAGAAAGCTGAAGGGGCAAAAGACTCTAAAAGAACTAACAAAAGCATTGTTGAATGTTGAACAATCATGGCAAGTGAAACCAGAAGGGAGCAGACAGACCTGATGAGGAAGATAAAGAGGTAAAGGTCTAGAGGTTGTAATAAGAACAAACCATAGGTTTAAGAGGATGAGGGAACATGATAGCATGTGCACAGAAAGCTGTGGTCAGAAAGGAGAATTTTAGAGTTCAAGATTTTAAAGACTAATCAAAGGTTGTTCACAAAAACGTAGTGATTTTAATATAACAGGAACAATGCTAAAGTAGGAATTGTTACATCTATTGTGCAAATTCATGGAAAGACTGAATTTCACACCAAATATGTACAATCAGCAGCAAGGTGGTGCAGTGAATAAAGCAGTAGGCACGGAGTCAGGAAGACCTGAGTTCAAATCTGGCCTCAGATATTTATGAGCCATATGACCTCGGGCAAGTCACTTCATCTCTGCTTGCCTCAGTTTCTTCAACTGTGAAATAAAGATAACAACAGCACCTCTCATTTGTGGGGCTCAAATGAGAAAATCGCTATAAAGTGCTTTGCACAGTGCCTGGCACAGAATAAATTCTATATAAAAGTTCTCATTATTAATAGAGGGGAAAAAATCTTGCTTCCGCTTACCTTTCAACACTGTTGAGATAAGAAGATCCATCGTGGCCTCCCACTGCATACAAAAGGTCATCAAGAACACTGACTCCAACCCCACAGCGTCGTTTGCTCATGGATGCTACCATCCTCCACTCGTTGGTCTGTGGGTCATATCGTTCCACACTAGAAATGGCGTCCCCACTACACCAGCCACCCACTGAGGGAAACAAAAGAAAAACACAGACTATATCTCTGTAACACAGAAGAAGTCTTTAAATCTTGGCCCAGTGCCAAGTTTAAATGAGAAATATTTTTTTTTAAAAAAGATTTTTTTTATTATTTAAGAAATATCAAATTATGGCCTTAACAAAGCTTAATTCTTATCTAGGACGTTTTTGCCCCCAAGTATTTTACATATTCAAAAGAAGACCAAAGCAGAAATGGGAGTTTTTCTTTCTTTATTCCTATACACAAGTTAATAAACATATTGGGGTTTTTGTTCTAGCTTTTTACCTTCTCTGGCCTCAGTACTTTGTCCCTTTTCAACATCTCATCTCATCTTATCTCTGTTCACTATATCTAATACGTACTCTCTCCTCACTTCTACCCTTAAGAATTTCTTGTTTCCTTCAAACATCAGTTAAGATGCTATCTCCCTACATGAAGCCTTTCTCGAAATTATTTTGCACTTACTTATCTGAGTATATGTAAGCTATGTGACCTTAGGCAAGTCATTTTGGACTCTAAGCTCAGTTTCATTGGTAAAATAGGTATAGCAACAGGGTGGGGATCAAGTGAGATAGTGTAGGTAAAATGATTTATAAGCAGAAAGCATTACATGAATAGAAGTTACTGGTACTACCATTCCTTTATTTTACTTTCAAAAACTAAATTGGGAGATCAAATACACTAAATAGATTTAAAGAAAATTTCTAGGTAGGATGATAAATAACATTAATTCTTGAAATGCTATTTTGAGATTTATGTAGAAAGTTCCTACAAAATAGGAAGCCCTCCAAAATCTAAAAGTAATTCAATTGCCAACATGGTGGTTAGTAGCAAAAGTGAAATTCTGCTTGCTTACTAGACATAGCTTCAAAAGGTAAATCTGGCAAATTTTATTAAGGTAACCATTAAAAACTGATTTCAATGGGAAGAAATGGTTCAGAATCAAATGAAAACTGTTGCATAAACTGTACTTCTAAATCCTAATTTGGAAAAAGGAAGTTTAAAAAAAGATTACTTTCCTGTGGCCTAAGGAGACGGAACAGAAAATGCTGAGCATTCCCAATGCTATGCAGTGACTTAATAAGCACTGTGATCTCCAAAGCAGTAATGGCATAACCGGAAACAGGGCTAGTCAACTTACTATTATTGCTGTTGTTGTTAGCTGAGTGTTTACAGCATACTCAATAGAGCAAAGTACAGACAAAGTCACTGCCTTGGGACTCACCATCTAAGTTTATATGGAATAGAATTATGGAAAAATATTCCTTATAAGGTGGTAGGGGAGTCCCAAAAATGTATGAAGTTATCTTACAAAAAACTACTTCCAATGTAGCTTTGGACTATACAATTTCCCAAATCATATGATAACAGACTCAGGACAGGAAGGGACCTTAGAGGCCCAGAGAAGAAAAAGAACTTGCCCAAGGTCACCCAGGCAGGTAAGGGGCAGAATTCTAAATCCTGAGCTCTTTACACAAAACCATGATGCTTCCCAACCAACCAACAAGCATTTAATGAGAACCTTTTATGTGCCAGACACTGTTCTGGCAGCTGAAGGTAAAAAAAGTAAGCCATCAGCACTCTCTGGGTGCTTACATTCTATAATAGGAGAGACAACATGGGCACAGGGAAGGGCATAAAAAATAGGTAAGAAATGAAAACAAGATAGTTTTGTGAGGGTGGGCACTAGCAGTGAGGCCCAGAGGAAATCTGGGCAGCTTTATACTGTGTAGAAAGGGGTGCTTGGCCTTAGGCTTGAGGGAATCCAGGGATTCTAAAGAGGTGGATTTGAAGGGGAATGGACATCCATAGCACATCCAATTCAAAACGTCCAAACAGCAGGACATTATAAAAGAATGGAGAACTCAGGAGACAGACTAGGGCTGGATATGTAGTGGGGACAGAAAGATCTCAGTAAGGGTTTATTTATTTTTTTGTGATGGGGAAACTTATTTTTAGTCAACAAGGAAGCAATCACTAAATCAGAGATAATCTCTAACTAAAGACTGGAGAGAGAAAGGAGACACACTGTTGGAGAAGATGGGATGAGAGAGGATGAAGGGTCCATGTAAAGGGGCTGGCTTTGGCCAGGAAAAGAGTCATCTCTTTATCAGAGACTGGAGTAAAGGAGAAGGTGATGGTGAAGGAGAAGGGGGTCTTGAGATGCAGCAAGAAGGAGAAGGAGCCCCTGGCTTATAGGTGATAAGCCAAGTTGGCTGGAAAATTGAATGTGAAAACAGAAGCCTAGAAAGATAGGCTAGAGCCAGACAGTGAAAGGCTTTAAACACCAAGCTGAGTACTTTTTATATTAGAGACAACAGAGAGCCACTAAAGCTTTTATAGCAGGGGAGTGACGTGGTCAGATGAGCATAAGAAACATTATTTTGGTAGCTGTATGGAAAATTAATCAAAAAGTTGGGGGTCCAGTTAGGAGACTTGCAATAGTACGGGTGACAGGTGATGAAGGCCTGAACTATAGTGATGGCTGTGTGAGTGGAGAGAAGGAAAAGATGCAAGATATGCTGTGGAGGTAGAATGAATAAATAAATTTAAAAAGTATTTATTAAGTACCCATTAGGTAACATGCACTATCCTAGGTGCTGGGGATACAAATACACAAGTGACACAGTGTTTGCCCTCAAGGTTCTAGTATCCAAACAGGGGAGACAACACACACATGGCAATGATAGCCAGGGAACATAGCTTTGGTCAAAGAAGCCATAGGAACGGAGGGGTGTCAAATGGCAGTCAAATGTCATCTCTTCCAGATGCAAGAGTAGTACTGACTTGATTACTGTTTTCAGAGCAAGAAGTGGAAGAGGATGGGGAGGACAAGTGGTAAAATGTTTGGGAAGGTGTATGCTCTGGGGCCAGATATACTGGATGAATTAAGTCTGCATTCATTCATTCATCAGGAAAGGTTAGCCCCAAACTAGCACATAAAAAAAAAACTATAGGTTGAATCTCCCCAAGGGTGGGCAGAGGAGGGAAGATATAAAATGTCAGGGGGGTTGTTGTTTGTCCTTTGTTCTTGAAGAGGACCGTGACATCAGGAAGGTGATGTCATAACTTGCAAACGAATTGCAGGGCTGGGCAAAGTCACCAGCCTCACTTTCTCTTCTGGAGCCATCTAAGTCCAGCAGCAAGATACAGACCAGGATGACTGGAGATGGCCCCCAAAACACCTGAGGTGGATAGATGTGAATGAACAAGACTTGGCAACTGACTGGATGTGAGGGGTGGGGGGTGGGGAAGGGTGAGTGAATAGTCTAGCAGGAATCTAAGGTTTTGCATATGGGTAACTATAAGTATAGTGGTACCCTCAGGAGAAACTGGGAAGTTAAGAAGAGGGAGGGATAGATTTAACAAGGAACATCTGCATTGAGACTGATAAAACATTAGAATACTGGGAGGCTGGGAAATTTAGTGGCTGATAAATTGATGGTTAACAGTTTAGTATTTAAAATAGGAGTAAAAGGAACTTTTCTTTTTCCAGGCAATTGCGGTCAAGTGACTTGCCCAGGGTCACACAGCTAGTAAGTGTCAAGTGTTTGGTTTGAGGCCACATTTGAACTCAGGTCCTCCTGACTTCAGGGCCAGTGCTCTATCCACTGCGCCACCTAGCTGCCCCTACAAAGAACATTGTTAAAAGGGTAATGGAATATATATTCTAAGGACAGTGGAGGATGGGGCAGAAGGAGTGAATTTAATATCAATTATCTTCCCTAAGAAATGTTAAGATCTGTATGAAAGGTAAAAAGGAAAGAGAAAAAATGGAGGGGTCATGACAGAAAAAATTTCATCAACTTTTTTCTTAGAGAAAAATCTATCCCCAATGTGCCAGGAGAGAGGGGGAGAAGACAGCATTATAATAAGGAAAAAACCTTAATAAGGTCAGAACATATAGAAAAACAGTATTACAAGAAGTATCCTATCTCAAGCATACAGAATTTTAAAAGATTTAAAGAAATTTCAACTTAGTATAAAAAATATTGTAAGCATCCAAGAAGTTCCTGTTAAAAAGCTATTAGCTAGAAAGAATCATCAGTCTCATGAGAGAAGGCATTCACTGTGCTCTTCAGAGGAGAGAATACAACAAATAGGAAAGTGGAAAAACAAATAAATAGAATAGATGGAACCATGGAACCACTGATACCTGGGGGCTTAAAAACACAAAGGGTTATCTCTAAGGTCCTTTCTAGCTCTAAAACTATGATCCCATGATTATACCAGGTCCCAGTTATACATAGGATTTGGCTTTGGGAGAAATTTGAGTGAGGTGAACTGTCTTATTAAACATCTGAGAGTTGCTATTCATATAAAAAAGAGGTGACCAAGTCAGAAGTTAAAGGTTTGATATTAACAAATACATCTTCTAAACATATTTGGAAGAGTATTAAATTATAGTCCAAGTAGTTGCAAAATGAAATGGCAGATCATCCTGGACAGAGTCAGAAAAATTAAGGAAGTGAGGTTTTATTTAACTAATCTATTTAACAAGCATAGCTGCTTGTTAAGTGCATACTAAGTACATATTCTTTATAATACACTATTTAATAATACTTTGTGCTGTAGCACGGTACAGTGTATAAAGCACTGGATCTCGAATCAGTAAGACCCAATCTAGAATCTTGCCTCAAACCCTTATTAGTAGTGTGAACCTGGACAAGGCATGTCACTTCTCATCTGTAAAATGCTAATAATACCGATAGCACCTCATAACATTACTGTGACAATCAGATGAAGCAATGTAATAAAGTGAATTGCAAGTGGTATGTAAAAGTTAATTGTTGCTATGTGGTTGAGAGACATGGACTACTCTGGTAATGGTAACCTCTTGTTCAGAGGAATAAGTAAAAATAGAAAGTATCATTCTTTAGAAAAGACGGGAATGAGTAGACTAACACTTAAAAAACCAGGAATTTCAGAGAAGCAGAGTGATAAACATCAAAGAAATGCATAAGCAGAAACAACGGGATGGTAATGTGAGGTCTAACTAAGGGCTAGCTAGTCTTCTCCAACGTATCCTCATAATGTTAAGAGAAAATTAGGAGGGTGGCACCCTAGCATGTTGGGTGGGTTTCTTATGGCAAATTTCCATAGACCAGAGTCATATTGGTTGTGAATGGCATTGTACGCCCATGGGTTCAGAAATCCATTTGAGTATAAATGTCTGTTACATGGCAAATGTCTCTATCTATACTCTTAACCTATATCCTCACCCATCCTTTCTTGGACCCTTTTAGTTTCAGAGAATGAGGCCTTTTTCCTTTATGAAGTACTAACTCTGGAGGCTCTGTCCCCACCTGTCCCACCTCTTCTGTTACCTTGTTTCCTTGACCATTCTGCTGTCAGATGTACCCTCAGTATTTCTTTCCTTTTGGTCTTTTCCTTTAACCTAAAGTCTTCTTTTTGTTAAAAAGTAATACCTTTTCCCTTAACTCTGCTACTGTCTAGGAATTCTCCTCTTTACTGCTTAACTTCTATAAAGAAGAGTCTATCCTTGTTACCTCCACTTCTTTATGAATCAATCAACAAGCATTTGTAGGCATTAGGTACCTGCTATTGGCAGGGCACTATGCTAGGGGTTTGTTATACAGACAGAAAAGGAAAAAGAATCCCTGTTCAAGGAGCTTACACTGTATTGTGTAAGACAATATGTACGTGTATAATTACATGCAGAATGCATATGGAGATTAAATATGAAATGAATGCAAGGTAGCTAACTATAAAGTAGTTAGGAAGCGAGGGCAGTAGCCGTTTGGAAGGATAAAGAAAGAAATCCTGGAGAAAGTGGTGCTTGAGCTGCACGCTGAAGAAAGTAAAGGATTCTGTAAGGTGCAGGAGAGGAAGCAACCTATTCCAGGGATGGAAGATGGCCAGTGCAAAGGCAAGGAGACGAGACATGGAGTGTTATGTGTGAGGAAGGGAGTGATATGACCTGAGTTGTGCTTAAGGACAATTCATTTGGCAGTTTTTAAACATGAAAGTGGAATACCTGCAAGTGAGGGCAAGAACAAAGATGTCAGCAATGTTGTACACGGAAGAAGAATGGAGGACCAGGTAATAGATGCAGAGCTAGAAAGTAACTTAGAAATTATTTAATCCAACTTTCTCTTTTTATAGATGAGGAAACTGAAGCCCAGAGAAAGTCAGTGACTTGCTCACGGTCATGTAAATGGCAGAGCTGAGATTCAAACCTGGATCTTTCAACTCCCAACTAGTCTTCTTTCCACTGTACCACAAATGGTGGAAGCTGCTGCAGAGGTAGATTGTGTTTCAATGTTAGGAAAAGCTTCCTCACAATTAGAACTCTCCAAAAGTTGAATGGGTTGCTTTAAGAGCAGAGAATTCCCCATTAGCAGAGCTCTCCAAGGAGAGGCAAAGTGGCTTCTTGTTAGTGGGGTTAGTAGAGGAAAATCTTGTTTGGATATGTGTTGCACTATATGATTTCTGTGCTTTCTTCCAAATCAGATTTTATAACTCAATCAAAAAGAAGAGGGTGTTTTTCCAATTTTATTAAGGAGACTAAAATGTAACACATATGAGATGAGATGTTTCAGCTACACATCTGAGGTACTGCCATAACAGAAGGGATGGCATGTATTCAAGAAAAAGGACAGCTAACAAATAAACATGAGTTTTTATTCTGCATCTAAGAGACAAAGTGCTCTAATTTCTTTGCTGAGGTAGAAATAGTCCTACAATAGGGAAGGGCAATTCATTAAATTACTCAACTTAACAAAAATATTCCTTAAGAATATCCATATCTCTTGATTCTTAATTCTCTATTCACCAAGCAACCTTTTGACTTTTGTTTTCTTAAGTAAACTTACCCACCAGGAGGTAGAAAACCAATACTATTTATCAGGCCAGGTAAAGCTCCTATAAATGCAGGGCATTCTAGTTCATGAATACTGTCTTCTGAATTGGGTTAGTGTCAATTAATTGCCCAGAATGTGATTATCCCTACATTTCTGACATTCCAAAGGTGAAGACCAGTTTGATAAGATGGAAATCCTATCTAAGAGCAAGGCCTTGCTTGAACACCTAGAGAGCCAGTCTCTTTTTCTCTCACACTACCTTCTTCTTCTTTCTTTTCTTTTCCTAGACAATAGGGTTAAGTGACTTGCCCACGGTCACACAGCTAGTAAGTGCCAAGTGTCTGAGGCCATATTTGAACTCAGGTCCTCCTGACTCCAGGGCCAGTGCTCTTCACACTATCTTCTAATCACAGTTTGTATAACAATGGATACCACACGTAGACATGCTAATACACACACACATTTACTATTTCAATGTTGATCACACACCAAACACAATGGACACAAACCTGCAAATAGTACCTCTCCACATCGAATAGGCTTTCGTGGACGTGTCCTTGGTCCTTGCATCAGTGGTCGTTCTTGTGGCAGTAAAAGGTAATTTTTAGCTTCATCCACCAGGTCTCTGGGAAAAGAAAGATAACTTTATTTTAGAGGTCTGAGTAACAATAACAAGCTTTAACACAGTTTAGGAATGTAATGTGATGAAAAACAGCAAGCATATATCAAACTAAGTTAAAAATGCCAGCTACTGTAAAAGAAGATAAGAACAACAGCACAAGTCACACTATGAGTTGTTTTAGTTATTATTTTCGTTATGAACCCATCTTTTGAGCTCAGCTTTAGCCTAGAATATGAATATGAACCTTTCCAAAATAAAAAGTTTTCGTATGGGACAAAAAAATGCCTTAACTGGAAACTAAACATGGTTGTGCTGAACGTGCAACACCAATTGCCATGTCTGTATAATTAGTTTTTCTTTTGTTAAAATGTGTATTATTTGTTTTAATCAGTCAAGATCTACTTTCTCACTCTCCCACCCTAACCACCTCTTGCCCTACAATGAGATCACAAGAAAAATAAAACCCATTACAAATATGTAGTCAATTGAAACACATTCTCACATTGGCCTTATCCAAAAGAAATCTGTCTCATTCTGTATTGAGTCCTTCGTATCTATGAAGGTAGCGTATTTCATTGGTAGTCCTTTGGAATCCTGGTGTTAGTCATTATGCTGATAACAGTTGAGCACAATAGTACTCCATCATATTAGAAAACATAACATTCATCCACTTCCCAATTTATGGATAGCCCCTCAAATTTCCATTCTTTGCCACATGAAAGAGCTATATTTTTGTACATCCTTTGTTTTACTTAAGATTAATTCATCTTCATAAGCTACCCTCTCTCTAAGTCATTCTCCCTCTAAACTCCCTTCTTTCCACTCTTTCTCTTATATTTCCCTGATGAGTGAAATGTATTTCTGTCCCCAACTCTGTGTGTCTGGTCTTTTCATCAGGAATGCTTAGAATTCCTCTATTTCATTAAGTCTGTATTTTTCCCTGTAACCTTATACTCAGTTTTGCTTGGTAAATTATGCTTGGCTGTAAACCCATATGTTTTGCCTTCTGGAATACCATATTCCAACCTCTCCGCACCTTCACAGTAGTGGTGGCTATTAAATCACGTGTGATCTCAACTATGGTTCTTTAGTACTTGAAATCTTTCTTTCTGGCTGCTTGAAGTATTCTTTGATCTGGAAGCTCTGGATTTTGGCTATGATGTACGTGGGAATTTTCATTTTTGAGTGTCTTTCAAGAGGCTACCAATGGGTTCTTTCTTTTTCTACTTTGCCATTTAGTTCTAGGACATCTGGGTAGTTTTAAAATTTCTTGAAACGGGATGCTTAGGCTTTTTTTTTTATCATGATGTTCAGATAGTCTAATGATTCTTAAATTGTTTCTCCTCGATCTATTTTTCAGGTCAGTTGTTTTTGCTATGAGACAACGTCACATTTTCTTCTGTTTTTTTTTTCCCCCAACCTTTTGACTTTGTTTTAACATTTCTTGTTTCCTCATGAGGTCATTAACTTCTATTTGGTTCATTATAATTTTCAGAGAGTTTGTTGCTTGCCAAGGTTTTGTACCTCTTGTGCCAAGCTATTAATTCCCCTTCTAATTCTTGCTTCTATAGTTTCCATTTATTTTCCAATCTTTTCCCCTCATTCCTTTTATAAACACATTTTAACTTTTTAAAAGACATAGTACAGGATGTCCATACCTGGGAATGCTTCCCCCTGTACTGGTACCCTTTTCAGTCCTGCCCTGGATCTGAAACTCAGAAGTGATGTGCGCAAGGTGGTACCCCAGAGTTGTTTTAATTTGCATTCTCTATCGGTGATTTAGAGCATTTTTTACATGGCTATTGACAGATTGGATTTCTTCTTCTGAAAACTGTTGATTCATATACTTTGACATTTATCATTTGGGAAATGGCTTTTTTTCTTGTAATTGTCACTCAGTTCCCTATATATATCTTTAAAATCAGACCTTGTTGCAAAGATTTCCTCCTCTCGCCCCCCCCCCCCAATTTCTTCCTGTTTTTCTAAAATACAAGTTAATTTAAGGAAGGAAAGAGTACTTACACCTTGGGAATAGGGACAGGCAATTAGGAAAGGCTTCTCATAGCATATAGCATCTGAACTGCATCTTGAAGGAAGCTAAGGATTCTAAGAGATCGAAGTGTGGAAGAACTGCATGCTAATAATGGGAGGTAGAGGAGAAAGATAGGACAACTTGTGCTAAGACAGAGAAGTGAGATGTGGAATATCTGATTTGGGAAACTGCTAGCAGGCTAATCTAGTTGAGAGATAAGAGTACACTAAGGAGAAGAATATAAATTAAGTGTGTAAAGGTAAATGGGAGCCAAATTGTGAAGAACTCTTTTTTAAACTTTCTTTTATTTTAACATTTTGTTTTTTGAAAATTTGGAGTTCCAGATTCTCTCCCTCCATCTCTCCTCTTCCTTCTTTGAGAAGGCAAGCAATTTGATATACATTAGACATGTGAAGTCCTACAAAATATATTTCCACATTAGCTATGCTGCAAGAGAAAACAAAAAAAGAAAAATAAAGTTAAAAAAGTGTGCTTTGATTTGCATTCAGACTCCGTCAGTTCTCTTTCTGGAGGTAGATAACACTTTTCATCCTAAGTCCTTCGAAACTGTCTTGAATCATTCTATTGCTCAGAAAAGCTAAGTCATTCACAGTTGATCTTTGTACTGATATTGCCGTTATTACTGTGTACAATGTTTTCCTGCTTCTGCTCACTTCACTTTGCATCAGTTCATATATATCTTCCCAGGTTTTTCTGAGAGCATCCTGCTCATGATTTCTTATAGCACAATACTATTTCATCACAACTAGTTCAGCCATTCCCCAAATGATGGGCAGCCCCTCAATTTCCAATTCTGTCACCACAAAAAGAGCTGCTTTAAACATTTTTGTGTTTTGTGTTTATACTTTTCCTTTCATTTCTTTGGGATTCAGACCCAGTAGTGCTATTGCTGGATCAAAGGGTATGCACAGTGCTATAAACTCTTTGAGCATAGTTCCAAACTGCTCTCCAGAATGGCTGGATCAGTTCAATTCCACCAATAATGTGTTGAGGTCCCAATTTTTCCACATCCCTTCCAACATGTCATTTTCCTTTTCTGTCACATTAGCCCTGACAGGTATGAGGTAGTAGAACTTTATGTTTCTTAAAAATTACACTTTATTTTTTTTCAATCAAAAAAATCTGCTCTTTGCCCCCTAACCCCCACAAATAGAAAACAAAAGAACAAAACCCCTGTTGCAAACAAGTATAGTCAAGCAAAAAAAAAATTTATATATACACACACACACACACCTAAGAGATATGCATAAACATACATATATACCTATATATGCATGCATATGCATAGGTGTGTATATATCTATATGTATATGTATATAAATAAATATATCCAAAACACATGCCTCATTCTATACCCTGGGCCCTAAACATCCCTATTAGGACTTGGGTAGCATGTTTCATCATTGGCCCTCTCATCTGTCTTTACGATATTGTTATCATTATATAAATTGTTGTTCTGATTCTTCCCACTTCACTCTGTATCAGTTCATATAAATCTTCTCAGGTTTCTCTGAAACCATCCTGTTCATCATTTCTTACTGCAAAATAGTATTCTATAACATTTATATATCATAACTTGCTCAGCCATGTCCCAGTCGATGGATATCCTCTCATTCCCATTTTTTGACACCTTAAAGAGAACTATAAATGTCTTTGTACTTATTTAGATAGAGGTTGTTCTGTTTAGAGCAAATTCCTTCCAATTTCTCCTCTATTTCCTTGTTGAGTGGAATATATTTCTTTCCGCACGTGTGTGTGTGTGTGTGTGTGTGTGTGTGTGTGTGTGTGTGTCTATTCTTCCTCCTCTGACCAGTTCAGATGAGAATGAAGTTCCTTCCTCCTTTTTGTATAGACTTCTACTTGTGCATCTTATTTATGTGAGATAATTTTTCCTAACCTTCCTTTCTTTTACCCTAGTGTGTATTCCTCTTCCCCTTTCTTTTCATTATTCTTTTAAGATCATCAACACACAACAGAACCACTCCTAGGCCCTCTAAGTAGATTCCCTCTATTACTATTGATTACAATAAGGTTCAGACGGTACACATGTATCGTTTCCTGAGAGTTTATCTTTGTTTAGTCAGTTATTATTGTTCATTAATATTTTTGAACTTTAAAAATTTTATACTCAGTTTTACTGAACAAATTATTCTTGCCATTAAGCCTATATTCTCTGCTTTCTGGAATATCATATTCCAAGCTCTCTGCTCCTTCATAGTGGTAGCTGCCAAATAAATCATGTGTAATCCTTACTGTGGCCCTTCAGTACTTGAATTCTTTCTTTTTGACTGCTTGTAGTATTTTTTCTTTGACCTGGGAGTTCTGGATTTGGCTATGATGTTTTTGGGTGTTTTCATCTTGAAATTTTTCTTTTAGATGGTGACTATAAAGTCCATACCCACTCTCCTCTTTGCTGTTAAGAGATCTGGGCAGTTTTCTTTTAAGATTTCTTGAAATATGATGTCTCAGCTCTCTTTCTGTCAAGGTGTTCAAGTACTCCAATGATTCTCAAATTTTTTTCTCCTTCATCTGTTTTTCAGGTCAATTGTCTTTGCTAAGATACTTTATGCTTTCTTCTAATTTTTTAGCCTTTTGAGTTTTAATATTTCTTGTTGCTTCATGAAGTCATTGGCTTACATTTGTTTTTTTTTTAATCTTTTGTACCAAGCTGCTAATTTTCTTTCCAGTTTGCTTCCATGTTTCTCATTCCTTTTTCATTTTTCTTCTTTAGTGCTCTCCTCTCACTTATAAAAATATTTTCAACTTAAAAAAAATACTCTGTTTCACCTTCTAAGAATTCTACTTGAATTTGTGCCCAAGCAAAGTTTTTAAGAGGTTTTGCTTGTTTTAGAATCATTTTCTTCTTTCGGATTTCTGTCGTGTATTCCTATCACCATAACAGCTCTTTATGGTGGGGTTCTTTTTTTGTTTGCTCATTCATCTATCCTACTTTCTGACTTTGGGCTTGATTTTTGGGTTGGGATCTTTGTACTTCTGGAAGGAAAGTCTGAGCTCCTATTGCTGCTTTCTTGGTGGTACCAAATGCCCTGTAATTCCAGGAACTCAGGTACAGCTCTGGCTGGGAACCCATAAGCTTTCAGTGCTCCCAAAATGGACTGATCTAGAGCAAAGTCTCTGATCCCACTGATCTGAGCTCTTGCTCCTGTCTTGAAGCACAAGATAGGGCCCAAAACTGCTCCTTATCCTGGCACGCTAACCCTGGTTGCAAGTCGTCTTCTCCATCCAACCTAGATCTGTGACCTAGAATGGGGAGTAATAAGTGACAGAACTTCTTTCCACTCCCTGTCATGGTGCCCTGGTAGGGCTCTGGAACCTTTTCTTGCCCTACTGCACAACCTCTCCCTGTAATGGAGTGCTCCACACCCATGGTGTACTCCTGGACAGACTCCGTATCGCCAATATCTCACCATGATAACCTAGGTTGGAAAAATGACTCAACTGATTTTTTTTCTTGGATTTCCCCAACAGGATTTGGTCTAGTGCATTTTCTAGATCTGTTTGAAATGGTTTTGGGGGAAGCCCAGCTATATTTCTTCCTGCTACTCTGCTATCTTGGCTCTGCCTCGTGAAGAACTAGTACCAGGCTGAGGAGCTTGTTATTTTATCCAAAATCAATCTATTAACAAGCACTTGTTAAGCACCTACTCTGTGCTAGGCAATGTGAATATAAACACAAAGACATAATCCCTACATTCAAGGAGCTGATATTTTATTTGAGAAAAAGACATGTACAAATATAAATATATGCAGAACCTATCAAGTGCCTGTTATGTGCAAGGCACTATGCTAAGGGCTAGGGTGATGGAGTACAAAGAAAGAAAGAATCCCTACTTGCAAGGAACTTACATTCTGAATATTCTATAAAGAATAAAACAAAATAAATACAAGGTAATAAAATGCAAGATTACAGAGGGAACCAGCCACTGGATGATCACCAAAAAGAGTGCTACAGTAACCCATACGGAGAAATGGTAAGTCAATGAAGATTCCTAATCAGACTTGTTTTAGGAATATAAATTTGGCACCTGGGTGAAGGACAGATTGAAGGAAAAAGAATCTGAAGCAGGGAGATCAATGAGGAAATTATTATTGCAACTGTGCAGGTGAGAGGTGATGAGGGCGTGAACTAGGAACTGGCTGTACACATGGAAAGAAGGGGACGAAGGATGTGAGAGATATTGCAGTGGCAACATCAATAAGGCTGGGCAACTGAACCATATGAGGAGATAAGAGAGAAAGTGTTAAGGATAAATCTGAGGCTGAGAACCTTGATGACTTGAATAACGATTGTACTCTTAACAGAAATAGTGAGATGTTGAAGGGGGATTAAGTGGGGGAAATGAATTTTGTTTTGGACACTATGAGTTAGAGATGCTTGTGGGACAGGCAGATGATACAGTGAACTTCATGCTTCACGCTTCAAACTTCAGGAAACAGATGACAGCTGATGTGTAGAGAGCATCATCTATGTAGAGAGCAGGTAGAACCCATGAGAGCTAATAAGAATTAAGAAAGTGTAGAGAGAGAGAACAGAAAAGAGCCCAAGACAGAGTCTGGTGGGGAACATAGGTTTATTGAGTGGGAAATAGATGATGTTCAAGGAAAGAATGCTACAGTGATTAATCGTGACATAAGAAGACCTATGATGAAGCATAGGCTTCATCTTCTTGGTAGAGAGGAGATGAACTAGAGGTGGAGAACGAGACATAACATTTTCTGACACAGTCAGCAAGTTGATTTGTTTTGCCTGGCTATTCCTCGTCGTTACAAAGAGGGGTTTCTATGCAGGGGAGGAGAGCTGGTGGGTAATGATAGTGTTGCCAAAAAGAAAGGAAGGAAGATAGAGAGAAGGCCTGAACAAAACATTAAAAGTCACAGAAGAAAGCAGAAAGGAGTTCAGAAAGTGTCAGAAACAAGGAAGTTTTATTACTACTGTGTTAAGTTTAAAATCTGCTTTAAAAACTAAATAATAGAAACAACCTTCACTTACAATCTTTTCTATTTTCCTTTTGTACTGAAATGTTCTTGTTTGCTAAATTTATAATAAAAAAGAAAAATTTTAAAATGAAAGAAGACAAAGGAAGTGTCAAAAAGCAGGAAGTAGGGGACAGCAGAATCATGGAAGCAAAATGTATCCAGGGGAAGGGGATAATTGACAGTATCAAATGCCATAAAGAGAGACAAAGTAAAAATAAGCACTGAGAAAAGGCCTTCATTTTTTTTGGGGGGGGGTTAGGCAATCGGGGTTAAGTGACTTGCCCAGGGTCACCCAGCTAGTAAGTGTTCTGTGTCTGCGGCTGGATTTGAACTCAGGTTCTTTTGACTCCAGGGCTGGGGCCTTCATATTTAATACTTAAGAGAATACTGGTAATCTTAGAGAGCAGAATTTCAGTTGAGAGGTAGGGTCTGAAATGACACAAATGGCCGAGAAATAATGAATGAAGATACTTTTTCCTAGGAGTCAGAATTTGAACCTAGGTTTTCAGATGTCAAATGCAGCTCTTTTCATCACATTAAAACACCTTGAATTGTGAGGCCACTGTGTTCCAGGGAATATTAATTTATTCATTTAAGTTTCCAGGGGTTGAAGGCAGGGATTGAGGTTGAGTGGAAGATTGTGAACCAAATTCAGAACTCTTTGAGAAAGGAGGAGAATGACCTGAAGACATGATATGGATGATACAGATGGACTAAATCTGAAAGAAGTTGATGAGTACTTCAAAATGTGGCAAATCAATGATTTGCAGTGGCAATGAGCATGCCTACTCTTCTAGTAAGTCAGGAGTTGTGAGAGAAAGAGCACTCAGTAAAGGACAAGGATTCAGGTTTCTATTATCCACAGAAAATGGAAAATGTGTCAGGAAAAGAAAACAAAGATGAAGGGGAGCTGTTAATTTCCCTTAAGAAAGAGAATTTCAGAAGGCATGATAGAACAGGATATGAACTGTAGAAGAAGAGAGCTGAGGTGGACAGGGATGACAGTACAAAGATACATGGATTTTTGCATTGATGACTGAATCAATGACAGAATCACGGGCACAAGAGCAACACAAACAGGAAGTTTGCTTGCCAGAGGATGGGAAAAGATTAATTTGATTGTAGCCCCTCCCCTCCATGATCCTGTGACCATAGAATAGTCAGTATAGGGAAGGTAGCTCCAACTTTCCTAACTGGCTATTCCAAATACCCAGGAGCTGGGGATATAGGTAGCAGGTGGATATGGCAGGGAGTTCCATCTAAGAGTCAAGAAGTAACTGGTATTGGCTCCTCCAGCTTGGACTGATGTTACTCTCAGTGCCAGCACCACATCCTCATTCTGAGATTATGGACAATGAGACACAGAAAATATCCTGTTGTGTAGAAAAAGCACTTGGCCCCCACCAATCTCTGATTCCTTTACTAGGCCTTCTAGCACATATGGCTGCCTGAGGCTCAGGCTCTCTGATGGAACTTCATCTCTTTAGGGCAACTCCAGCTCCATAATAACATTCTAAGACAGCAAGACAGAAGGAATACCTAGACAACACTCTAGTTGTGGAACAAGTAATCAGTTTCCTATCCTTGAGTCTTTACAAGCATAGGTTCTCTAATAACTTTGCTACCTTAATGCTCTGGATTTCTAAAAGAGTTTCATCTCTTTTAGAGTAGGCTCTCTAGTGCTTCTGGCGTCTTGAAGTCTGAGACCTCTAATGGATATGAATCTCCTGTGGGATAGAACCTCTACTACCTATGGTTTCTTGAGGTTTAAGATTTCTTACAGTTCTAAGACTGTTGGCAAATGATGATTTTGAGTGAATGCCCAAGGCTGAACTCAATCCAAGTACAGCATCAGCTACATAGCTTCATAAATGTTTGCTGAATGAACGGGATGTTTGAATGAGCAAAAATTGCTCACTAGTGCAAAGGCTAGTAGCATTACTTCTTAATTCATCCTAGGAAATTTGTATTTATCAGATTTTAGCAGAGAACTGTCTCTTCAAACCCCAAATTGCCTAAAATCTTTGATTTGTTCAGTTAAGTATTTATTATTAAAATTGTAGAAATCTACCTTTAGATTTCACTGCCACTTCTATATCAATAAGTATCGTAATACAAAAACTAATAGGATGGAATAATGTAAGTTCAGTCCTCCCTTTATGAGCCTCTCTTGACTCTACCCTATAAGAAAAACCTATAAAACAATTTGGCTTTGGCATTAAGAAATATAATATACAGGAAGAAGTAGAAGTAAATACAAGAAAGAGGACAAAATATAAATGCTTAATCTCTGTTTCTTCCCAGCAATGGATATTCTTACCTGCATTCTTCATCACTTTTGATGAGGGGGTCAGAGCCTACTGTACCCACCAGGAACTTGGGACTAAGCAAAGGCAGACGAACATGCTGCAGCACCTACAAGATATTAAACACTACTAAAAGTACCAGTCTATAATCCGTAAGACATCCAACTGAGTGCATGACTCAGGGATAACTATGTCATCCAATTCTGCTTTCAATTATATTGGGATCTAATTGGAAACGGTGAAATAGAGAAAGAAAAGGAGATGATACCCCTAAATAAAGATTTATGGAAGGACATGGACAAGAATCAAAGGCTCAGGAAACATGAAGGGGTTATGATCTGTATCAGAGGAGGGACTAGCCATATTGCTGAAACCACAAAATAGAAATATATTGAAAAAAAAATACAGTGATGCAAATATAGTAATATAATTGATTCTAGTTCTTTACCTCAAGTAACTTACGTCATTTAAGAAGGCTATTTTGAGTTTTTAGGAAGCATACACAATTCTCTTATGCAAATGGACTTAAACAAAATTAGCAGCCCTAGATAAAATCTACTTAATCCACTACAGACTACACAAATCAATAATGGTAGTTTTCTCAAACGTTTTCCACCCCGCAGCTACTCAGGTTCTGTATCATCCCTTTACTTTTTCTTCCTCCTTTTCAGCCCCCCATTACTAAAGAATTATCAAGATTTCCAAGTTTTTGGGAAGAAATTATATTTACCTTTATGTTGTCAATTTCAGATTTTATAGATAACTTACATTATGTTCTAAATCTATAATTGTCATAAAACAGAGTGGAGATTTTCAGGCAAGCAATAGGGTAAGATACTGAAGAGCAGCACAAATCATTCTGAACATTCTTTGGCCCAGCCAGTGCTAATTTTACAGTACCAGACAGAGAAATTTAAGATTTCCTTCATGTTTCTAGTTTAAATCAAACTACTTCCTCTAGTGTAGAGAAGATCCTTAAGTTCCCTTTCCCACTGTTACCTGTGGAAGTTGGGGCCGTCTCTCTTGAATACTGTATTTAACCCAGGCCATCACAGCATTGAATACCTGTTCTTCACTTCGAACATTTAGTTCATCACTGGATATAATATCAATGAGTTGATTGGCTGGAAGCAGCATAAACTCCTCACTTTCCATTACCTGTTCAAAAGTAGGCAAAAATAAAATGAAAATGTTTATAGTCACAAACAACTGTGACGAGGTCAACATTCCAGGGCAAAAATTATTAACTTGTTCTAGTTTGAATCAACATCAGACTGTGGGACTTAAGAAAGGACAAAATTAGAATCAAGAAATACTAGTAGTGCCTTAAACAAAGAAGGGCTAGATGATTTCAATAGTAAAGGGAACTCTTGGGTGAGAAAACTTCCTCTAAAAATACAGGCTGGTATCTTCTCTGGAACTTATAAACTTAGAGGGTTTCACAGAACACTGAGAAGTTAAGTGATAAGCCAATATGTGTGGGACTTGAAAACCCATGAATTCCTAACTCCAGGGACAGCCCAGTATCCACTGGACCAGATTATCTCATAGCAATGTTTGCTGATGTAAGTTGGACCCATTACTGATACCTGAATCCCCTTGGAGATATCCCTCCTAAAAAGCCCATCATGTCCCTCTGAATGCCTCCAAATAATAGAACACTTTCTATTTAATAAGAGTGATAGCTAATATTTTAATGGTGCTTTAAACTCAGCAAAGTGCTAATGTATATTATCTCACTTGAAGTAGCTAATCAATTTTTGAACAACTCTAAATATTAGGAAGATCTGAGTTCTACTATGCCCAAATTAACTAAAATTCCTCTAATCTGGATCCTTTGGTTGTAGTGTTGTCCTCTAGAACTACATAGAACAAGTCAAGTCCTTCTTCCATTGACAATCCATCAAGTATTTGAAGATTGTTATTATGTCTATCCCGTCTTTCCCTCTCTAGGCAAAAAAATGCTCAGTTCTTCAAATGTTCTTTATAGCATGGCTTTAAAGTCTCCTCTGCAGACTTAATCTGCAATATACAGGAAGAGAAGGTGATCAGAAGGGTCAAATTCAGCAGAAAGGTCAAGAAGGGTGAGGACTAAGAAATGGCCATCCCATTTGTCAATTAAGAGGTCACGGGCAACTTTGGGGAGAAAATTGTTAACTGAATGATGATACTGGAAGCTTAGACTACAAAGGGTTTAGAAAAGGCTAGGAGGAAAGTACAGGTATCAGTTTAGAGAACTTTTTCTAGGAATCTGGTTGAGAAGGGGAGGAAAGAGTTAGCATGATACCTTGAAGAGATAGTAGGACCTAGTGAGATTTTTTTTTTTATGGATGAAGTAGACCTAGGCATGCATGAAAACCTTAGAGAAAGAACCAGTAGACAGGGAGAGGTTGAACGTTATTTTTAACAAACTAAATTTAATTAGATTGAGCACAGAAGGAAAATTAAAGAAAGGAGAAGACTGCTGCTAATGTAGATGACAGGATAATAACAGATGCCAATGCAGAATTACTCAGTTGCAATTTTGCTCCAGTTTTCTCCACCCAGGAGATATTCAATCTGAGAAGAATTGAAGAGAATCCTGTGAATAGGGGGGTTGAAATCCAAGGTAAGAGCAGACATGGTAAAAAAGCATTGTATTCAAAATAAGTTCAGGGAAACAGGTCTACCCGAACTATATATAAGAACCAGCACATATGATTACTGAACTATTGGCTAGTGATCTTCATTTGAAAGGCCAAAAAGAAGCAGGCCTCTTGTTGCAGAGGTAGATCATAAAGATGAAATATTTACCCAACATTTGAAAAGGGAAAAAAAAAGGCAGAGTTATAAGATATGCAATGGCAAGAATACCTTTAACTCCTAACAAAATCTCAGAAAATATTAAGAAAAAGATTTCTTTGCAAACATTTAAAAAGGGAAACAGTGCTCATTAATAGCCAATATACTGTTGTGAAGAACCAGTTATGCCAGACTAATCTAATTTCCTTTTCAGACAGGATTACTGAAGTGTATATAACATATCTTGATCTGAACAAAGCATCTGAGAAATCTCTCGTTAGCTATGCGAAAAAGATGGAAAGATCTGACTAATACAGTTGGAATGAATGCCAGATTTGAATGAGTTGACCAAAAGAGTAGTCACCACTTGGTTAATGTCAACTCTAAAGGATGTCACCAGTGGATTACATCAAAGCACTCTTTGGTCCTATTTTGTTGAAAACTTTTATTAATGATTAGAATAAATGCATAGATAGTATGCTTATTAAATTTACAGATAACAGGAAACTAGGGAAAGTAGATAACACATTAGATGACAGACAGGACTGATAAGAGAGACAGCATGGTGTAGTAGATAGAGTTGGCTTTGAAATCAAGAAGAGAAATCCCAGGGTCAAGTCTCATCTATGCTATCATCCCTTAAGGCTGTTTATGAGTGTTTTAAAGAACCATAAGTTATCTAGAGCCAAGTGGGTATGCAAGTTGAGTAATCATTTTCAGTCAGAATTTAGGGGTGGTAGTCAAGTCATTTTTTTTCAGGCAATTTCAAAAGTGGTCTGAAGAATAATTGCAGCACCACTGGAATGGTTGTATACTCTCTCAGGTATTATGTGAATGCATTATTTTGAAGGAAATAATTAAATTAAATTAAATGTATACTTCTTTTTTTTGGTGAGGCAATCAGGGTTAAATGACTTGCCCAGGGTCACACAGCTAGTAAGTGTGAAGTGTTTGGTCTGCGGCTGGATTTGAACTCAGGTTCTCCTGACTCCAACACCAGAGATCCATTCACTGTACCACCCTGCTGCCCCTAAATGTGTACTTTTTCATAGGTTTGTTTAAAAAAAAGACTGTCTTAGTTGATAGTCACTTTCTAGAGCAGCTATGGTTGGATGTGCTTGAGTTCATTTTGGTCTTAGCCTTAAAGCTAATGCATGTGATCAAGGGTCAACAGAGGGAACTTCTGGGTCATGTGAGCAACAAGATGATGGACTACACATTCTGTCTTATCCCCAAAACCTCTCAAACTTCCCTCAAACAGAAATCAGGTGCCAAAGATAACGAAACTTCAGTTGTTTCCATGGTCTGGGACACCAAGAATCCAAAAGAAGGTTTTAAACACAAACTTCGAACCTCAGGAACTGATGCCCACTGACCCTGAGCTCATTCAGCAACCCCTCCCCCACCTCTCACCTTATCAGCAATGGAGCTACATAGCAGACTCAAAAACTAACAGCTTACATCAAAACCTACCCCTACACCCTTATCCCCTCTCCTTTTCAGTAGAGAGCTTGGCTTCAGGCTGTGGAAGTTTTCTCAGGCCTTGATGGCCAGCTTGGTTATCATCCTTTAGGAGCAAAAGTCTCCCGGGGTCTGCAACCTGGAAGCACCAATGCTATAAACCTCTGAACTGAGAGTAGCTCTGCACTGCCGGTTCCAAGGAAGGGAGGCTCTGAATTGTCAGTACTGAGCCAGAGAACTAAGGAACAAAGGGAGTGGGACAGGCCACCAAGACAGGATACTGTGCCTGGGGAGAGCTATGAAGCACCTCTACCAAACCTGAGGGAAAATCACAGCATTCAACTGGGGCCAGTTCTGATCACCCAAAACTTCTCTGTGACAGAGACCTAGGCTGGTGAACTATGAATTGTCCAGTGTGGGAAGAGGAGGTTGAGACACTTTGAGATCAAGCCATTTGACCATAGTCAAAGATGAAGTCAGAAGTGAGTAGTAAGGAAAATAAGAGGAGGAGAAGAGACCAAAAGTACCAAAGACTGCAGAATGAAGAAATCCCAAAGACCTTGAACACAAACAAATGAACAGAAAAAAAAAATAATAATATTAGGAGGAATACTGCAAAATGAAGGACTTGAGGAGAACAGAGAAGCTGTGAAATGGAACCACAACCCACCGTTCCCAAGAAGTCTAAAAGAGAAATAAGAATTATAAGAGTAGAATTTATGTCCTGCACAGCAAAAATAATGAGCAGACTAGAAAAACTTATAATGGTAAGCCTCACCAAAGAAACACAAGAGAGAACGATATACTGGGAATTCAAATCCCCGTAAGTGAAAGACAACTTAGAAGAGAAGTTTAAAAAACCCAGCCAAACTATATATATATGTATATATGTATATATGTATGTATGTATGTATGTATGTATGTATATATACATATATATATTTTTTTTTTTTGGCGAGATAATCGGGGCTAAGTGATTTGCCAGGGTAACACAACTAGTAAGTATCAAGTGTCTGAGGCAGGATTTGAACTCAGGTCCTTACTCCAAGGCCAGAGCTCTATCCACTGCACCACCTAGCTGCCCCCAAACAAACAAGAACATTAAAAGAAAATATGCTCACCATGCAAGCAAAACATAAGAATCTTGAAGATAAGATGCACAGAGAAAATATAAAGATTAGAGATCTCCCAGAAGAACATGGTAAGACAAAAAAATCATAACATCATAATGAAGGAAATAATAAGGGAGAACTGCACAGAACTTCTGAACATAGAAAACGAAACTCCAATTGAAAGCATTCACATATCACCTCCAGAAAAAAGCCCAAGGCTGCAAATTTCAAGACACATAGCAGTTAAATTTAACAATTCAATTTAGAAACAAGTTCTGTTCAGGATGCAGCCCAGAGAAACTTATCCAGCAAATCAGATACCAATCATATGGAACAAAAGACAGACATTCAAAAATAGAGTATGAAACATTTTTAGAAGGGGAAAAACAAAAACAAAAACACATAACTGAAGCAATTATTTGCTTCTCGAGCACCCCAAACAACAGCCATGTAGGAGCGGACAGACAAAGACAAGGACAGTAATAGCAACCGAATGACAACAGAGAAACCAGTAAGAGATTTCTTTCTAAATGTATACAAGGAGACAAGGGAGAAAGCAGAAATCTGATAAAGAGGCGGCATTATGGACAGGACCTGGTGACACCTTTCTATAAGTGACTGCTTCTTTTATAGGACTACATTACAACATGGAAGGGTACATGAAAGGAGGTGGGGAGGGGAACAGAGGGATAGAGGGGAATGGGTGATGTCCTGGGGTCAAATCAAGGGCTTACAATAAGGGGAAGAGGACCTCTGTGGTCTCAGAAAGAGAAAAGCCTACAATGGAGTGGGGAAGAGGGAAGGACAGAAAGACTGAAAGGGAGAAGAAAGTAAAGAAGCCTTACTTTGGAGGTGGGAGGAGGTGCCACTGATAAATGCATGCTCCTATAGGTGAAATGAGATGCAGACCTTTTATTGGATGAGGACTGGGAGATTTGGTGTCTGAAAAGTCTACCTGTCTCGTGTCAGGGTGGGGTGAGTCTCAAGAGGAGTTGGAAGCCCTAGGGGCAATTGGCACCTAGGAGTGGGAACCATCCAGGGAGACTTCTAGGCAAAAAATAGGAAAAAAACGTTGACAAGAGAGGATATAGATCAGTAGAGGGGGGAGATTGTCCAGCGTGAACAGTGAACCATAAAACACCTGAAATAATTAGCATTGTTCTGAGAGTAAGGCACAATGGAAAAGGAACCCAAGGGGTAAATCCCACAAGGCAGTGGCAAAAAATGCCTAGAGGGCAGAGACTAGAATGGATACCTTGGAAGCTTTGCTTGTATGAAGGATACAGAGAAAAGAGAAAAACCAGATGAATACAGGGGTCATGAATCAGAGGAAGAGAGTCTAGAGTAAAGAGAAAGAGAAGATGGCTAATGAAGAAAGTGAAAGAAAACCTTTTTTGTAATGGGTTCAAAAAATGAAATAAAAAAACTAATGAATAGGACTAGATGAAGAGGAGAGAAAGGGGGAATCTACCTGATTGAGAAGAAAAAAAGAGGAGATAAAAATATATAACCACATAAAAGCTCAACTAATAAAACCCTAAAAAGGAAAAGGGATAACAAACAAGAAGACGGGATCAGGGATGAAGAGTAGAGCCTTAAAAGGGCCACCTTAAAGAAAGAGTAAGGTCTATTAAACAATGAGATTCTGTATTTTCTCATGCCTCTTCTGCATACATGGGTATCAAACCCTATAAAAACAAGGTACTGGAAGAAGGGGGGTATCTCAGATCATGAGGAAGATCCGAGGTCCACTTCATTAGAGGGAACCATGGACCCTTTAATAAAGTGCCATTGGCTCAGAGCTCTGCCTCAGTCTCTTTTACTGTAGGTTGGACAGTTAATCCCCACAGTTACATACGCAGTGTGTGGTAAAAGCAGGCAGTCTTCCTGACTAAAAGGTGAGCTCTCTATCCACTACATCATGCTGCTTCTCAAAATCAAAACTATTTGTGTAATTTACTTTATACTATTTATTTCATTTACCAAATTATCAGAAACAAGATCTTTGCAAGAATACGAATAGTTTTCTCCAAATAACACTAGTAAGACCATAAAGACTAAAGGGTAGCAGTAGTCATAACATCTGACACTGTGGTTAGGCTACTGATGGCACTTTAAACACTGATTAACAAATTCAAGAGACTAACTTACAAATCAGAATGTCAGTTTATTAGTTTACTGTGGGGAAAAATGTCTGGCAAGAAAATAGTAAGGGGTATGACCTAAGCAAGGTTAAACAGACAAGATTTTTGTATAGGTCTTAGGTCTTAAAGACATTTCCCTATGGAACATGTATTTATCCTTCAGATAAATGCAAACATGATCCCATTTGACATAGTATTGGAATTTCTAGCTTTTGTGAAATAACTTACCTCTTGAAAGTTATGTTGGGTGAACTTGTCTGCAATCCTCAAAAGCTCACGACATGAATGAGTGTCTGCAAAAGCTCTAATGCCTAGGCAATTGGATGGGTCTAGCTGTCTCTTTAAGAATTCACAGCAGGCTTCCTGGATTTCTGCCAGCTGAAGGAGGCAAGCAGCTGGTAGAAGGGTCTGAACGTTGCCCTCTTCCACTGTGATCTGGGAGGTGTACGCAAAGTCAATCAGCAGCTCCATGGCCCTTTCATCAATGTCTCTGATCACTACCTCAGTTTGACGGCTTTCTGCTAATTCTCCTGTAAACATGGCTCGAAAATAGGGACTACAGGCTGACAAAATGACTCGATGTGCATAAATCTTCTTAGCCCCCACAACTAGTACCACATCACACAGTTCCCGGTGCTTCCGCAAAAGGTTGATTACTTCTAGGGTTTGCCGGGGATGCTTGTCGGAGATGTAGGGCATGCGAGCAGGCTGGGGAACCCCTTCTGGAAGCTTGTTGGGGTCTCCAAGGGTACAGCGGCTTGTTACATCCATTCCAGTCTCTCCTGGTCGAGTGCTGGTACACCTAAAGGAATCATATGGAAAAAGACATGAGAACAGATACATTACTGATTCATCCTTGCTTGAAAGGACTGATAACTCTGAGGTAGTATTATTGTGCTGAGACAAAAAGGGTCAGAAATATATTCAGAGAAGCAGCCTTCCTAAGAATTCTTGAGTCTAAAAATAATTCTGAGAAATCTGGGGAGTCCTGCTTAGTATTCACAACTATTAGTTTTTAACAAAGCACAAAATTTTTGTCATCTAATGCCTTAAAATAAGAAATAAGATATTATAGAAACAATTTTGTCAAACTATTTTGATTGAAGAGGTAGGCCAAACCATAAGTCCTGGGGTTTGGGGCAGGAGGAAGATCCATCAACCAACTGTAGTCCATTTGTATCACTTTATAAAAGAAATGTGGTAAATGATTATTTTCCTCTATAGAGTACTGGCTTGTGGACTTTACTCTATGATCTACCTCATCCAAAACACTGGTATTCAGTGTTTTTCTAAAAACTCAAGAGATTATTCAGATATTTGAAATTTCTCTATGGCATAGTGCATGCAGAATATAGCTAACAAAATAAGGCCAGATCAGAGGGAGAAGCCATTGAAGTGAGATATGAAATAACAAAAAGAAATATTTCTTCAATATAAAAATGAAGACTGGTAAACAACATCTGAAGGACAAACACTGACTGACAAATTCAAGAGACTAACTTACAAATCAGAATGTCAGCTTATTAGTTTATTATGGGGAAAAATGTCTGGCAAGAAAATAGTAAGGGGTATGACCTAAGGTAGCCTGGGCAACCAGCAAGGTTAAACAGACAAGATTTTTGTGTAGGTCTTAAAGACATTTCCCTATGGAACATGTATTTATCCTTCAGATAACTGATAACATTTCTTTGATGTGGTGGAGGGGAGGGTAGTAGTAAATGCCCTCAGACAATCCAATTATAAAACAATCTGAAGGTTGCTTGGTGAGAACAGAATTAGAATGAAGATAGGTGAATGTTTTTAAGGAGTTATTTCCATGGAGCTATTGCAGACTATAAACTGCTCTTTATTCCTCTAGAAGTATTTTGTCTCAAGGATTGGTACTATGGCTTTCTAGAACTAAAGAGCCTTCACATGACACATCTTAGCTTCAGCATCGCAGGACTGTAGATGCAGAGTTGGAAGAAACTCAGAGTCCATCCAGTCCAACTCTCATTATATAGATGAGGAAACTGAGGCCCAGGGAGGTGAAATGATTCTTCCAGGGTCACACAGGTAGGTCTCTTGACTCCAGAGCCACTGGACCACTAAGGCTATCCCTTTTCTAGACTTCCTGAAGACCCCAAAAGGAAAGACTGTAAGCTCCCATGGGATCTTTTTAAAGCACTTAGCGTAGTGTCTAGCATACAGTAGGCACCTAACAAATGCTTCTTTGTTCTTCTCCCTCCCTCCCTGACCCTCTCTAAAGGCAGGGACTTGGTTATAACACTTAAAGAATGCTTGCACTGAAAAAATGATTTTTTCATATAACATTTCCATCAAACAACATCCTGAGCGGCATAAAGAATATACATGCCCTCTGACTAACACTGATGATTTTTGAAAAACATTTGACTCAGTAGAACAAAAAGCAGCTTTTAAAGCTCTTCTCAAACTATGCCTCACAGACATGTTAAAATTATACACCTTTCTGTGTCAGATGTGACTGAGGAGACAACTCCATTTAATGACCCACTGAGAATTTACACCAAAGCATAAAACAGACTCTGTTTACTTAAGATGTTCATCAGTTTCATGAAGAATAATCCTGCACGGAGTTCAAACAGGGAAGGATTTCTACGTCTAAATGTTCCTGTTTGCAGATGGCACTATATTCATTGCATCCAGTCCCTGAACGCTGCAAAGCCTCTTCAGGAAAATCCATAAAAATTTAGAAGAGATTAATTTAACCACCTACACTGGAGAAAAATAAAGTGGATTTTGACATATAGTTGGACAAGCAGACCACTGAGCTAGTTAATAGATATACAGAACATTTATATTTTATAAACAGACAATGAACTGGGCCCACAGTTGAATAAATAACTGGACAGCATTTAGGAAATTGGCTAGTATTTTCAGTGTTTGATGTCAAGAAGCCCATGCTTTCCCAGTGTTGGTATATGGCTTCAAATCATGGGAAGACCATAACCTAATAAGAATTAAAACTACAGGTGGTCCAAAGGGCAACAGAAAGATGCATAATTGCTTTAAGGAGGCTGTAGTATATTACCAATAAGGATGTGTGTACAAGAAGTGGCATAAAGGACATTACTAAGGCTGTGTGATACCACAGAATGAACTATGAACTTGGAGTTAAGAGGACCTGGTTCAAATTCCAGCTGTGCCATTTTAGTCAACAAATATGTGACAGGCACTGTGGTAAGTACATACTAAGTGTGTGACCCAGGGTAACCTTCTGGGCCTCAGTTTCCCCATATGTAAAATAAGGTCCCTTCCAGCTCAAAATCTTTATCTTGTGATTTTATGCATGGCTGGAAGGAGAGATGGATTTGTCATAAAGAAAAAAATGAATCACAACTGAAGGACAGCCCAACTGCTATACTAGTACCTTGAGATATTAAAAGAATAAGAATAACAATGATGATGATGATGATAATAATTCAAATGTATACAGTACTTCAAGTTTACACAGTTTCTCACTCTTAAAATGCAAAATGCAACATTTTTGGACATGGTCAATAAGAGAATCTTTTGGCTGAACTACATTTGGTTTGAAGGTTTTATTTTTTATTGTTCATGCGGAAGAAAATGGAGAAACAATAAATGCACATACTAAATAAAATACAAAACAAAAATGTCTTACAAGTAATCTGTGAAACAGGTAGGAGAGGGAATAATGTATGGCAGATGGTTGGACTTAGAACTAAGAATCCTTAATTTGAACCTTGTCACTTGAACTAAGTGTATGACCATGGGCAAGTCATTTAACCTCTTTGAGAGTCAATTTCCTTATCTGTAAAATGGGGATATTATCTATTGTACCTGTTTCAATGGGATACTGTAAGGCTCAAATGACCTTAAAACATTATGTAAATAGACATCATTATTAGTGTATTATCCTTATTTTATTAAAAAACAACAACAACAACAAACAACTGAGCCTCAGAGAGGTTAACTGACCTGCCTATGGTTAGAAAGCTATTAAGAATTTGAACCAATATTTGAACTCCGGGGTATCTTGACTACTTTTCACTATATCTCGTTGCATCTTAAGAGGAAGGCATGAAGCCTACCAGGCACAACTTTTATGTAGATTATATAGAAAAGCATGAATAAGCCTCACATAGAATGAAAAACTTATTCCTACCTTAAAGTGATTTTGATGTTATAAATGTCCAAGTTGGGTCCTTTTTAGTCATTTTGAACACATATATTTCTGTATTTAAAGCTAAACAGGGGTTTAAACTGCATATAATTCTTGTGATCTGGCAGAAATAGTTGCTTATACTTGGAAATGTAATGGTTGAAAAATAACAAAGCTGTTAAAGAATAATTTTACTCACCCACATAAACAAGCAAGTAAGCTTTTAATCACATTGCTATCAGTGCTACAATTAGGCTTCCTTATACTTTATAACTTAAAAGTGAAGAAAAGCAGCTTTAACATGTCCCATGTTAATAGAGACTGAAATATTTGAAATAAAAAAGGTTTCATACTAATCTTAATTTACATAAAAATGTAAAAGATTTAGTGCCATAAAGTGTGTGTGGGGGGTGTGTGTGTGTGTCTATAATCACTCCTCTTTTCAGTGTTCTTCCAGGCCCTCTTTCCAGCTCTGGACTTTTCTTCCCATTTAGTTTTAATCTTATAGTGGACGAATACAACTACATATTACTTTGTATTCTTGAATCCTGTGGCCCCTTATCCTATGCTCGTATCTTGCAAAAGCCCAACCGTGGGCTATCCATATCCCTTTCCCTACTGCACCCCACTCCATCTACTCTCTTGGATTCTACTCAAGCTTCTAAGCAGTAGTGAATAAAAAAATCACACAACTATTCATACCAGATCAATTACACATTCATGATATCTAATCCAAATTGAGCCCTGCTGCTACACAGCAATCCTTTTATTCTTCCCTGACTCTTCTTTCCACTTCTTAACAATAGACCTTACCACATACTTTACTGAGGAATGGAGGTCATTCAGAGTAAGCTTTCTCTTCTTCTCTATTCTATTGCTTAAAAAGTTGATATCATTTGTCTCATCTTTTCCCCAGGCACTTTTTTAACCTTCTTTTCAACAAGGCCAATTCCTCTATTTGTACCCTGGACTCCACTCCTTTCTGACTTTTTCTGAATACTTGTCCCCTTATCTACTCTTCAATCTTCCTCTGCTGCCTACAAACACATGCTTCCATCCTTAATAAACCTTTATGATGGATGGAATCTGAAATGACTGAAAAGACAAAGCTTTGAGCTTTCGAGCATATAGATTTATTAAGCAATGCCTATCAATTCCCTCTTCAGCTTGGCACTTGGCTCTAAATACAGGAGGAGACAGATTTTTATGTATTTTTTAAAAGAAAACAATAGGATATAAACCAGGATACAAGATTAGGCAATCTAATTTCTAATTGGAAGAAAGATTGGGGACTTTGCGAGTTGGGAAGGGGAGAGAACAGGTGCAATTCTCTGAAATTAGAAAATGAGGTGCCCCACTCCCTTCAAGTGTCTGTATTCAATCAAGGAATCAAGGAAGGAAGGTGGAAAGGAAGGAAAGAAGATGGAAACAGTAGCTGACTGACCAGCATGTGGCCACTTTTCAGATAAGGCATATAGGTGGCTTGAGATGTATAAATGTGAGAAAACTCCTTTCATAAATCTTTGGATCTGACTGGGTTTCTGGTCAGCATAACCTGGCCACAGGTTCCCCAGGTCCTTAGTTAAGGATCTCTAACTAACAGGTAGAGGTGGTCCAGCTTCCCAGCCCCAAACAGAGCTAGGTTCAAACAATGC